TCGCCCGTCCTGACCCATCATCCACGCTTAGTATAGAGGTTGATGCATCGGATTTCGCCATAGGAGCCGTTATGCAACAGAATATCTCCGGCAGTTGGCAACCCCTCAAATTTTTCTCACGACGCCTTACACCCACGGAGACGAGGTATAGCGCTTTTGGTCAAAAAACTGCTAGCAGCCTACTGCTCCACCAAACATTTCCGGCACGCTGTAGAAGATCGTAATTTCATCCTCTTCGCCAACCATGAGCCCTTAACGTATGCTCTGCATACCAATTCTGCTCACTACTCACCACGAAAGTGCAGACATTTGGACTATATCTCTCAGTTCACGACAGACCTTCGTCACGTCAAAGGCGAGTCGAACTGTGTTGCTGTTGCTCTGTCACATATGCAACTGAATGCAGTTACTTTACCAGTGCTCGATCTACCTGCTATGGCCGCCGCCCAAGCAAACGATCCTTCATGTACGGAAGCGCAACAGTTTAAGTCGCTTCAGTGACGGGAAGTACCTCAGGCTACTAGCTCAGGTACTATCCCATGAGATATTTCTACGGATCTCCCTCGAACCATCATACCCTCTGCTTGCAGTCGTCTCGTCATCGATACCCTTCATGGTCTATCTCATCCAGGTATCGCAGCCACTACACTGCACGATACGTCTGGCCGTCCGTAGATAAAGATGTCCATAAGTGGGTAAAGCAATGCTTACAGTGTCAACGATCAAAAGTGCACAGGTACGTAGCCACCCCCCATTGGCTATTTTGCTACCCCTGATGCGCACTTCGTTTACATTCATACAGATATCGTAGGACCATTGCCACCGTCGCACGGCTATGATCACATTCTCACGTGCATTGATCGTTTCACAAGATGCCGCGAAGCTATTCCCATCACGTCTATTACGGCGGAGACAGTTGTTCACTGTTTCGTAGAACAATTAATAGCTCTGTACGGTTGTCCCTCTACTATCACGACTGATCGAGGAAAACAATTTCAGTCCGCATTATTCTCCTCGCTTACACGGCTGCTTGGTACGGAACGCATACGCACTACCGCCTACCACCAAGCATCAAATGGTTTAGTTGAACGGTTTCATCGCCAACTTAAAAGTGCTCTTTGAGCACATGATAACGACAATTGGTACGAAACCTTACCGCTCGTCCTCTTGAGTATCGGAACGAGCTTAAAAGCAGATATTCAATGTTCCGCCGCTGAACTTGTTTACGGCACGACAGTGCGTCTGCCTGGGGAATTTTTCACGCAACGGAGCAGCAATAAGTTCGGCGAATCAGACTACGTCCAGCGACTGTCTGCATTTTTGCGAACACTGCCTCGTAAACAACATCAACAGGTCGCTCTCCCTCGAGAGTTGTTTACCTGTTCACATGTTTTCATACTAGTAGGTTAGGCGCGCAAACCTTTGAAATAGCCTTACGAAACACCTTTTCGCGTGATTTCCCGTCACGAAAAGACCTTCAAGGTTGATCGACATGGCAGGGTTGAGATAGTCAACATTGATCGTCTGAAGCCAGCACACATGAATGAGAGTGCCCTACCCACTAAGCCGTGACTCAATTCTAGACTCATCAAATCTTCCAGCGGGATCTCTGCATCTATTTCGTATCCCACGCTAGATGCATCAGAGACCTCATTCTCACGTCCCAACCAACAGCACGTGTCATCTGCACCGTCTACGGACGAGACTTCAGTCCCACGTCCAGATCAGCATATTACGCCGACCTTGAGATTGCAGGCTCACTAGGTTCGAACGAGACTACCGTCTCACGTTCCGGTCGCCGGGTACGCTTACCCGTACGCTTTCGTAACTAACCTCACAACCAACAACGGATACAGTATAAGACCCCATCTCTATACTACACGCATGCTTCACTTTTTCTCTTTCTTCCTTTTTTATTCATCCTGGGCCTGCGCCTTTGAGCATCGCTACATTGGCAATCATTCGGTCCTCAATGTAGCTATTATTGCCGCACCTGGTTTCTTGGCTCAATATGGTTTCGTCCTACGTCTTCAGCGTTTCTGGTCCAGACCCCTACGAGCGCAATTTTCATATTCTGGATGCAAACCATTGTGATATTGCACGCTAACACAAGTAATAAATACAGTACATTTCTCCCGGTACCGTTCTACGTAAACGACCTTTGGTGGCAAGTCGAGGATCAACGATCGCTTTCTATACTGCTAACGTCTTCGTCCTGCAATCGCACGTCTGACGATCAGTCACATGAAGGAAACCGCTGCGTATCGAAAGTGTAAACTCTTTCTAGCGGAGGGCTCCTTTAGTGACCTACTTTTCATGACGAGAACGCGATTGGTGTAACGGAAGCAATTATTATTACAACCAATTGTGCCAGTGGTTGCTTTACTGTACTCGTTTCGCTCTATATGCACTTTCTGTTCTTCCTCATTCCAAACTTGACTTCCCTCCTTCATTGGAACCTACTCCACCTTGATAAATATCACAACTCATTGTTCTTTAATACTGCTTTCTCTTCTCTGGAGCCCCTAATCGCAGTTCACTACAGCAACATGAGCTAGTATCAATTTAATCTAATATTTTTTCATACCTCCATCTGTTCCACTAATAAATGTTAAGCATTGGTTATCGTTCATATTCAAATGCCTTGCTGCTCCTCGGTTTCTCTCTTTTTTTTCTCCAGAATCTTGCTCTGAGGGTGAAGCTATGTAACTTCGGACAACTGGAACAAGCTCGACGAACGCGCTTTCCCAAGGTCATAGCTCGAACCAGGCGCTCCACAAGCCTACTTTATAACAACAATAAACTTAAAAAGCTGCATTACATAAATACTTAGCACGACCGAAACCCTATTACACATTTTGTCGAGATTGGATCTGGTATGTAACGTGGACGCTATGCCCCTTTGGAAATATATTCTTATGAAAACACATTATATCTGAACGAATGAACTGCTATCAACTTTTATAGGTTATAATTACTAAACAACCTTGCTTGGGATGCATACTGTGAACCAGTAAATGTTGTAAATTGTAGATCACGCCTGTGAAAATGGCGTGTACCTGCTATTGCAGAAATATATTATTATTATTATTATTATTAACCGTCGTTATCTGGCGCGTAATCTTATTATAGTTGTGATCATAGTCAACCTGGATTCGACGCCATCTACAATCTAATTGCAAGCGTTAACTGGATTTACAGAGAATTCGCCTGACTACCGTTGTTGAATGTTGTAGCCAAATTTCTTTCAAAGTGGCGCTATCAACCCTGTACGTTTCAATCAACTGCTTCATCTGGCGTAATAGTTGGGACGGTAACTTAACACCCAAGTGCCACTCATATAACAATTGTTGCGACATTTTTTCATCTGATACTGAGATAGGTTGAACAATAGCCTGCTTCAGCCGATCATAGGCTTCCGTTCCACTCTGGTTAATGCCTCTAGGTCTGGATGTATACATTATAAATATGCCAAAAACAGTCACTAGCAAGAGGAAAGGCAATGTTTAAATATCAGCGAGTAAACTCAAACTGACAGTTTAGGAAAAAATAGTGAGAGCTCATCCGAATATTAGCAACCGCTATTTCATAAAGTATGCAGTATTTCTATTTGAATTCAATCGTGAAACGATTACTGTCCTTCCAGGAAGCCTCATTCGAACACAATTCAGAAGAGAGTACTACTAAAATCGCTTTGTCATTGATCAAAAGTTTGTTCTGTTGATATCGGTTTGGTTGGTTGTTTTTAGTCAATGTTTGTCTAAAAAACATTGATTTTTCATCATTTACCCATTTTGATCTGATTGTTTTCCTTATGGTTGTTTTCGATTTTTATAAGTGGATGGTCAGCTTTTTTCTGTTTGTGAAACCATTTCGATATTCAGCCTATAAAGTCCAACTTCATCGAAAACTAACACCTTCACCCTCCATGGAAATCCACTCTAAGTTGTCTCCTCAGAACCTGATCTTCAGCTTGTAACCGTGGTTAGTTTTGACACCAATTTAAACTACTTGAAAGGCACAGCCGAGTCAAACACTACTCTTCACTTTTGAGTGGAGAATCTGACACAGTCATCCCAGATTTTTTGTAAACACTGCTTAGGACCCACTACACCACTTTGAAGTCCACGATGTTGTTGCTTTTCCTCTTTTCAAAAAAGAAACAAAACTCTTCGGCAAAATGGAGGGATGGATGACAAAGTGGCTGACAGGTCCAAAATATGAATCCTACGGTGACAGGCTGCAACAACACTGATAATTCTTGCTGAGCTGGAGGAGAGTAATAGGTGGTCTGATAGACGGATAAGGCATATTAAGTAAGATAAATCACCACCACATTACCTCGAGTCAACCCTTCAAAGACTTCATACCAAGAAGCAGTCGCCCAGTTACACCTTCATTTTTTGTCATGGAGAGTTGTTCTCCCATGGAATACTGCGACAGCCGAAGTGGCTACTGCCTCTTCAGGTGAGGGGAGACTCAGCAAACACATCCTCATCCATCGACTCCCATCCCCCTTTTCAACCGAGTGTGTCTGATTTCTTTCCAAGTCCTTGTGGTTACCATCACATCATATCAGTCATGAATTACTTTATCGCTTATTATCATACACGTTCTTTCATATTATTTCGATTCCATTTGTTTACACATTACCAAATAAGTAAATCAATTCTTTATTCTTAGAGCAATCGTATTCTCATAGCACTTGAATCATCAGATTGTTACTTTGACGTTGCAACCACCCAACCTGCTGGCTGGTAATATAATAGCTACTGGTATCCAGGATCTACACGGCCCTGAGTCAAGCGCAATCACTCGAACTATAAGATGTACAAGTTCATAAATATCTACCACACTGTCTAACGTTAGTGAAGTCAGGTGGCTATACCGCCATCTATAAGTAAATACCAAATACCTGGAACCATACTGTAACAATAACAAGATCGTGTCAAATGTTTTAAGTATTGGATATTTAACAACTACCTTCAAAGTCATAACAACAGAACGCGGAATTACAAGTTCTGCTGCGTATTTTAGTGTTGAAGTAGTTTCTTACATTTTATAGGAGCCTGCTATATATTTCGCCATTTCTTGGACTTTTATTCCGATTTTAATCCACAGATAGGAAAATGTTTGCACCAAAACTAGTCTAAACAACCAATATAAATCAAGAAACATTTATGAAATCTCGATGAAAGTCAGATATTTGCCAGAAATATACTAAATTGATTGATGACGCATGTGCTAAGTGTTTTTAAAATGACTTTAAAAAGTGCTGCATTTTTGAGCATACCCTGAGAAGCCAATGTTTTTTTTGTTTATTTGTTACGAAAATACTGTTGTTTTTGATCGCTTATCTTGACATAAATATTCTCATCCTTGGAATAAGAAAGTAGAACAGCTTGTTCTGCTTGCCACTGTTTAACACGGTAATGGCTTTATGACACACGCACAAACGAAATAGGTGTTATTTGAAGTCCTAAGTTAGATAATGCAGATTTATAAGACGTAAGAATTTTTTTTCAGAGTTAAAAACTTATGTGATGCTAATGCGTTTGTCATTCGCGTTTATAACCTGTTTCAAGACTAAGTTTTCATGAAAAATGTTTGAGCAACATATACTTTGAAAAATGTGAAAGAATCTAGAAAAGAATTTTGTGACCTGTAGGTGCTTTATTTTACAAGTACAGCATGTCCTGAAAAGTTAATCTATCTTCAACCTTTATTCCAAATTCTTTATTCAGACGTGATTGTTGCTGAATATTAAACCTAAGAAAAATGGTAAAATAGACAACTTAAATCTGGTAGTTTGTGAAGTAACAAAACGTAATTTTTGAGCACTCGCACTGTTAACGTTAAGACGTACTACTGTATAGACTTGTGACTGTTGTGTAACCTTGGTCCACCCTACTTTTAAGTTAGCGCATTAGTCCCTGAGATTCACGGTATGCTTTGGTTAGTTATCCTTTGAAAGACGTTAAATAAATTAATTAAAGCGTTAATCACACGCAAAAGCTTTTTATTGTATAAAGTTCAGCGCAAAACAGGAAAACACAGCAACAACAACAGGATTACGACTTTTAAAACGTTTTATATATCATGATTAACCAGCACATTATAACACAGGTTTGGCTACGTTATGTTCTTTATTCACTTTAAAGCATGTTTCTAGATATCCAACTTGATTAACTTCCATTATTCTGAATGTACAATAAATAGCTTCTTACATCATTTCTGATAACTGTGGACTGTCTACCTAATAGTAATCAAATTATTTCCTGAGGTTGAATTTTCGCAAAACTTACATCGTTACAAACCGTATAGGTTGAAATTTAAAGAACAGAAAACACGAATATTCTAGAGTCCGTTTTGACACTTGGAAGGTATTCGTATAAACTTACTGGTTTTATATGGAAAATATCCAGAGGGCGTAACTACACCTGAGAAAACGAATAGTTTTGTTACAGCTTCAAAAAATATTTGAACCCCAACCATAGAAGTACTAGGGTCAAACTTTAGTTTCACAAAATTCACGAGTGTTTCTTTTTTTTGAGTAAGATGGAATAAAACTTCATAAACGCAAACACCTAGAATCAAATAAATTTACTGAATTATCAGTGTGCTGAAACATTGCTGGTAATTAGTACCAATCTCAATCAATCTGAGACTTTGACAATCGAGAAGTCAAGTTTGAAGTAGGGGGGATGGACCCGTATTTTTTCATTGTGATAGAACTAAACACATAGAATAAAACATTTATTTGTACAATAATTTCGTTAGTTACACCCCACAGTTAAATACCAGTGAAAGGAAAACAGTACCCAAAGGTTACAAAGTTGATGTAGTTTATTGCAGCTAGGTAACAATGTGATACTAACTTCTTAAGAATGGCTTGTGAAAGTGGTTTTCAATATGGAAAACTATTCATAAATAAAGTATTAGACAGACATTTCTTCTTATTTTGGCCGGCCGATAAAAGTGTACGTTAATTATTTTGTCACTACTTTAATTACTTACTCCTGTTGCCCCTTGTCGAGGAGCATAGGCCGCTCACCAGCATTCTCCATCCAACTCTGTCCTGGGCCTTCCTTTCCAGTTCTTTCCAGTTGTTATTCATCCTTTTCATATCTGCTTCTATTTCCCAACGTAATGTGTTCTTTGACCTTCCTCTTTTCCGCTTCCCTTCACCATTCCAAGTTAGGGATTGCCTTGTAATGCACATTGGTGATTTCCTTAATGTATGTCCGATCCATTTCCAACGTCTTTTGCTAATTTCCTCTTCAGCGGGAAGTTGATTTGTCCTCTTTCATAAAGTGCTGTTGCTGATAGTATCCGGCCAATGGATGTTAAGTATTTATGACGGTTAGTTAACAACCCAGTAACGCAATTGAGAATTGTGGTTCTAAAGAGTTGAGCACAGTCTTTCGATGAAAAAAGCACCTGTCTGGTTTTGTCTAGTTTTAAATGGTTTTGCATTTGAGGTCACCGTGATGTCTTTAGAAGAAATTCTAATAACAGAAAGCACTTTTTGATCGATCTTGTCCCTCGTATATTATGTTGTGATGGACTAAAACCACCCAGCTGTCCTGGCAAAGTTGAATTAAAAAGCTACGGTCTACTTATACGATACCAAGTAATATGATCAGTAATCCACCACTTGATTGATAATTTGTGATCCAGAAAATTTGTTCAAAAGTAATGTTGTTTTAGTAAATATGATGTCCTTTATTCAGTAACTCAATCTAGAGTCTTACTGTAGAAAACGTTAGGTTGAAACTGGAATATGACGAAAATGAGCGGTTATTACGAGATGATAGTCCTAGTTTTGATGTTTAAACTAAGTTTTAGTTGGGCTAGTCGAGTTGGGATCCATTTAGTTTCACCCAAACTAGTGACTTTTGTTAATATATGATAATATTTTCAAATCGTTTTCCTATATTGTCGTACGAATTTTAGTGCTTCATTTTAAGGTCAATTTATTTTTCTAGTCACAAAGTAACAGAATACTTATTTACAAATGTTAACCTTGTTTTTTGACCGTGATTTTTGACTGGCAGAATGTAAATCAAGTCATTTAACTGAAGGATTTTAGAGAAAACATTAAATTATAAATGATTAGTATAAAACTCCCTTAACACATTCTTAATTTAGTTTGATTCTTCTGTTTTGTACTAGCGGCAACTTCTCAATATAACTCTAATATATTATGTGTTTCCATCTATGTATAGCTTATCTTTGGCAAAAAGCGTATCATATGCATGTGATGTTTTGTTAGAACGTTTTTGACAAAGCTCAGTTTATTGTGTGAATGGCCGTTTACGTCGATCGCAATATATTCCATATTGGCAATAACTCATTTAAAAGTGATGTGTTTCATGAAACTCCAACAGAAAGCCTCAATTACCATCTAAAAGATCATAATAACAATCGCTTCCAAGACAATACAAATACTGGTGTTGATGATAATTTTACAACAAGAGGTGAAAATTATTACAAAGAAGTGAAAGACTGGTTAAATGGAGATTTGTTTCGAGGTGGCGTTTTAGATGGAAAGCGTAATGCATGGGGTTGTTATCAATGGGATAATGGTGAAGTAAGTTCCTCTCTTAGCCACCTCTCATAATCATTCCTTGTGAGATGAGACAAAGCATAGTAAAAGTGATCAGAATCATCAATTAGCGAATTTAGTCAAAATTGTTGTAAACAATCTGTAGGCTGATCACCTTGTTCTTCCATTCTTTTTCGATAAATAAAACTTTCTTCAAAACGTTCAACTCAAAAGAATACTTCTAAGTAGAATAGTTATATTATCGCACTACCAGACAAATTTTTCAGAAGGCTCTGTATTCTGTCATTGTTCATGCCTAATGAGACTCAGTTATTTGTTTACCTTAATTTTATCCCAAAAAAAGGTTTGTTGAAGATTAGTTTACGAAAAGTTTGCATAAAAATATCTTTACATCCAAGACTGTATCTAATTTTGGATGAATATGGATAGATTAGATTTTCACGATTGTGAGCCGCCTATGCCCCTCGAGGAGGGGTAACTGGCGTAAGTAAGTAAGTAGATTTTCACGACAATCAGTCTCCCTGAAGTTTGAGTTAATAGTTTTCGGTAATATGATATGGCTACTAAGTACTAATTTGTATTCAGTAATTTCAAAAATAACTTGCAGATGAAATATTGACTTCCTACCAAATAATGTAATAAGAGACGTAGGCTGTAGGAAAAACTAATGTCGAGGAAATCCTTTGAAAAGTAAAAAAATAATCGACACATTATATGTGATTTAGTCTCAGCGATTGAAATTTAAATAATTCCAACGTTTCGTCCAGCTAGCTTGTCTGAACTATGACAGCTTGTACGGTGCTGGCGGGAAGATGACATGGAAGGCAGTCACAGAGCGGTTGATCGCGGAGTTCGACAGCTCAGTGGACAGAGAAGAAACACTGCAGAGGTTCCGAGTAGCGAAGTTGCCGATCGATGGTGACCCGTCTGTGAACATAATCTTTCCCTACTTACAGAGTAAATATAATTACTATAGTATCAGGAATGCTATGAGTTGATATCTTCTCTGTAATGTCTGAAGGTATATTTTCTTTTACTTCTTTTCACATCTCAATAAGAAAAAACTAAAGGCAATTCAATTTTATGATTCAAAGTATATTTTTGAAGTTTTTTGAAGTATTGAGTAACCTCATGAAAATCTTTAAATGTGCTTTGATAACTGCTTAAAATTTGTGAATCTAGATATAGTAACCTTCATTGAAAAACCCAACCAGAATGCTTAGTGTATTCGGTCAGAAAACCATTAATGATTACCATTATTGTTGATTCGATAGTAATTTTCGTAGTGAGTAGATTTTGACATCAAACAAAAACCTCATTCTACTTTGGAACTTATCAGTAGTATACGACTACAACCTCTGCAAAGAACAAACTAAGAGATATTAGGAATTGTGGTAAGCTAGATGAAACTGTTTTTCTAATTACCTTTGATTCCCGGTGATTGATCAATTGTAACTAGTTCATGACGTGAAACATTTCAAAATCAACCAGATATTGAATGTTTAAATGGGATACAAATAACACAATTCTTAAAAATTGTTAATTATCGTTATTAAGACAACAAACGTCTTTCAAACTAGTGAATGGTGGGATGAATTGTGCAGTTAATCTAAGCTTTCTAAACTAGTTTTTATTAACAGTTAGCAAATTACTTCAGGATTATGAAAGCAAAGACTAAACAACGGTCTGTTTAAGGAAGAAATTGTGGATCACCAGGGTATTCATACCAGTGAATTTGTGGAGCTAAAGTAGCCATTGTGTGTGTCTAACCCTATTTGAGTCGTGGACCCCCATAGCTATGGAGTCACACACTAGAATGAATCAACTGTTCAGTAGGTCTTATCGACTTTCTAAAACCAGAAGTCAGTCCGTGACTTAAACGGCAGTGAATAAGGAAAATGTACTTCACGTCAATTAGGTAACAGTATTATGAACAACATATGAATATATTTTTACCTTTTCAGAAATATTACGGAACATTTTTCAATGATAAAAAACATGGTTATGGTTATTATATATGGCCTAATGGATCAAATTATTTGGGTACATTTTATCTTGATAAAAGATCAGGTTATGGAATAATGAGATATTCAAATCATTCAATATATGAGGTCAGTGATATTTCTGTATCTAATTCATATTATTTACGTATATTAGATGACTTTCTTTTTTTTCAGAAAGGGTTTTTGTGGAGATTTTAGTATTTTTCATAGTTGAAATCATGAGTCAATTGAGGCTAGACCACCATCGAAAACCTGGAAGCAATGGACGAACTTGCTAACTGACTTATTTAATATATATAACCGGATTATTGTTTCATTAAACGTTCATAATTTCTTTTTAAATTCTTTTTCAAATACTAAATGGTGCATCCACTCTTTGTATTCTACCAAATTCTAATCTTCTGAATTCTTCATGTCTCTATCATTTTTACTCTTTTCAAATTTATTTCACTGGATTATACTTCTCCAATAACATATTCAAACCCTAATCTTTTACATTAATGCTTATACTCTTACTATTTCTACTATTATGGGTTTTGAATAGACAACTGCATCTCTGTGTTAATATGGTATGGCAACTCGAACTGATGCACGTACGTACATACGTACGAAGTTCTACGTTGTGACTGACTAACTAACTGATTAAATGGTAAATTGAATACTCATTATGTTTTTTTTTTACTTTTTCTTTCATAGGGATTCTTTTTAGATGATCAACGTTATGGTCCTGGTATATTCATTAATAATTCATCAAATTCTAATGAAATTGATATTGGTTATTGGAAAAATGATCGTTTAATACGTTTAAAAAAACCGGTATTCAATCAAAATAGAAATGATGAATTTCATTTTATTAAACAATTTCCTCAATATAATTTTTATAAATTAGTTAATTTAGAATTAATGTTTAAACATTATCAATATCAGAAATCAATAAAACAAGATCATAATAATAATAATCAATTATTGATTATTGATGAACAAATTTATCATTATGATCATTATGATCATCAATATGAATCTATAACAAATTTAAATAATATACCAATCAATTCAACAAGTTTATTCATTGAAATTATACAAAATGTAAGTGAATATTTATGATCAAATTGTAGTAATTAATGAGTTGGTTCAAATTAGATAATCATGGGACTCCTCAGCATTAGGCATCGACAATCTTAAATATTGGATATCGAATCTAAGATCTTTAGTCTTGTGCGTTAACACTTAGACCACTGAACCAGCATCCACTGGTATTAATGTCTAACTTCAAGCAATCCATGAAGATCCTGGGTTCTAATACTATATGCAAGATCATGAATAAATATTGCTGAGGAGTCTCATACTAAAATGAAACGACCTTTCAGTGCTTTCAGGTTTTCAATGGTGGTTCAGCTTTAATTAATGCATATTTGTTTGTTTCGTTGAAATACACACAGATATCCGATTTTAAAAGAAAATTCGGCGAGATTATAATTTATGCACGACCTTTGAGCAAATCTTAAGTGACCTTCAGAAGTGTTAGCCAATCAGTAAACAGTCAGCATAGAGCAAAAATATATTATACAAAACCATAGAATTAAAGTGGATACACCTCTTTTATATAGTCCAAAAACTTGTCAAGGTTAGAAAGAGGTTCTAAAATTCTAAAATTGTAACGCATATGGTAGAGGAACACATCCATATGGCTCCATAATAGTCGGTCTCTGAAGCCATGATAAGATCACAAAAACCCTCTCAGCCTCGACCACATAGTTTCATTATTGTTTGTGTGTATTCCGGTTGTCCAAGTTTATCATTTTTATTATGGATATGTCCCTAAAATACTCTTACCACTAAACAGCCCAAGCTTCAGTAACATCTGAAATTAATGCAGCCAATTTTACTGGTTCTTTAATTATACAGTTTGCGGAAATTATTATAATATGCCTTGTTCTCAATTTGGATCGAGCGATAAAGGTTCCTTTTCTAGCAAACGTCTTCCTTCAACATATATTACATCGGAGGACAACATCGCAGTAGTTTGCACAAGGTCTACAAGTCATTTAATTACCGCAATTACAAATAAAAGAACTTCTTAGTAGTATCATTTGTTGTAACCGCTTAATTGTCAAGTCTTCCCTAAAATCCTTTGTGAACCGATCGTACATGAGCATCAGGCACTGAAATTGGCGCCGCGATCTTGAAATCTCTCAAGTGCTTCTGATTGGTTCATCCATAAATTATAGTCTCGCCGAAAATTCAACGTAACTAGTAGACATAGTAGTATAGTACTATAAACTATTCCACATTATACAATGACTTTGTTGTGAAATGTATTAAGAATTGAAGATAAACAGGTACTGACAAAATTAATGTTCTATATCATTATTCAATGTTGCAAGTAGACACTCATCTGTTTATGTTGGAAATTGAGCGAAATGATCTAGATAAAGTGATATAGTTGGCAAAAAAGTACGTCGGAACATACTAAATGAAACAGAAGGAAACCGAAAATAATCGTTATCTAATATCACAACGGGGTTTTGTGGAGATTTTAATAACTTTATATAGTTGAAATCATGAGTCAATTGAAGCTAGACCACCATCGAAAACCTGGAAGCAATGGACGGCCGTTCGGTCCTATCGTGGGACTCCTTAGCAGTGCGCATCCACGATCCCACCTCACGGGATTCGAGCGCAGGACCTACCAGTCTCGCGTCAGATAGACCGATAAACCACTGAGCCGGCATTCAGCGGTGTTAATGTCTAACTTCGACCAATCCACGAAACTGCGCAACCAACTTTCATTCTACTGAGGTAGGTACCCGTCTCTACCGCCAGGCGGGATCGTAGATGCGCACTGCTGAGGAGGACCACGATAGGACGAAACGGCCGTCCAGTGCTTCCAGGTTTTCCATGGTGGTCTAGCTTCAACTGACTCATGATCTTAACTATATAACATCATCTAATAATCAGAAGCCAGAATGTAATTTAGACTATTGAATGACCGCATTCACTACAAAGTGACTGATCTTAAATTTCCTTTTCCAGTTTTTCATTACAGATCACTATTATCTTACGGACCACAATTAAATTTTTTATACCATCTCATGGATTGATAAATATCTGTCCCTATCCTTTATGTAATACACTTTTATTCTAGTCACCAACATAAATTAGAGTAGACGACCACTTAACACAGATAACAAATGTACAAACCATCTCTGTCGTTGAACGTCTTATTATTAATTGTTTGGCTACTTATTTATAGTATTCTATGCTTAACATTAGTGTTGCTCAATTAACAGTCTTGTTGTACTCTGGCGATACATTACAGAAACTACTATTAGATTCTTGCAATCTATCTATGTCCCAAAATGTCAGAGTAATGAATAGAGGACTATTATTCAAAATAATCGTTTCTTGAAAGGTACCTGTGCTACTGGCGATATGAGTCAACAAAAATGCTTTCATATCTGACAAGATAACGTCATTAATTAGCTCACATGTATTGATAAAACTCCCATGGTAAATAACTTCCAGTTTTGATTTAAAAACTGAAAAACTGAAATATAATTGAAGCTTCAGTGTACGTCCTAATTCATTGTTTCTGTTGAACTCTACTCAATAACTAATTTGCGAAATTTTAGTCCGGATTTATTGAACCACCTCAATATGCCTTCAAGTTATTTCATGATTATTAGTTAGATAATTTTGTTAACTGCTAACAATTTTGTCAATATTAGTGTGAGGTTGTGGAGATTATTAAGGATTTTGATTAAGATCATGAATCGATTGATGTTAGACTACCATTGAAAACCCGGAAGCATTAGACGGCCATTTCGTCTTATTGTGAAAGACCATGATATCAATCAAAAACTTAATAATCTTCACAAACCCATATTAATAATTACCATGTGCTCACTAGTGATTTTCTTTGTAAGGTGATTCTCGGAGTTCCGGTGAGAAGGCGTGATCAGTGGAGCTAATCCAAGTCAGGTAGAGACATGTATCTACCTCATTACAATGGAAGATTCCCGCGTGATTGCGTGGATCGATTGAAGTTAGGCATTGATGCTACTGGATGCCGGCTCAGTTTTCTACAGGTTAAGGCCCTAGGTTCGAATCCCGAGAGTGGGATCGTGGCTGCGCACTGCTGATAACTCCCGTAATAGGTTCCAGGTTTTCAATAGTGGCTTAACATCAATCCGTTCATGATCTCAATCAGTACTTTTTTTTTAATTTTCTCCAAATTTATATTTTGCTCTCATTGTTTTACATATTATAGATATTAAAACAAAGTAACTTACCTAAATCATTTCAAGTATGGAATATGAAGAGTCCATTATTTGAAAAATTTATTGCAGATCAAAGTTTTAATTATTTACTTCATTGTATGCCAACAACTAAACAATCATCATTCTTACATCTTAACAATATACAACAAATATCACAAATGATGGAATCTATTCAAAATGGTGATTCAAATATGTCCAATTTAAAAAATGATGAATTCAAACAACAACAACAACAACAACAAAAACAAAAACAATTTGAAACTTCTTCTAAACAAGATTCTCTATTTGAGTAAGCGATTTCTAGTCACTATACCCATCATTTAGTTGAAGTATCAACATTTTTGAAGATTTCTAACAGATATATACAGTTCTATGGTCAGTATATCCAGTCAGTCAGTGACAATGTAGAACTTCGTACGTACGTACGTACATCAGTTCGCGTTGCCATACCACATTACAACAGAGATCCACTTGTCAATTCAAATCCCATAGTGGTGAAAGTAGTTAGAGTTTAAGAATTAATCCGAAAGATTAAGGTTTGAAGATGTTATTGAAGGAGTACGATCTAGTGAAATAAATTCGGAAAGAGAAAAAGGATAGAGACATGAAGAATTCAAAAGGTTAAAATTTCGTAGAACACAAAGAGTGGATGCACCTTCGCCATTGCAAACGATTTTGAGCCATGTCATTCAAGGTCTCTAACCATCGGTTGCCATCATCTCGCGAATCTCAACCTGGTAGTCTACACCTACCAACATGGCTCAGTCCAATTTTCAGTGACTTCATGGATTTGTGTCACGTTTTGGTCTGGCCGCCTCTAGCTTTCTTCCAACCTACTGTTACGCCATAAAACATTGCACATCAGTATATATGATCACATAGGCACAATTATGTTCTCACCTTTTTGCACTATGTCCTTAACGTTTTTCTAACATAGAAACAATAGTACTATTTAGCTGGAAGAAAGTTTTTGTATTCTATGGTGGCCTATGATCCTTTTGTTTTCTCTGAATCTTCCTTCGCGATATGGAAATAAAATATGCCTGCTCTTGGTTATATAAAGAAATAGAGAACCATAACAGCTTTCATGCCATTCATCTGGAACCATTAAACAGTTGGTTTCTTACTTAACTAGATTAAGTAAAAGATTATTCATTGAAATACATTAACACAAACGATCTAATCATTCGATTATATGAAGTTAATTGCGAGACTATAAATTATGGACGATCTTTGAACGAATCTTAAGTGACCTTGAGAAATATTAGTCAAATAGGAAACATCTAATTAAATTCAAGTGGATACACTTCCTTTACATGGTCCGAAACTTTTAAAGGCTAGAAAGAAGTTCACAACTTCTAAAATTGTAATATATGAGGTAGAGGAATCTATCCATATGACTCCATAATAGTCGGTTTCTGCAGCGATGATAAGGTCGCAAATATTCTTCCAACCTCGACCACTTAGCTTCAGGATTGTTTCTGTGTACTCTGGTTGTGTAAGCTTGTCATTTTTATTACTCATATATCTCTACAAAACTCATACCAATAAACAGCTGAAGCTTCAGTCACATCTGCGAATATTGCAGCCAATATTACTAGTGCTTTGATTATACAATTCGCAGCAATTATTATAATTTGTCTTAGTCTCAATTTGGATCGAGTGAAAAATGTTCCTATTGTAGCATACTTCTTCCTCCAACATAGGTTACACCAAAAGGTGTACAAGTCATTTGATTACCACAATTATAAATAATGGAACATTTTAGTAGTCACCCCTGCTGGGGGAGTCCTACTCACTGGCTTCCAGTGGCAGGGGTGTTGTTTACGAAAGTGGGAGGACGAAAAGTGAATGTCCGGCGCTTTAACCCGGTTGGTGGACACGAAAAGTTCACCTAGGGGAGTTGGGAAACCCTGATTCCAAACCAATGATGCACATGGGCTCCAGTATCCTGAGGGAACAAATGGCGTGTGAATCAATAGTTGGTCAGTGGCTACCATGGGACTGCATTGCCTCACGATGCTCCACCGCCTTGTGGATCAGACCTTTAGGTCGAAGGCTCGGGGTGTGGCCCCCTAAGAAAACCACCTGCTTCGGTTTGGGAACCCGGACAGTATCACAGCCCTCACACAAATCAAATGAGATTTGTGCGGCGCATATATATCTGGTGCTTCCTTGTACCAATATTTATGTGTTTAAATAAAATTTTAAAAAAATAAATACCTGTCATGCGTCCTCTAAAATCCTCTGTGAAGCAATCGTACATGATCATTAGGTACTGAAATTGGCGCCTTGACCTTAAAATCCTTCAAACTCTTCAAATTGACTCGTCTCATTGTTTTTCTTTTTTCTTATAAGCTCACAATTTAAACAAAATCAAACCATTTGTTTAGTTGATATGAGAACATATATAACAAATATTGCTTATTTACAACATTTTTTACATAAATCATATAAAACATTTAATTGGTACAAATTATTCAAATCATCAATCAAAGATGTTACTATTGAAGAAGAAGAAGAAGAAGAAGGGGGAGAACAACAACATGGCGATAACCTTGAAATTAGTAACCTTGAAAAGAGTAACCTTGAGGATAGTTTAAATGAACAATTATTTATCAATGATTGGTTAATATTATGGAATAAATTATCTAAAAAATTTTTAAAAAAATCTAATAAACAACATTCTACTACTACTACTACTACTACTAATAAAAAGATTCAATTAACCGGTAATCATGAATGTTTATCAATAAAATTTATTCAATATTGTTATCATGGATTATTTGATAAAGTGAAAAATTTATTACATAATAAAAATCAATTAAATATTGATTTAAATGTAATAGATAGTCATGGACAATTTGGATTATTAGGTGCTGTGGTAAGTAGAAAATTATTTACATGTTAGCTGTTATTTGATATAAATCATGAAGTATTTACTTACTTACTTAGTTACTTGTTAACGCCTGTTACCCCACATGGAGCATAGGCCACCGACCAACATTCTCCAACTCACTCTGTCCTAGGTCTTCCTTTCTAGTTCTATTCAATTATTGTTCATTCTTTTCATAAATGTCTCCATTTCTCGGCGTGATGTTTTCTTTGATATTTCTCTTCTCCTTTGATCTTCAGGATTCCATGTGAGGGATTGTCTTGTGACGCAGTTGAGTGATATACACAATGTGTTTCCTATCCACTTCCAGTGCTTCTTTCTGATTTCTTCCTCCATTGGAATCTGATTTATTGTATCCCACGATAGGTTGTTGTTGATAAGGTGTGGTCAACAGATCCGAAGTATCTTGCGCAGACAACTGTTAATAAACACTTGTATCTTCTGCATGATAGGGCTCGTAGTTCTCCAAGTCTCAGCTCCATACAGTAGAACTGTCTTGACATTTGTATTGAAAATTCTGATTTTGGTGTTGGTCGATAGTTGTTTTGAGATGTTGTGCAGTTGTAAATATGCTGTTCTGGCTTCACCGATCCGCACCTTCAAATCTGCATCAGATTTACCGTGTTCATCAATGATGCTGCCCAGATAAGGAAAGTTTTTCACATCTTCCAAAGCTTTTCCGTCAAGTTTGATTCAACTGGTGCATACTGTATTGCATCGGAGAAACTTCCTTACCCCTTTATTTATATTGAAACCTACTGCTACTGAGGCTAAGAAGTATTTAATACAGTTTTTTATGCTTTATTTGAATGTACATATGTTATGTGTTCAACATTGAATGCATGAAAGTCTATGTCTCATGGATAATGTCTGGATAATGGAACGGATGGAATGCAGACTGAGGTTTACTAAAAAATATTCTTCTGTCTCATTAAACATTTAAAATTGTAAAACCTGATCTCAAACATTAAACTTCGACTAATCCAACAATCAATTTGAAATTTTTATCTGTATGCTATTCAGAAGAGGTTTTGTGGAGATTTCAGTATTTTTCAAAGTTGAAATCGTGAGTCAATTGAAGCTAAACCACCAGGGAAAACCTGGAACCACTGGACGGCCGTTTCGTTCTATTATTGGACTCCTCAGAAGTGAGGATCCACGATCTCGCACTCGCGAGATTTGATCCCAGGACCTACCAGTCTCGAGCCAGAGCCCTTAACCGATCTATCGGTTAATGGTCGCTCAAAATTTCGTGGATTGGTTGAAGCTAGACATTAACACCGTTGGACGCCGGCTCAGTGGTCAATCGGTTCAAATCTTGCTCGTGAGGCGGGATCGTGGATGAGCACTTCTGAGGAGTCCAATAATAGAACAAAACGGCTGTCCAGTGCTTCCAGGTTTTTGATGGTGGTCTAGCTTCAATTGACTAATGATCTCAACTTTTATGCTATTGCTGAATACTCATTGGTTGTTTTTAAATTTAACAAGCCATTTAACAAGCTACTTTGTGACAGGATTGAATAAAAGAGAAATTAATGTTGAGTTCTATACAAAAATAGATTAATAAAAACAAACCTGAATACATTTGTGTGTGTAATTAAGTGGTGAAACTAATACATTATAAGTCATCAGACTGTTATATCGACAGACTACTTAATATTTTTAGATGGACTTTGTCAGGAATCGATGACATTTCCTGAAATCAGTGAAAATCAAGATTCCTTTCTAGCAGTGGAATCCAGAGATGCAGGTACATCCAGCTGATGAGTTCCAAATAGGACGAAACGCGCGGTTAAATTGTATTCCACTGCTAGCCACTATCCATCTTTGATAGCCATCCTTGTAAATTTAGGCTATATCGAGGCTATACGCACAGTATGCACATATGCCAATAAGAAACTGATCAATTGCAGTCCTAAACATCAATGAGAAGATTCAACCAAAACAATACTAAGTGAATTTAAGATTCTTTTCTGTTTACACATATTACCTAAATAGAACTACACTTAGTATGGAAACTTAAATAATGAGTCTTCCAAATATAATTCTAGGATGGTTTGAAAATATGGTTACGCAGGTTGATCTTTTATAGCTTAGAACTTCAGTAACATGAAACTGCTAAATTTCACTAATACGTTCGAACATTTCAAACAACTTAGTAATGATTAATATGAACTCAACAGTTGGATAGGAAACGCGTTGTTGTTTAAAAAGCAGTAGGTGGTGGGTTTGAGTACTAGTGCGATTGTCAATTATAGAATGCCAATGTATCCATTTGATGGATCTCGAACAAAATGAAAAGTGCATCATCGATTTTGCACTTAGACATCTATCTAACACATTAAATGGTTTGGAATACAGATTCTTACTGATTAATAAACGGTTAGAACACTAAAAGTGCTGAAACGTTATTTTGTATTGGTTTCAATCTTTTAGAACAAATTAATTATTATTAGTGCTCATTGGTAATGAAAGTTCTTCAGCTTTCATAAGCTTGTCATGATAATCATCTTAAAATCACACTAATCTCTTGAGAAATCACTAATGAACGTATAAGTTCTAACCTCCGATTGTATATACTGAAGTTTTTTTTTGAAAAGCTATGGTTTTTAAACTCAGGTTTTTCTAGGATAAAACCATAATTCACTGATGGCAGTAGATGCTAAATCTCAGTCGGACAGATGAAAAATAAACTTTATTGAACTTTATACCAGGTGTCATTGATCTATTCTATACAATGGGATCAAAGGTATACACAATGGAAAGATCAATATATGGAATGTTTAAGTTCACTATCGGTAGCAATATAATTTAGATTCCACTGACAGTTTTCAGTGAACCAAGAGTAGAAAGCAATCTAAGAATACGAAAAACATCGAACCAACCCAAATCTCAAAGTGTTTTGGATGAAGACATTGAAAAGAAATGATTATAAAAGTATAGAATAAGAACATTATATACGGACAAATGAGGTGGAAGTAGGGAAATTGTGAGAAATACTCCATGGTGGATTATTATTTATAGTTTCATTGATTATTCAATAAATATTTGATATAAATCATTTCAAAACTACCAGAGTTTGAAGCATTCATTTACTCTATAAACTACTGAAATCTCTTCATCATTCACAAATTACCACTGATTGGTTGTGTACATGGAACTCAATTTTGTACAACGAATGATCTGACCATCTACACATTGTGATTTCTCATTTATGGTATGTGAGTGTGAGTGTGGTAGTCCTATGATAGATGTATACTATATTGGAATTCGAAAGATACTAATAGGAGATAAACTGGTAGACTTTACTCATGTTGTGATTAAGCATTTGGAATAGAAGAATGGTCTTGGAACAATAATGATTACGATACGTGGCCTATGTTGATGGTGATTGGTGAGATTGATTGAGCAAATATCAGTCGGACTATTGACTGAATGTTTAGGGGATTTCTGGTGTTTTAGTTGATTAGTTGAGGAGTAGTATGAATGTGTCATACAGTCTTGTGATATTCAGTGTTAGATCAGACGGGGTTTTGTGGAGAATTTAGCATTTTCATAGTTGACATCATGGGTCAATTGATGCTAGACCACCATCGAAAACCTGGAACCACTGGACGGCTGCTTTGTCCTATTATGGGGCTCCTCAGCAGTGCGCATCCACGATCCCGCCTCGCGAGCGAGATTCGAACCCAGGACCTACCAGCCTCGAGCTGGAGCCCTTAATCGACAGATTAGTGAGCCGGTATCCAACGGTGTTAATGTTTAACTTCAATCAATCCACGATTTTGAGCGACCGTTCGTGAATGCGTACTGCTGAGGAGTCCCATAATAGGACGAAACGTCAGTCCAGTGCTTCTAGGTTTTCCATAGTGGTCTAGCTTCTATTGACCCATGATATTCAGTGTTAACAAACAGATGAAAATAGCCTCATTTGTATTATTGACATTCAGCGGACACTTTATTTGTTGGACAAATGATCTGTTTACGATGATATTTTCAAGTGAATACAAATATACTACTGATTAGTTTTACCTTATTTTCTCTTCATTTCACCCATTTTTTTATTCATTCAGTTAACATGGAATATGAAATTAGTGAATCTCTTGTTAGATTTTGGCGCCAATATTAATCAATTAACTGATGATGGTCTAACAGTATTCACGATATGTTTATTAAAATATTATGAATTATTTAAAGAGATTATAAATATGAAAAATGACAGAAATGATCAATTCAGTCAAGATGAACAAGAATCATCATATCAAAGTGAAAATGATCAACCGCAACAACAACAACAACAGAGACAGTATGAACCAGATCATATATTGCCGATCATTACGAAAAGAATAAAGATCAACGACAAAACTACTGATGGAACTATTGATAATGGTGATAACAATGAGAAGAAAGAATCAGATGTAAATCAATCACCATCTATATCTTTTGGTAGGAATTATATTTATCGTGTTGAACTGCCTGTATTATTATCGACAACATCTTCAGAGAGTATGGTAATGCTACGACGGGCTGCTAGACTATCACAAATACGTAGAATGCATTTAAGCAAAATTAAAGAACGTAAGTGTTAAAATAATCATTTTGATAAGAATGTAGTATTTTTTTGGCATAAATAGACGAAGAGTTTAGTAGTGGGTAATGGAATAGGCATGAATGACACAGGGAATATCAGTTTATTCAAGATTCCAGACATCTATTGTAACTAAGTGTTAAGTAAAGTAAATTCTATATTCTTAGTTTTTTTTCCCGTATTTGGTTCATACTGTATATATCCATATAAGTAGTATATGGCGAGGGTCAGTCATAGGATGTATTTTGGCAGAAGATCGATAAGGAAAGGACTGAAATGGAGCATAGTTGGTAGGAAAATGCATAAACAATGAAATTAGAGAAGATGAACTTATATTTACTGAAGGAATAGTGAAGATTGAGACAATTGATTGCTACTTTGCAAATTAACTGTTTGCTGTATGGTTAGCAGAATTTAGTGAGATAGTCTGTAAATACATTCGATTGTCTCCAACTAGTGTTTCGTTCACTACAATACCAATGAACATCAAACAATTTACTGTAATATCAAGTTTCTCAAATGAATACCCAAATTATGATTTCATCGACACAACTACATTGTGATGTGCGCTACTGAAGTCGACAAATATAAGTAGTATTTATCACTGATCGAAAGTGAAATGTCTAGCGGCAGAAGGTTAAGAAGATCAAAGAAAAGAAAACGAGAACAGAGAATGATTAATGTGGAAATGAAAGAACGATGAGGTCTGAGACGATTGATTGACATTTTGGTTCTCAGATTTTACTAAGATATTCCGTAGTTTTGTATTTAAATGCATTCGATGGTCCCCATTTGTGCTTTCGTTCACTACAACATTAACACTCAAGACCGTACAACATATTCAGATAGTGAATACTATTCCTTGTTCATTAATGCTTTAACATCATAAAACATAGTCTCTATAAGATGGTGGTTGGAGGTGGTGCCACGGGATCGAATCCGTCAGGCATCACCAGTTTCCTCAAGATTACAGGTACACCTTGCTGATCAGTGCCAAGTAGCACGAAATCCGGGTCCAGAGTTTCCTGTTTACCACCTCAAACCACCATCTTATCTCAATATAGTGCACGCAGTATCGAGCCACCTAGACTAGAAGGCCACATTGCAACTTGATCGATAGCATTCGATCAGCACTAAGACAGACTTTACACTCATGACATTGATCATCACCCAGTGATCAATCAATTGCGATAGTCTCTATTACATATCTGTAATATCATTTCATTTCATTGTAGGTCGTTCACTTATTATGAAATCAAATGAAATGAGAAGATCTACACAAATTTTAAAAAATGATCAACAAACTCCTGATATAAAAAATGACTTGATTACTCAATCAACTCAATCAGCTTTACCTACTTTTCAACGTTTTACAAATTGTTTAACTCGTTTTAACACAATAACAGAATTACGTAATAAAGATAATCTGATAAATTCACATTTGAATGACAATAAAATAAGTCCAACTGCTTCATCAAAATCTATGTAAGTTAATTAATAAGATTATATTAAAGTATTTAATGTTTGATTCATTGACTCAAAATAACTGAAGACAATCGACTGATGAATTAGGTATATACAGCTGAAGAGTCCAAAATAAGACGAAACGCGTGTCCTGGATTCCACAGCTAGCCATCATCCATCTTTTCTTATAAAGTTGATGAATTAGTAACTCATTTATTTCACATTTTGATGCTGTTAGATAATTCGATTTGACCAATCAGAATAAATTATTCATTGATTTATATAATTCACCGTCATAATTACGTCGCAAAAGACCGCTTGGAGCCTCTCTGGGGATACTGACCGATCCCAAACCCGGATAAAGGAATACGGTTGGGCATGGATTTAGCGATCCCATGCCGTAGAAAACAAATTCGCTAAAAAAACGCTAACCAAAAAAATAATTTAAACTATTTAAACCCTGCCCTGGGAGTAAGGTATTTATTAAGAACAGTTATGACGTCTCTTGATGAAACCGGAGTTCCTTAGGAATTCACGAGGCTGATGTCCCTTCTTACAACCAGAGCAATCATTAATTAAAGTACATAGAATGTTCATACAATGTGAGAGACCGGGAGAGTCATCCATGTTGCTGCAGAATTTATAATCTCAATGAATTGGCATCAAAAGTTACAGAACTGTAAGACAATTATTATTAGGAAATCTGATAAAGAGAACACGACTGTCATTGCAAACAAACCAAGCCATGAAAAGAAGTCAGAGAACAACTACTAAATGACCCTCATAAGCTAAATCGAAGAAACATAACGACAGGTTACCTTAAACAAAATGAAGGTTGAATTAAGCAAATACTTACAGTCGATTAAAAAACCAGGACCTTCGTTATGGTTTACATTGTCCCTCAAACATGGTAATCTTTGTAGATTCTATGGACTATTAAAGATTCAAAAAGTAATAATGATAAAACACTAAGATTAATGGTCGATTTCGTAAAATCATCTACCAGTAGAAAAAGCCCGTTTTCATCATGCATGTTTCTAAAGTCTTCGTAGACCCTACAAAAGATCGGGAATAAATCTGCTATAACGTTACTTTCATTAGAAACAAGGTATAAGATAAACCTTGAGGGAAAAGAATCACTTCAGTAAAGGTTTGTCGAGCACATTAGAAGAGTAACGATAGTTATCCTAATCAGAACAGCCTGAACAGAAAAGATGGAGTATAGCTTACCATCCCTTGTCGATTGCTTATTAACTAATATGTTGGATCATTATTTTCTTTGTTTCGATAAGAATTAAGTTTATTGCTTTAACATCATTTGACGTTTCTGATTCTACATACACTTCGATGATCTAAAATGGATTTATTTACATAATTGTGAGATTATTTCATAATTAAAACTATATAGGTTCCAAAATCTCCAAAACTCCCCCATTACTCATACCAATCAAATTCTCACAAGTTACTAACTTCAAGATGCAACTTCTAGAGTCATAGCGAGAAACCGTGACAAATGGGTATCAATTAGATTGAGTGTGAGATAACTAACCACCGCAGTGAGGGTTGTGCAATAGGTTCAGTTCCCAGGGCAGAACGGTTGCAAGTTGCTTCTTGATTTCTATGATGGTCTAGCTCATATCAGTTCAACACTCAAACTATGAAAATTAGTGATAACTTAAAGATATACAAACCCACACGTTCACTGCTTTTTACGTTGGGAACTTTTCACATTTTTTATACTTAACTGACTCATTTCTTCCTGGTTAACAAGATGCTTTTAAAGTAGATTTGTCTTTTAAACGCTAATATATTCCTCAATAAATTTTATTTCCATTATTACCTTGAAGGAGTTTAGACAAACTCATTGATAGATTGCTGAGTTTACTTCAAATATGTCATTTTTTAAATTTATTTAAACACATAAATATTGGTACAAGGAAGCACCAGATATATATGCGCCTCACAAATCTCATTTGATTTGTGTGAGGGCTGTGATACTGCCCAGGTGCCCAAACTGAAACAGGTGGTTTTCTTAGGGGGCCACACCACGAGCCTTTGACCTAAAGATCAGATCCACAAGGCAGTGGAGCATCGTAAGGAGATTCAGTCCCATAGTAGGTGGTGACCAATGATTGATTCATACGCTATTTGTTCCCTCGGGATACTGTGGCCCATGTGCATCATTGGTTTGGAATCAGGGTTTCCCAAATCCCCTAGATGGATCCTCCATATCCACCAATCCGGTTAAATAGCCGGACATTCGGTTTTCGTCCTCTCAATTTCATAAACAACAGTAGTGCCACGAGAAGGCAGTGAATAGGACTTCCCTAGCAGAGGCTATATATTCGCGTAACCATGTGAGAGCATTGGGAGAGGGAGAGCGAACTCTTCCCACTCTCGGCCGGATCAGGGCATTTGGGGGCAAAACAACATCATAATAATAAACATGTTATTTACATATAATGTCTTCTATATATTCAGCACCCAATTTCCCTCGAACTATTCGCTCAGCTATCGACAAATGTCAACATCAGTTTTAAAGTTTGTCATAAACTGTACATCAAGAATTGCCATTGTTCACATATTTCTGATCATTGGAAATTAGTGACATGTCTAAATGATTGATTATTTTTGTACTGAGAAACTAAACAACCAAAAAAAGAACCTTTCTAATCTAATTCATCTTATATTGACACTTCATTTGTTATCAAAATACAGGTCTGCTGAGAATCGTAAGAGTAGACCGAGAACTATCTCGATAGACCGAAGAAATAAAAAGGTGATGTTTAAAAAACAGTTTCTTTTTCTCATTTGTTTTCATATTTATTGATTACCCGATAAGCTATTCATATAGAAAGTTTACAGTCTTATTGTTGATTAGCTTCGTGATTTGAATTCAACAACGATCTGCCCACTTAATAGAATCCTGTAATCGTAGAGTCCACTTTTCGTCAATAATACAAATGAGGCTATTTTCATCTGTTTGTTAACACTGAATGTCACAAGACTGAATGACACATTTATACTACTCCTCAACTAATCAACTAAAACACCAGAAATCCCCTAAACATTCAGTCAATAACCCAACTGATGTTCACTCAATCAATCTAACCAATCACCATCAACATAGGCCACATATACTAATCATTATTGCTCCACGAGCATTCTTTTATTCCGAATAAAGTCTACCAGTTTATTTCCCATTATTGTCACTCGAATTCTAATATAGTATACGTCTATCATAGCACTTCCACACACACACACCATAAATGGGAAATCACAGTGTGTAAATAGTCAGATCATTCGTTGTACAAAATTGAGTTACATAAACACAATCAATCAGTGGTACTTTCACCTCATTTGTCCGTATATATAGTTCTTATTCCATGCTTTTATAATCATTTCTTTTCAATGTCTTCATCCAAAACACTTTGAGATATGGGTTGGTTCGGTGTTTTTCGTATTCTTAGATTGCTTTCTACTCTTGGTTCTCTGAAAACCAACAGTTTCATCCTATATGAAACTTACAGCATTGCAATATCTTTTTGAGGTGTTAATCGATCTAAGTTAGACAACCATTAGGAACCTTCATCGTACTATGAACTCCTTAGCAGTGCACATTGCCGATCCCGTACGCAGGACACGAACCTTGGACCGTGAATGAATGCTTTAATTCTAGACTACTGTGATGGCATCCAATAATGTTAATGTCCAACTTCACTCAATCCATGATCCATGATTGACTTGACTGTTAAAATAGTACAACCTACACAAATCGCAATACTGACAAATGAAATTGTCAACTTTTGTTCACATATGAGCTTATAATCTTAAAAGCTAAAGATTATTCTGGTAGTAATATCAAACAGAAGTCCCAAACTCGAGTACACAGAGCAGGATTTCAGCTTGTAATTCAGTGGTTGAAATCCATATGTTTCACATATACTCCATAGTTCTGTCTTTATCTTTAAGCTCTTTCATCTACTGTTGCTCATATTATTCATGAGATTAAAGCTTGTGAACCTATACTTTTTTGTGTCACCAAGAGTTGCATTCAACGCCTTGAACATTATCTAAACACTATATTGAAATTTTTTTGCTTTTACTTACCTATGTCTAAAATAAGGCATTTTTTGAATAGGTTATCATAATGATAAGGCAGTAAAGAATTATAAGCAAAGATAGGTGGTGGCTAGCAGTGGAATCCAGGGTATGCGTTTCGTCCTATTTGGGACTCTTCAGCTTGATGAACCTGCATCCCAAAGTTGATGTTTACTCCAGGACTCAAAACCAGGACCGTTTGCTTCAAACACCATCACGTCATCCTCTTAGCTACTGAATCCTGATAGCTACTAGCTTGTGCATTGAGGTGATGCTCACTGGATGCACACATGCCGATCGTACATATTAATGGAAAGACTCGAACAAACAATACCAAATGGATTTAAAATAAATAATTGTTTGATCAGGTGATTGAATCAGTCATGAGTTTAAACCCCTATAATTAAGTATGAATGCAATTTGGTCGCGAGATTTTCATTTATATTTTGGTAAACAAAATGGCATGCTACAAAATACAAGTATTTACATAAAATTTGTATTCAGCTTTGAAACTTTTTATAACACCTATACCTAACACTGAGCGGCCTATGCTCCTCGACGAGGGGTAACAGGCGTAAGTAAGTAAGTAAGTAATACCTAACAGATTATTGTTATATTCTAACTTTCTACCAAACAACGGTTGGTAAAGGATACATTGGTGTAAACAAGAAAACTGTATGACTGTCGCACTATCTCATCTGGGTTCTAACGTGTGAATTTGGTAAGAGTCTTGTCAAATTTGGTATTAAGTTCCTATCACTCCACTCCGTTATGTGTTATCTGTTTCAACACTGACTAACTGATCTAAATGAACAGATTTCATAATCTGGTTATTACATTTTATCCATTGTTAAGAACTGTACTACTGTTTTCTACAGCTCTGTTTATAGCTCTTATTTTCTGTCTTCCCATAGGCAATGATTGATGTCATTTCTAAAAAGGCTGCATTCAGTCAACCTTATAGAACAAAATCACCACTGTTAAGAGAAGCAGCTGCCCAAGAGTTATCAAGAAATCCTTATTTTTTAGCATCTCATTCAATGACTAGTTCAATGACGAGTCAAGCATTAGATGAAAATAATGACAAAACATCAGATACGGAACAAACCAATGAAACTCCAGTTAGTAGAAATTCATTAGATCGACAAGCCCTGCTTTTAGCAAAGTGAGTTTGTGATACATTATTATCCTTTTTTATAAATCCCTGGTACACCTTAATTATGAATGGTAGTGTGTTTAGGTTTTATACTGGTATCGAACTGAGTTCATTAGGATTTTTCAAGAGATTCTAACTTCTTGATCTCACAGTATGACAGTCAGTGACATAGTGACTGAACTCTTTGAACTATGGACAAATTGTTTTAGAAAAGGATCTGTTTGGCCTAATATTCCACTATCCATCAGCTCTATAAAACGTGTAACGAAATGGCTACTTTTAGACAATCCTCTAAAGATGAATGTATATACTAACAAAGACTGATTAAAATATGGTCCCGATTATCAACAACGATGCTTACAGAATTCTGTAAATCCTATTTTTACTTCTATCATAATTTTATCGTTTTTAAGATATTGTAACAATATCATGGATTGGTTGAAGTTAAACATTAACACCGTTGGATACCGGCTCAAGGGTGTAGAGGATAAGCGTTCACGCGCAAGACCGTAAGTCCTTGGGATCGTAGATGCGCACTTCTGAGAAGTCCCATACTAAGACGAAACGGCTGTTCATTGCTTTCAGGCTTTCCATGGTGGTCTAGCTTCAATTGACTCATGAATTCAATTATTGAATATTATTTATAATTAAGACATTTATATGTTCATTATTATACTGTTTGATGTATTTCATTTATAGTTAACTTTACTTGCTTACGCCTGTTACCCCTCGTCGAGGAGCATAAGCCGCTCACCAGCATTCTCCATCCAACTCTGTACTGAGCCTTCCTTTCCAGTTCTTTCCAGTTGTTATTCATCCTTTTCATATCTGCTTCTATTTCCCAACGTAATGTGTTCTTTGACCTTCCTCTTTTCCGCTTCCCTTCACCATTCCAAGTTAGGGATTGCCTTGTAATACACATTGGTGATTTCCTTAATGTATGTCCTATCTACTTCCAACGTCATTTCCTAATTTCCTCTTCAGCTGGAAGCTGATTTATCCTCTTTCATAAAGTGCTGTTGCTGATAGTATCCGGCCAATGGATGTTGAGTATTTTGCGTAGGCAACTGTTTATAAATACTTGTACCTTCTTGATGATGGTCGTAGTAGTTGTCCACGTTTTAGCTTCATACAGTAGGACTGTCTTGATGTTCGTATTAAAAATTCTGACCTTGAAATTGGTTTTTATATATTAATTAGTTAATGTTTTATTGTCAACATAAACAATATCTTTCTTTAATGTTGAGAATGAACTTAGCTTGCATCTACATACACACCTGTTATTTAATTTAATCAAAGGAAATTATAAATTGTAATTGAGTTAATTATCATATTTAGTCAAAATACAAATAAAGGAATCGCATAAATTAACATAATTGTTAAGTAATCAATGTATAATATCTTTTTCATTGGCTATTTACTCGTTGTTACCAGGTGTACAAAAGTAATCCACAATCCCTATTAGATAATAGTTGACTGAAGAAATATATATATTGATGTGGTTCAAAGTCATTTATAATGGAATAGATTCATTCACACTTTTTCTTTCTTTAGATTATGGGTTTCAAAACTATTTTATACCTTTTGATGTGTGAGCGAGGAAAAATAATGAATGATTGTTTACTCAGTCAGACTAGTAGATAATCTGACAGGTATTAGATGAGTTATAGATTCTTTTATATATATATATATATGATGGCCTTTTGTTATTCCAATCCTTTACATTCACTTATGTCAGTCGTTCCATCCTATTTATTACCCTAATGCTAAAACTCTAATGCATATTTGGTTGTAAGCAGTTGATGAGAAACCATGAAATATAATGAATTCATATTATTCTGCATCAATATTTGTTCTGTCTTTAAATTCATAAAGAAAACTAACTGCATGAAATTTTTATCAGTTTTCTATAAGAATTTAATTTGTTGATAAACTTAATAGGTATTTTCATAATTGAAAGCGTGAGTCAATTGAAGCTAGACCAACATGGAAAAACCTGGAAGCACTGAACGGCCGTTTCGTCCCATTTTGGGACTCCTCAGCAGTGCGCATACACGACCTCACCTCATGAGCGAGATTCTAACCCGCGACCTACCAATATCGTGTCAGAGCACTTAAACGATAGACCACTGAGCCGGCCGGCATTCCATGGCGTTCATGTCTAACTCCAACCAATCCACTAAGTTGAGCAACAGCCGTCCAGTGCTTCCAGGTTTTCCATGGTGGTCTAGCTTCAATCGACTCACGCTTTCAACTATGAAAATACTAAATCTCCCCAAAACCCCTTCTGATAATAATAATAATCATATGCTCACTAGTGACTGACTTCGAGAGGTAAATTCAGGAGTTCTAGTGAGAATCAGTGACCAGTGGAGTTCAAACCACGTCTGTTGTGAGATATCAACTCACTAAAGACAATTGGTGAAATGGTTGCTCAATTTCATGGATTGGTTGGAGTTAGACATAAACACCATCGGATACCGGCTTAGTGGTCTATCGGCTAAGTGCTTTGGCGCGAGATATAAACTCATCAAGATTCATCTTTATCCATTAAAAATGGTACATAATTAGTTTCTCTTTTTTTCTTTTTCTCTTAATTTAGACAAAAACAAATGATAGATGTAATAGATTTATTGTTAAAACGTGGAGCAAATCCAAACACTGGTATACGACCATTACCAGCATTATTTTTAGCTGTACAAGCCGGTGATCCTGAAATGGTTCATAAATTAATTCAATATGGTGCAGATGCAAATATATGTTTACGTGTAGATGTAAAGGTTGATTATTTTTATTATTATACAATGATTTCGTGATGGTTGATGATTGAAAGTCTATATAAACTATAAAATTCACAAATCTGCTATACAAATAATGATAATATCCTCATTATAGACTAATTTCGAGAGATGATTCCAGGAATTCTAATGAGAAGTTGTAACCAGTAGGAGGTGTGAGATAGTTACTCATCGATAGGGTTGGAAGATGCTTAAGTAATAGTGATGATGATTGATTGAAGTTGGAATTATAAACCATTTGATATAAACTCATACGATAAAAAGTTAAGCTTTTCTTACTTAGGCTTGGAGGTTCTTGGTGGGTCAATGGACGCACATTGCTGAGAATGTCCGCATTAGAATGGAACAGTTATGCAGTTTTGAATGATCGCTCAATAAATATCAGAAAGTAATACAAACTATAAAACATAACCTTTACAAACTTATCATACTAATAATTGATAACAGTTGGTAAACAAATACAAACTAAAGAGTACTAGACAGTTGTTTCATGCTGATTTAAAATCTTTTACCGGGAATTTGAAGTAGACACTAAAAGAATAAAAAGCAAGTGGAAAGGATTGCTCAGGACAGCGTTCCATGGAGAATGCTGGTGGGAGGCTTATGCTCCTCCATGAAGGGTAACGGGCGTAAGTAAGTAAGCAATAGTCGAACTTAGAATCCCCGAGTTTTGTGGTGAGCAAAAATCAATACGTCTTCAAGTCAATGTTCAACTTCTTATGTATTTTATATTTCCAGCTTTGACCAACTCACCAAAAAATATTATTCTCTTTCAGCATCATTGTTGAGCGATAAAACTTTCATACTGATTCATGCGTAATCTATTCTATTGAAACACACTTATGTGATTGATATACTTTTATTCTTTACTATCAGATATATCATCCAACTTCTATAACTAATTTGATCATTTCTGTACCTAACCATATACAGTTTGTGGTATTTCGGTGAACAAAAACACAAATGGGGACAATCGAATGTATTTGAACACAAAATTACAGAACTTCTCAGTATAATCTGAGAACCATTCAGTGAATACTCCATTTGTATAATGTTAATCACTTGTCTCAAACATGACTGTTTCTTTCCGAAATATTAGTCAATCGTCTCAGACTCCATTATTCCTTCATTTCCACAGTAATGATTCTTTGTCCTTGTTCCCTTTTCTTTGATCTTCTAAACCTTCTGCCCCCATGCATTCCACTTTCGGCTGATGATACATACTACTTACATCTGTCGATATCAGTAGCACATACCATAGTATGATTAAAATGGATGAATACGATAGTACGGATGATTGTTTACGGATAAGAAACACGACTTCTTCCCCTCAACACCTACCCTGTTATTGCGAAGAATTATTATTCAACAATGGACATCAAATTCATTTATTTCTTATCAATTTTATAAAAGATAACAATGGGGAGATTCAAACAAACAATACCATGTGAATTTAAACTTCACACCATTGCACAAGCAAGTGGTTATCAGGACTCAGTGGCCGAGTGGATAATGCGATGGCGCTTGAAGCGAACGGTACTGGGTTCGAGTCCCAGAGTGAACATCAACTCTGAAATGCAGGTATATCCAACTGACGAGTCCCGAATAGGACGAAACGCGCGTCCTGGATTCCACTGCTAGCCACTATCCATCTATGCTTATCATGATTGTTATATAAGGTTTCACTTTTTTTTTGTATTTTTTTCTTTCATTTAAATACTAGAGTACTTCCGAATCTGAAAACCTTGATTTAAAAGGAATTTATATTGATGAAGATGAACCACCATTAATACCAAGTTTAGATGGTTTAACTGTTTTACATTATGCTGTACTTGTTCCAAATGAAATGGGTGTAAAATTAACAGAAATTCTATTAGAAGATGGTTTAGCTGATCCAAATAAACAAGCTACATTAGATGATAGTTTCAAATTGAAAAGTCAATTCAATACATCAATAATATCGGGAAATTCAAGTGTACGTACATAAAAGTAGCACATATATATATATATTTGAATCTGAATCAATTTATTACATCATTCATTTGTGCTTAGTTGGCACGCTTTGTACATTATGATACTCGAGACTGTACATATTACATATAGTAAGCCAATAGTCTCATTCATTCTATCTATCTCTCGATTATGATACTTTTTATCATCAAAATTGTGTAAACGAAAACTCCGCCTATAGCTTTTCTAGAAATACTGCCGGTCCCAAGCCCGGGTAAAGGAGGTGGGTTGAGCATCGGGTTAGCGACCCTATCCCGTAGAAAAACCAACTAACCTCTTGTATCTTTTTTTGAAAATATTTTCTCTCAGCAGAATCTAGTGAAAGCTTCAATTTCTAGACTGAATTCATGAGTTAAATTTACCTTCATTACATGTTAATATTTGTACCAAAACTTGAATATGCAACTCATGAAACTACTAATTCACGATACCTACTAACTTCTACAACAAACATGGGCGGGACAAAACTTTATGGACAAGCCAATCAGAAGCTTTCGCGGGATTTCAAGCTTACGGAGCTAACTTCGGCACCTCGTGCTTACGTACGATCGGTTTACAGAGGGAAGGGATTATTAAGACGTTTCTTTACTTGTGACTGTGTTACTCAAATGACATTTTTCGCTCGATCACGATCAAGGTTAAGACCCCAACTCTAACCCTAAACCCTAACCCCAACCCTGACCCTAACCCTACCCCTAACATTTCCAACGAGTTAGGAACCGACAGGCACCAACAATAAGAATTTTTCAGACCTTATCAATGCTCCGGAGACCGACTACTATGGAGCCATATGGATGAGTTCCTGTACCGTATGCACTATGATTTTAGAACTTCTGAACATATATCTGACCTTGAGAGGTCTTTGTAAAAGAACAGTATCCGATTTAACTTTTTAGTTTTGTATAATATATTTTTACTATATACTAACTGTCCTCTGATTGGCTAATATTTCTCAAGGTCATTTAAGATTCGTTCAAAGGTCGTCCATGAAGTATAGTCTCGTCCAAGCATGATAGTTAGGATTATTTATCAGAGTTTTTATTTTACTGTCGTTTATATTAAGAACCTAATGGAATAAGTCGCTTCTGAAATGTCGAATCCTCAAATGGATAATTCGATTCATTTACAACAGTGAAATGCAAAGTCTTATGAATAATAGTTAAGTGAAGACTACCAGTTACTAGTCTGTACTTTGACAGGAAGCTAATTATTTCTATAATCATGATTCTTTTAATGGTATCAAGTAACAACTGACTTTAGTAAATAGGGTTTGATGGAGTCATTGATTTCGCATACTGTTGTCCAATATAGTTTTATTTTACTGAACCTGATTCTAAGTTCACAATTTAAAAGTTGAAATCATTTCTTAATTATCCATATGTCTACTGGTAATCAGAAGTTATAAGACGTTGATTTCACACTTTCATTTAATCTAATTTTTGTATTAAATTTGCAATTGATTGATCACTGGGTGGTGATCAATGTCATGCATGTCAAGTCCTTCTTAGTGCTGATCGAATGCTATCGATCAAGTTGCAATGTGGCCACTAGTCTAGACAGCTCGACACTGTGTGCACGAAACCCGGGTCCAGGGTTTCCTGTTGACCACCTCCAACCACCATCTTATCTCTATTGTATTAAAGTTATTTATTGTATCCTTGATAATGACGGATACCCTATGTTATTAAGTATTTAAATGGTACTTCAGTAGTTAGAAATAGAGATGATCTGTCAAACCAGTAATGTGTATAATAAATGGTTCATCATCAAATTTCACGTTTTTCTCAGCTTACCATTTACTGGACATCACACCTAAGATTTTATAATCCACTAATAGTCAGAGTCCATAAGTGGCGTTACTTGAACAATCTAAAAATAAGACGAAACAATTGGTTAATGCTTCCTGGATTTTAGTATTCCTCCCCCCCCCCAGCTTATATCAAGTTATGGCATCATCATTTGTTTTCTTGACAAGATTGGAAATTGAACGATCCTTAACTTTAATTTTATATATCCCTTTAACTTTTAGGTGTATATGCATTCATTCGTGTAAGCTCTAATCATCTGTATGTTTTGTAGTAATCTTAATCTTCCCTCCTTGTTTTTTGTCTCCTTCCGTCTCTAACTAATGTATTTAGACACAAATCTCACTAAATCCTGATAACCATACAACAAATAGTTAATTTACAAAATGACAATCAATTGTCTCAATCGTTACTGTTCCTTCTCTAAATATCAGTTCATCTTCTCTAATTCCATTGTTCATGTATTTTCCTACCAATCGCGCTTCATTTCAGTCCTTTCCTTATCGATCTTCTGCCAAAATATATTCTATGACTGACCCTCGCTATATACTACTTATATGGATATAAGTAGACCACACTACACTACCATTGCAAAGTCTGGTAGTAAGTTTCCAAAAATCTGATTTATTGTTCAACGGTTCTTTAGCTAAAATTCTTTCATAATCTAAAATACATTAAGTGAACTTGTTTGTTTGTTTTCAAACATTGTGATAAAAAAAATAAGGTGAATACACTCATATCAGATGAGTAAATGAAAACAATGTGTGCCAGAATCGATCACAATGGCGCAGGTGTATACACTCGCCTATGGTGACTGTCTAATGCATCTGTGCTCAGACAACCATTTATTTTTAGCAAACACTAGTTTTAGGCATAAGGAGAGACATAATCTAACATGACTACCCCTACGTCAAACCAACGTTGGACTCAAATAGACTATATTGCCATCAGTCAACGTTGTAGAAGCTTTATAGAAGACTGTCGCTCGTTCTGGAATACCTGTTTTGGACTCCGATCATGTTCTAATACGAGCGCGCATTTGCTTGCGACTCACTGGACTTTTGCCAACTTATGTGACTTATGGAGAAGGCGAGATATCCGTCAATCAAATAAGGGACGAGTATACTGCGTGGCAGACTATTAGTGAATGATGGTAAATCAGTTGATGAAGTTGTGAATCTTTACCAACTGAGATGGTTGAGCCACGTGTTACGTATGCCTGAACATCGATTACCACGACGCTCAATGGTGACTAGTGTTGGAGATGGTTGGAAGAAAGTTAGGGCGGTTAAAGTGAAACGTGTCATCAGTGTTTGAATTTAATAACTACTGGTCTGAGCCATGTTGATGAATGCAGACTACTTGGTTGGGGTGACCAATGGATGGAGACTCTTTGTGACATGGCTCAATATCGATCACAATGGTGTAGGTGTATACACTTTCTGTCTTCCCTTAAACTATGAGATTAAAATTGCTTGATGTCTTCTTTTCTTCCAGTACTATATCTTTACATACAATCTTTCTTTTATATATGACCACCATTAAATTAACTACTTCTATGAATTTGGTGTTCATGTTGTTGTGCTAATGAAGTATGGCAACTTGGACCGATGCACATATTTGCCTGATCCTACGTTGTAGCTGACTGACTGTTAACTTTTAGAACAGGACTAAGATAGAACACTAGTTAAAACGTTTTAAAAGAATTATCGGCAAGTTGCAAGTTATATTTGAATCCTGTGACTTATATATGTAAACATTAATACATAGAAAACTATTCATTATCCATATCATTACATAGTAATACGTTTCACTGTGAATTTGAATATTAAGATGCATATTGTTTTCTAAAATTATGTGAATTTTCGGCGAGACTATAAATTATGGATTAGCCAATCAGAAGAGCATGAGCAATTTTAATGTCACAGCACCAATTTCAGTATCTGATGCTCATGTACGATCGGCTCACAGAGGATTTTAGAGAAGGCTTGTCAATTAAGCTGCTACAACAATTGAGACTACTAAGAAGTTCCTGTATTTGTAATTGCGGTAATTAAATGACTTGCAAACCTTGTGCAGACTACAGTGATGTTGTCCTTCGACGTAATATCTGTTGCAGAAAGACGTTTGCTAGAAAAGGAACCTTTATCACTCTGTCTAAATTGAGACTACGACAGATTATAATCATGGCTCCAGATACCGACTATTATGGAGCCATATGGATGTGTTCCTCTACACTTTTAGAACTTTAAAACCTCTTTTTAACCCTGACAGGTTTTTGGAACATGTAAAAGAAGTGTATCCACTCTAATTGTTTGGTGTCGTATAGTACGTTTTCACTTTATACTAACTGTATTCTGATTAACTAATATTCCTCAAGGTCATTCATTCAAAGGTCGCCCATAACTTATAGTCTCGCCGAATTTTCTATTGAGTTGATAAGCTTAAACCGTTCTCCGAATGCTTCAGTTTGAACTATCCTTATTCTTAAAGTGGGACTCAAACTTGAGTGTATGGATTGGTAATTAGCTTACGACTTGGGTCAAACTTACTTTGCTTTCTTCCTCATGTCGACTGATTAATTGAATTGAACAATTGATCATTCTTGATGTTTTATAAGCACAATTTACTACTTTGTACTGCATGTCATCACATTGTTCTCAAGGTTTATTGATTAGAAGTGTTTAACATAGTAGTGACAAACAATAATTCCCTTTCAAAAGGGATAGTTCTTCCTCGTTTTTTTAAAAAAATAATGCACGTTTTGCTCTGTTATTCTTTTACTCCTTATTTGCACAGTTTGTATTAGTTAGTTTGTAGAAATACACTTATTTCTTATCACAAGATAAACGTTGTCAGTAAACTACTTGTATATACACTTTATCCTGTGAGTTACTCCATGAGTGCACTGATGATATTTGTCATTCTTTGTTATTATAAGTAATATACAAAGTTTGTGAAGATTTGAAGTAAGCTCATATGACAGACTCATTCCAATTGGAATACCGTGAAGTACTGGATGGTTGTTTCTTCCATCAACAGTTTTGACTAGTAACCTGAAAGGTGATCGAGACGAAGAATTTAAAACACTTTGGCGATTTTGTAACCATCATATAACTGATATTTCCAAAATCAATCAATCTGCAATATTCAGTGATCATTATCTTTTGTTCTTGGTGATATCTAGATTATTCCCCCATAATGTTCACTAAGAATTAGATAATTGAGACGCATGAACTATCTAGTGCTTCCAATTTTCATAGGGTGTTTAGTCAAATTTGGTTTCTAATGTTACTTAATTTATAAATATTGTCAAACTTTTTCATATTAGTAATAGACCAGAGGGGGTTTTGTGGAGAATTTAGTATTTTCACACTTGAAATCATGGGTCAATTAAAGCTAGACCACCAAGTCTGTTGTAGAGATATCAACTCACTGAAGACAATTGGTGAACGGTCGCTCAAAAATCATGGATTAGTTGAAGTTAGATATTAACACCATCGGATGCCGGCTCAGTGGTCTATCTGTTAAGGGCTTCGGCTCGAGAATGCTAGGTCCTGGGTTAGAATCTCGCGAGGCGGGATCGTGGATGCTTACTGCTGAGGAGTCCCATAATAGGACGAGTTGGCCGTCCAGTGCTTCCAGGTTTTCGATGGAGGTCTAGCTTCAATTGACCCATGATTTCAAATGTGAAAATATTAGTAATAGACTGACTGATATCATTTAATCTCTTTATCATCATTCAAGGAGCAAAATTCAGGAAAAACAACACCTGAAGAAAACAGAGTTTATGAAGGTCGAACCCCGTTACACTTGGTTTGTTCACGTGAATATGATTTACTGGTAAATGATTTAAACTTTATTTTTCAATAAATCATCTCATTATAATTTAACTAAACGTTATTACAACTCATGACTTCCAACTTAGATAAACGCATTTCCTATACTCCTGCCTAACAGGCTGAGATAGTGAGAGAACTGAGAAATGACTAGAAATCTATAACTGGTATAACTAGTTCAATTGGTATGCAAATTATAAGTACATTTCTCCTTCTGATTCCATTATCAACATGTAGGTTGTGATCTTGACTAAGAGTATTGTTGGCATGTCTTGTTTGTAATTCCTCATTTACTGCCAGACCTTGAGACAGCATGCGATCACATGTATATAATATGTCTAGATCCGCCTAGACTATCATGAATCATGGCTAATCAGAGTTTAGAAACACATGAAGTAAGAAATTAGTTCGGTTTATTTCTATGAATTAAAAAGTCCTCAACACGTTTTAACATCTACGATTTCATTCTCCTATTAGTTGAATGCATGTTTTTTCAACATTCGTTCATATTAAATTAATGCGGTATTCGCTCAGAATAACGTTCAATTGTATGATTTCGTTGTAGAATCCATATATTCATCCCAGTCATCTATGATATTCATTGGCTAACCGCCAAATGACAGTAAAATCCACTAAAATCAGATCGAGAAATCATCTCTCAATTGATAGAAGAATTTCTATTCATTGAAAACCAAGTATCCAAAAACTGCTATCCAAATGATATCAGCTCACAATGGAAAGTAATTCCACAAACATACGTTCTGAAAGTTATATAAAGAATGAATGTGTGCTCATCAATGACTAGCTTTGAAATCAGTTTACCAAAGATCTATTGACAAACTGTAGTTAGTGGAAAAAGATGGATAGTGGCTAGCAGTGGAATCCAGGACGCGCGTTTCGTCCTATTTTGGAATCGTCAGCTGGATGTACCTGCATCTCAGAGTTTGATGTTCACTCTAGGACTCAATGGCCGAGTGTATGACGCGATGGCGTTTGAAGCGAAAGTTACTGGGTTCGACTCTCAGAGTGAACATCAAACTCTGAAATACAGATACACCCAGCTGACGAGTCCCAAATAGAACGAAACGCGCGTCAATCTGGATTCCACTGCTAGCCACTATCCATCTTTGCTTACGTAGTTAGTAGAGTTTAAATTAATCAAAATTGCAACACAATATACTAGACAAGCTATTTCATGAACTGAATAAGGAAATGTTAATAAAGGTCATTCACTGATTTAGGTACATAATGCTCAATACAGTCTCATACAACTCCATGAATGATCATTTTTAACGAGTACAAAACTAAGAAGAATCAACTGTCTATTGCTTTGTAGTTCTCAATTTATTATTTAAATAATAGCCCTAATATATTGAGTATATAATAGAATGAACTCAATTTTCCCTATTGCTTCCTTTTCCTATTCATTAGAATTCAGCTATCATTACAAAATGCCTTTTAAAGCATAATGCTAATCCAAATTTATTGTGTAATGGTCATTCAGCGCTCAGTGTTGCTATAGCAACTGGAAATGATCCAGTAGGTTTTTTTTATCTGACATTCAAACTAATACTTTGAGTTATTTCCTTTTATAACTATTAACTATAATTTTAGTAACATTACATGTTTCTATCTATCTCTATGTAATTCAATTCCGAAACTACCCATCGAACTCTTTTAGTATCATAATCAGTAGTCAATACTCATTCAATTGGATACATTGTAAGAAAAAAAGCAACAGTATAATGAAGTGTAGATAGATTATATAATGAATCTATTTAAGTTTTCCTACAGGTTATTCTGTCAAAACATTGACCAAACATCTTAATGATTGCAGTTTATTAGCCTTCTTGAACCCTTGTAAGGATTTCAATGCATTTGGAAGAGTCCTTACACGGTTGTGTTAATTTCATGTATTCAGGCTAAGCATTATGCGCTTAGGAATAAACGTTTTACCACTAACATTAGCTATGATGTAATGATACTTTAATGTTTCATAAATAAACAAATCTTGTGCTGAAGTCAATGAGAAAGAGAAGCTATATGATTAGATCGTCCGTCAAAGACTCGTAAGTTACTAATATTTGACCACAGATGTCTTAGAAATATTGCTCGCATCTGCTGAGATCACCGAGTAAGTAATAGTGAGGTTCGATGCAGGGTATTAGGGAGTGATGGTAAATCAGTTAATGAGGTTGTGAATCTTCATCGACTGAGATGGTTAGGCCATGTGTTACGTATGCCTGAACACCGATTACCACCACGCGCTATGCTGACTAGTGTAGGGGATGGTTGAAAAGAGTTAGGGGCGGCCAAACCAAAACGTGGCATCAGTGTTTGAAGTCACTAACTTCTAGTCTGAGCCATGTTGGTAGATGCAGACTACTTGGTTGCGGTCCGCATGACTATCGTAACCAATGGCTGGAGACTTTAAGTGACATGGCTCAGAATCGATCACAATGGTGTCGGTGTATACACTTTTTATCTTCCCTTAAACCTTGAGACTAAAATTGCTTAAAATATTTCTTCTTTTTGTGCTATATCCTTATATACAACCTATAATTTATATACTACCACCAACACTAAATTAACTACTATGAATCCGGTGTTCATCTTGTTGTGCTAACGAGGTATGGTAACTTGGACCGATGCATATGTGTGCCTGGTCCTACGTTGTAGCTGACTGACTGACTAACTGACTGACTGACCGTCAAATATAGTCTTACCCAAACTATAGAGAAAGACATGAACATTTACCACGTCTGATACTATCATTTATACTGTCAAGTGGCAGTTAATAATTTTTCTTTATTGTTTTACATATTTTAAGTAGTTTAAAAAGATGTTTCTGTTGCTCATTATAAGTTGTATTTGAATTTTGAGCAAAATACCTAAAAGTTTAATTCTCAATTCTGATTGATTCATTCCTACACTGTACCAATGTATTTTTTTCAGTTATATAGTGACTAGCGTTGGGATTCAGAACACTTTATATAAGTGACAATATCAAAGCAGATCTTTCATAATGTGGATATGCAAATAGAGACTGAGAAATTTCAGGCTTCAACATTAACAACGATTAAATAGAATCCTTTACAAAAATCACCGCTGTTAGAAAAATAAATTATTAAAAAATATCAGAATGAAGGGGTTTTGTGGAGATTCTAGTTATTTTATAGTTGAGTTCATGAGTCAATTGAAGCTAGATTACCATGTAAAACCTGAAAGCATTGAACGTCTATTTCATCCTAGTATGATGTTGGTGAGCACTACTCATCCACGATCTTACCCGCGGGACTTTTACCCAGGAACTATTGATCTCGCAAGCGAGAGCTTAACCTCTGGATCACTAAGCCGGCATTCAATAGTGTTAATGTTCAACTTTTATTCATAAACATAAACGCAGCCTCGTTTTGTTTTATTTACGTCCTTTTTTTTCAATATTATTTTGTTTTAGTGTATTAATGCCTTAATCAACCATCAAAATACAAACATAAATCAACCATTAGGAGATGGTTTAGGCTCAGCTCTTTGTATTGCATGTTCAAGTTTATTTGAATTTAGGAGACCAATTGAATCACGCTTAGAATTAATCAAACGTTTAATCAATAAAGGGGGTATTGACAGTTTTCAATTATTTGTTTTATTAAAATCCAAGGGAATTTATGGTGAGTTTAGTACATTTTCTAAAAATACGTTTTCTATCATTTCTACCTAGTGAAATTTTCAATTAAATATGAACCTAGCGAATAGATACTTTTTTCATTTAGCTACTACTTTACACATGGCCACGTGTATACAACCATTGACAAGAAAGTCCTACTCACTGTCTTCTCGTGTCAGGGGTGTTGTTTACGAAACTGAGAAGATGAGAAGCGAATGTCCGGCACTTTAACCGGGTTATTTGATATGGAGGGTTCACCTAGGGGAGTTGGAAAACCTTAATTCCAAACCAATGGTGTACATTGGCTCCAGAATCCTGAAGGAAAAAATGGCTTTTGAACCAATTATTGGTCACAGGCTACCATGGGACTGCATCTTGTGGATCAGACCTTTAGGTCAAAGGCTCGTAATGTGGCCTCCTAATTATGCCACCTGCTTCAATTTGGGCACCCGGATAGTATCACAGCCAACACATAAATCAAGTCACATGTGTGGAGCATATGTATTCGGCACCTCTTTGTACCAATAACTTTACGAAAGGTGTTCAAAGATCAGGTTTTCTTTTTTTCATGATGACACTTCAGAAATAATTAAGTTTAAACCAAAGTAATTTCAATGGTTTATTGACGATATGAAGATCATCGCTTATGTATATATTTCTATCTATCTATTCACAGTATTTTATAATCGATACTGTACATTCATTAAAGAATATTTGTCCTCAGTATTTACTTCGAGGAATTTATTCATTCTAATTAAAATGATCGGTATTGTATTTATTGATCATCGCGAAGACAAGTGAACTCAACAACGTCACCATCATCGTACATTAGCTCAAATAAAATCAAGCATAATGGAGTTTATTTACAAATTTTCAAGCTAATGTATTCAGATTATCTGTATTCTATGCAAACATTAACAGAGAGTCAATTATTCAGTTGATTAGAATAATATCAATAGCATTGTCAGAGATCAACAGTTAATTCGAAAATAAAAATGGAATTTCAATATTGAGCAATCACTAACAAGGTCACCATAATAAGTTAAAAATTGAAAAACATTAAGAGTGAGTGGATGAAAACATGATATCAATCCATGAAGCCATTGACCGCTTGTTTATGTCACGTCATCAGGTATAGAATTCCTAGTTGTAGAGTTCGACATATTTGAACTTAGTGTCGGAAGACATTAGATGCCATACCGCAAAGCTGGTCACAGTGTAGTATTCACACTCAATATCTCTCTTTCTCTATTACAAAATGTCATCTCCAGCTTCATTTATCTGTCTATTGAACATATTTCCAATTTGAGTTTAAATTTATTCCTTCAATTTCGCTTACTAAGTTTTTTATGTCCTATATTAATGTGAATTGCAAACATTCAAACCTACACATTAATTCCAAATCCCAAGTCCAATGTACTTACCAATACTCTCCGCCTTTTAATTCCAATCTAGTTGATTCCAACGTATAATATAATGTAACTTTAAATCAGACACCAACTCCATAAAACCAGCTTAAATCAATCTATGCATTAGTATTTAGAAACACCGTGAAAGCATACTTCACTGACGAGTATTTTGTAGCCGTATTTATAACTAAGTTAGTAGATAGTCTTTTCACTTCAAATCTCAAGAACATATAGGTTAAGCAGCAATCTAAAATCGCTACATTAAACCTGATTGGTTTGTTAACAAGGAATATTTATCTTAATAAACCTCTTATATCTCTTACTTCAATGGGAAGATTCAAACAAACAATACTAAGTAAATTTCAACTTCACCCCATTGCACAAGCAAGTGACTATCAGAACTCAGTAGCTGAGTGGATAATGTGATGGCGTTTGAAGCGAAAGGTACTTGGTTCGAGTCCCAGAGTGAACGTCAAACTCTGAGATGTGGCAGGTACATCCAGCTGACGATTCCACAATGGGACAAAACGAGCGTCCTGGATTCCACTGCTTTCCACTATTCATCTTTGCTTACAAATCTCTTATATGTTTATCTGTTTCTTATTATATAACAGGGAATGTAATAGACTTTACTTACATGGATTATACAAAAGATACAAGAATTTCTAAAACACCATATCATGCATTAAATGAAATTGAAAAAGAAACTTATAATGGAAGAATGCAAATTTTAACTTATTTAGCTGATCGATTAAGAGAATTTGCTTATTCAATAGAATATACTACTGATAATACTACTGAACAAATCAATTTTGATCAAAATGAATTAAATGATAAAACTATTAGTTATCCTGTTAAAACTCGTAAGTATAACATTATTTTGTTTTGTTTTTATATGATAATAAGTAGTCAATGCGTTATGTTCGGATCTGGTTCCTGTTACTTGTTGAAAATTGATTATAGACTCTCTTCCAGACTAGTTCACTTACATTGTGCTTAGAAGTTTTAAGATTATTTCCAACTAAGCTTAGACATTAACACCGTTGGATGCCCGCTCAGTGGTCTATCAGTTAAGTGCTCTGGTGCTAGACTGGTAGGTCTTCGGTTTGAATCTCGCGAGGCGGGATCGTGAATGCGCAGTGCTGATGAGTCACATAATAGACGAGACAGCCGTTCAGTGCTTCTAGGTTTTCGATAGTGGTCTAGCTTCAATTGACTCATGATCTAAACTCCATAAAATTACTAAAATCTCCACAAGACCCCTTCTGATAAGTGATTCAAGACAATAAACGTGAAGTCCGTAGTTTAGGTTGTTTTTTTTAGTTGATACATGTCAGAAAGGTGCTGATAATGTTTTTTAAGAATATTATCAATCAGAAGGGGATTTGTGGAGATTTCAGTATATTTCAAAGTTGAAATCATGAGTGCGGGATCGTGGGTGCACACTGCTGAGGGGTCCCATGATAGGACGAAACGGCCGTCCAGTGCTTCCAGGTTTTCGATGGTGGTCTAGCTTCAATTGACTCATGATGTCAATATTATCAATATTTCACATCTAAATGGTCTATATTACAGAACATAATGTCAATAAACTACTCTTTCTTCATTGGATACTTGTTTTCTTTGAGAGATAACTATGCTATCATTTCATTTGATGAATAATGTGATTCAAGTCTGTATAATTGAACGATCATTTCAACTCTTACAAACTCTGAAGAACTTACTAAAGATGGAATATAGCCATCAATAGAATGTAGGCCGCACATTTCATACTATTTAGCACTCGTCAGTTGAATGTGCCTCCATCCTAGTGTTGATGTTAGCATTGATACTTGAATCCATAAACTTTCGCTGTGTAAATGACCATGTATTATCCACTAAGCTATCGAGTTTCGATAGCCACTAGCTTTATCAATGGGTGCAAAGCTTTTTTACATGGAAGAATATGAGTTCTCTCTTTATTAAAATAATGAGATTTACTTGGTATATTACTTTCAATCATCAATTCGAACTCTTAACTGTAGCATACAATGAGAATTTAATGAAAACTAGAGCGATTAAATTTTATGATCCCGTTGTTTCTTTTTCAGCATCTTCTAAGCTTTCGCGTCAACAATCGCCGACTTATCTCAAGAAAAACAGGTTTGTGTACACTTGATTTTTCAATTTTGATACGATATATTAGTGAACAATGCTGTCTTCAATTAAATCACTTTGAGTTGTCTTTCATATACCTTCATCATTTACCAAAGGTGTGCTATCCTTGTTTCTACACACACACATCTACCCCTTCTTTGGCCAGATACGAGTTAATGAACGGTTCCACTAACTTTTTTTTAATATTCTGTATTTATTTGTTATTTCATATCTCTTCCATTTATATTCTTGACAATCTCATTATTTACACGCTTCTTATGACGTAATTTTAAATATACTGTGGGATTCAAAGATGGATAGTGGCTGGCAGTGGAATCCAGTTTATACGCACGTTTCGTTCTATTTGGGACTCGTCAGTTGGATGTACCTTCATCTCAGAGTTGATGTTCACTCTGGGACTCGAACCCAGTATCGTTCGCTTCAAACGCCATCACATTATCCACTCGGCCACTTAGTCCTGATAACCACTTGCTTGTGCAATGGGGTGAAGTTGAAATTTACTTAGTATTGTTTGTTTGAATCTTCCCATTGATGTTTTTAAGACTGCAACTCGTTAGTCTCTAATTGGCATATGTGCATACTGTGCGTATTGCCACTGCTAGCCACTATCCATCTTTGCTTACCATGCTTGTGAATTTAGGCTATATTGAGGCAATACGCACATTATGCACATATGCCAATAAGAGAGTGACCAGTTGCAGTCCTAAAATCATCAATGGGAAGATCCAAACAAAAAATACTAAGTAAAGTTATTTTAGTCTAATCAAATTGACTGAAATTGGTGATGTAAACCATTTGTTTAAAAGTCACTTGCTTGTCACTGTACATGAGTGTTTTGATGGTTCAATCTTTGATGTGACCCTAAGTAGGTAAGGATGAGAAGTCTTAAAGTTCAACAAAACAATCATTAAGTACTCTCTGGTCTTCATCAGTTTGCTGGACGAAATGATTATTTGATCAAAACCATCTTCATAGTGAACTAGTTTTCAAAAACCTTTCAACTTAAAAACATTAATCATTGGAAATATCAACACATTCATGAACGTTTAAGCTGACAAAGAAACGTTATTGCGGAGGTGAAGGGTTTTGATAATATTACATCATAAGAAATAGCTCGCTTCTTCCTAAAGTTTATTTTGACAATAATATTTTTGTTAAGAATCAACCAGATATCTTGTATTGCTACACAACAACTATCGATGGTACCCAGAACCTAGTGGTTCTCTACATTATTTCTTACGGTGACAATGCTAAGCAGTGTTTAAGAATACGAAACAATGATCAAACGGTATTTCACCACCCCCTACCCATTCTTAATGGTTTTTCGAATAATATTGGTTTATTCAAATTAAATAATCTCCACTAATTTCCTTTGCATTTTAGCTGTATATCCTATTCGTTTTGCTATGAATGTGGACGTTCTGTCGGTGTACGTCTAACAGTATGTTCACGCTGTCATAGAGTATATTTTTGCTCCAAAGTTTGTAAACTAAAATCATGGACAATGCGACATAAAAATGAATGTTATTTAACTCCGGGTAAGTGAAGTTTAAATAGTTCTTAAGAATTTTTATTCTTATATCAATGTTGTTATCATTGGGAAACTTTAAAAAAATAGTTGATCAGTTTTATAAGCAAAGATGGATAGTGGTTAGCAGTGGAATCCAGGATAAGGCGCGTTTCTTTCAGTTTGGGACTCGTCACTGGGACACACCTGCATCTCAGAGTTGATGTTCACTCCGGGATTCGAACCCAATACCGTTAGCTTCGAAGGCCATTATGTTATCCATCTTTGCTTATAAAGCTTGTGACGTAATGCAATAATGAGGCAGTTCACAAGAGATGCACGCATCCCAATAAGAGACTGATCAATTACAGTCCTAAACAGCAATGGAAAGATTCAAGTAAACAATGCCAAGTGAATTGATCAATTGTTCGTTTCATTAATTTATCAATTTTACAAGAGCTTATAAACATGCAGAATAATAAGCATATAGAGCAGTCAAACGATAAAATCAAGTGCTATGGAACATGTATCTAGATGGCTTCAAAATCAGTTAGTTTCAAATGCTCCTGTAAAAGTAGGAAGTAGAGAACTATATTCATCAATAGTAAAATACATGATTAAAACAGCCCATAGAATTCATATCAATGCAACTTTTAAAACTTTGTATATGAATTACCAAAGAACAATTCCTAAGTTTATAGAAACCTTTAGCTACTCACAAATTCAAACCCTCTCTATGTGTACAAAAACAGTCTACTCTAGTAATTTTTTTAGTTGATCATTCCGTATTCTTATAACTTAGCATCCATTAGTTTAGCTCACGAGGCGAAGTCGTGGATGCGCACTGCTGAGGAGTCTCACAATAGGACGAAACGGCCGTCCAGTGCTTCTAGATTTTCCCTGGTGGTCTAGCTTCAATTGACTCACGCTTTCAACTATGAAAATACTAAATCTCTAGAGAACCTCTTCTGATACTACGAATAAATGGTAAATGTTGTTACCCGGATAATTTGTAGACAACTTTCATTAAGAATTGAAACCAACCGAAGAATCATGATAATTTTCATCTCAATCCTTGAAAAATCTTATTAAATCATACATCTAAATAATAATCATGTACTAATTAATACATAAATTGAAGCCAGATTTCTCGAAGATCCTGTAAGTGAACCTTTATCTGTAGTGGTTAGGAGGGACAGAGTAAAACACAAACTTCCTTGATGACACTAAATGAAGAACTCATTTTACCTTAGTTATCCAGTCACTTACCTAGTCATCATCAAAATGGGACTTCATACCTGACTATATGAGAGTAATAGATGTCACATTAATAGAAATCACGTATATGATCATTAGGACTTACTGCGTTGATAGCTTAAATTTAAAACAATCTCTACTATATAATCCTGAATACAGTAAATGGTTTAAAATCAGTCCTTGTTTTACTCAACAAAAGTAAGTATCCTGCCAATTGATATGACCATTTTTTCAATATGAAGCACAACACTAAATAAATTCACTTGGTATTGTTTACTTGAATCTTCCTATTGACGTTTAGGACTGTAATTGATTCATCTCTTATTGGCATATGTGCATCCTGTAAGGATTGCCTCTATATTGCCTAAATTCATAAGCCTATTAAGAAAAAATGAATAGTGGTTAGCAGTGGAATCCAGGTCGCGTATTTCGTCCTACTTGGGACTCATGAACATCAAGCCTGAGATTCAGGTACATCCGGCTGACGAGTCCTGAATAGAACAAAACGTGCGTCCTCGATTCCACTGCTAATCACTATCCATCCTTTCTTGAACAGCACTAGATAGTTTAAAGTTATTTAAAAACAGAAAACTTAATTACTTATTTATTCTAATTGATCATGTAATGTCAATAGTAAACATTTAACCAGTACGATCTATGTTTCATTCAAATTATAGAACTTCAAACTGAAAGAGATCGACGAAGTCCTACAAAAGTTCTACCAAAACTTACAACAAATAAACAAGTAAGTAAATGTTAAATTATTCCTTGGTTATATACATATTTTTTACTCTCTCCACTTTTGTAGTTAACAAGATATTCGTCTGCCTATCATCAATAAGTGCAATGTCCAAAACGTCATTTTAATTTACTTTATTGAACTATAAGTATATGAGTGCCGCCAAATGCTCTGGTACGGCCGAGAATGGGGAGAGTCCGCTCTCCCCCTCCAAATGCTCTCACATGGCCAGCGAATATATAGCCTCTACCGGGGAAGTCTTACTCACTACCTTCTCGTGGCATCGGTGTTGTTTACGAATGTGAGAGGACGAAAAGCAAATGTCCGGCGTTTTAACCGGGTTGGTGGACACGGAAAGTCTACCTAGGGGAGTTGGAAAACCCTGATTCCAAACCAATGGTGCACATGGGCTGGCTCGAGGATCCTGAAGGAACAAAGGGCGTATAAACTAATCATTGGTGACCGACTACCATGGGACTGCATGTTTTCACGATGCTCCACTGCCTTGTGGATCAGACCTTTAGATCAAAGGCTCCAAGTGTGATTGCCTAAGGAAACCATCTGCCTCAGTTTGAGCACCTGGGTAGTACCATAGCCCTCACACAAATCGAATGAGATTTGTGTGGCGTATATGTATCTGGTGCTTCCTTGTAAAAATATTTGTGTTTAAATAAATAAATAATTAGTATATGAGTATGTTGATAGAATTTATTTTTGAGTAATTGACATTTAATGTAAACCCCAAGAATATCGAAATAAGACTAAATGTATATTCAGTAAATTAGCTTATCCATAAATCTACCAACAGGTATTCACTAATTAAAATTGATGTGATAACTATTATGAATAACTAGACATCACCTATTCCAATGTGATATGGCGATTTTATTTATTTATTTAAACACATAAATATTGGTACAAGGAAACACCAGATAAATGTGCGCCACACAAATCTCATTCGATTTGTGTGAGGGCTATGGTACTACCCAGGTGCTCAAACTGAGGCAGATGGTTTCCTTAGGCAATCACACTTGGAGCCTTTGATCTAAAGGTCTGATCCACAAGGCAGTGGAGCATCGTGAAAACATGCAGTCCCATGGTAGTCGGTCACCAATGATTAGTTTATACGCCCTTTGTTCCTTCAGGATCCTCGAGCCAGCCCATGTGCACCATTGGTTTGGAACCAGGGTTTTCCAACTCCCCTAGGTAGATTTTCCGTGTCCACCAACCCGGTTAAAGCGCCGGATATTCGCTTTTCGTCCTCTCACATTCGTAAACAACACCGATGCCACGAGAAGGCAGTGAGTAGGACTTCCCCGGTAGAGGCTATATACTCGCGTGGCCATGTGAGAGCATTTGGAGGGGGAGAGCGGACTCTCCCCATTCTCGGCCGTACTAGAGCATTTGGGAGCCATATGGCGGTTATCATGGAAATAAGTTAAAGGAATCCTTGAGATGAACAGATCAAACTTTTTTATTGGTTTATAAGTCTGTCGATGGTTTGCTTCTAAGCCGTATCAGATGGTTAAGATTTCTTGTTTGGTTTTTATTCATTATTTGTCAGTCTAATTGGTGTCTATGTCTTGATTAATTGCCCTTCGTACTTTTTTGTATTTAAATTCATTTCTACATTTCAGTTTTGATTATAGTTGACACCAGTGATCCCGTTAATTCGATTCTCAAATCGATGAGTTGCTTTCTGTGTGTTGATAGTTTTAGGCCACTGCATACTAAAAGGTTACAACAAAAAGTTAGAGTAATGATTATTCTACAATAAGATTTAATCTTGTTAGTCAAGGTTGCTTCCTCTCACCCTTTCTTTTTCTCCTGGTGATCGACTGGATCTTGAAGACGTCAACATCTGGAGGAAAGCACGGGACACAATGGACAGCTAGGATGCAGCTGGACGATTTAGACTTCGCAGATGATCTGACTGTTCTATTACAAATACAACAACAAATGCAGGAGAAAACGGCCAGTGTAGCAGCAACCTCAGCAGCAGTAGGTCTCAATATAAGCGAAAGGAAAAGCAAGACTCCCTGATACAATACAACATGCACCAATCGGATTACACTTGATGGAGAAGCTTTGGAGAATGTGGAAACATATACATATCTGGACAGCATCATTGATGAACACGGTGGATCAGACGCAGATGTGAGGGCGCGGATAGGCAAAGCAAGAGCAGCATATTTACAGCTGAAAAACATCTGGAACGCAAAACAGTTGTCAACCAACACCAAGATCAAAATTTTGAATACAAATGTCATGACAGTTCTACTGTATGGGGCGGGAACAATGTGAACTACTAAAGCCATCATCCAGAAGTTACATGTGTTTATTAACAGTTGTCTACGCAAGATACTTCGGATTCGTTGACCAGACACTATCAGCAACAACCTACTGTGAGAGTGAACAAACCGGATTCCATCCGGCGGAGGAAGAAATCAGGTAAAAGCACTGGAAGTCGATAGGACACACATTCAGAAAATTACCCAACTGCATAACAAGACAAGCCCTCACATAAAGTTATGTAGGTCAAAGAAAAGAGGAATACCAAAGAACACATTACGCCGAGAAATGGAGACATACATGAGAAGAATGATCAAAAACTGGATAGAACTAGGCAGACAAGCCCAGGATGGAGTGGGTTAGAGAATGTTGGTCGGCGGCCTATGCTGCATTGGGAGTAACAGGCGTAAGTAAAGTAAAGTAAAAAGTAAGATTTAATCTAATTGGTCGTTGGAGATTGGTAAATGACAAATTTTAAGTCCTCCATAATATGCAAATCCTTCAGATCCGTTTTAATATTTAACCAATATGTTCATCTAATAATGATGATTATGCACAATCTGACACTGTAAATAAATGATGAATAGACTGAGAGATTATATTACAGAATTCTAGTCAAGATCACAGACTCAACCATAAAATATCAATATCCATCCTTTCATAGATGAGTTTACTTCATTCAGTTATGTAGGTGATCAGTTCGTCCAAGATCAGATGACGGATTAATCTTCTGCTTATAACTTTTGTTGATATTAATCCAAATCTTTAAAAGGCTTATTGCCAAATTGTATATACTTCACGTTGGTGAATATGAATAAAGTTATGATGGTCTTCTCCTTCTAGTAACATCATATGTCAACTATTTTCTATATGATACTTCAAAGTGTCACAACTTTAATCGAGCCATCTCCATATTGTTAGAATCATTCAGCTATACAGATAGATGACTTAATGATTCGTGAGTTTTAAGTATTTTGATACACTTTCTCTAGTTTTCTATCTCAACTCTTCAATGTATACACTTCATCTAGTACTTCACTACATACATAAGCTAACAGTTTGGCGAGTTATAGTTTGAATACTTATATTTTGAAGCTGACATCATCCATATGACCAATACACTGACCTTATCTAAGAAAATGGATAATCGTGTTTTATTTCCAAAAGACTTTGTTTACTGAATAATTTTTCTAGAAAGCCTATTTTTGAATCTTTGTTTAAATTGATTAATTACATCTTTCAAGGTCATCTCCATATCATTTATGATATAAACATGCATTTATTTCTAACAAATATTGGATGAATTGTAAATACTTATTCGTTAAAAACTTTTGAAAGAACGGTTCTACAATATCCACCGTCTGATGATAATAATAATCATAAGCTCATTAGTGATTGTCTACAAGAGGTATTACCTGGAGTTCTAGTGAGAAGTAGTGACCAACCGAATTCACCCGAGTCTGTTGTGAGATAGTAACTCGCTGGAGACAATGGTGGATGAGTCGCTCAATTTCGTGGATTAGTTAAAGTTAGACATAAACAACGTGAGATGCCGACTCAGTGTTGGCGCGCAGGACCTCGGTTCGAATCTCATGTGGCGGGATCGTGGATATGCACTATTGAGGAGTCTGATATTAAGACGAAACGATTGTCCAGTGATTCAAGGTTTTCCACGGTGATCTAGCTTCAATAAAGTCATAAATTCAACTGTAGTCAATGAGAACACCAGTTGGGACAATCGAATGTATTTAAGACGCAAATCGCAGACTATCTCACTAAAATCTGACAACCATACAGTAAATAGTTAATTTTCGTAGTTGAAATCATGAGTCAATTGAAGCTAGACCACCATCAAAAACCTAGAAGCACTGAACGGCCGTTTCGTCCTATTATGGGACTCCTTAGCAGTGCGCATCCACGATCCCGTACTCGCGAGATTCGAACCCAGGACCAACCTGTCTCGAACCAGAGCCCTTAACCGATAGACCAATGAGCCGACATTCAACGGTGATCTATCGGTTAAGTGCTCTGGTATGAGACTAGTAGATCCTGGATTTGGATCTCGCAAGGTGAAATCGTGGATGTACACTGGTTAGGAGTTCAGTGCCTATAAGTTTTCCATGATGGTCTAACTTCAATTAACTTATCAATTCAACTATTTAGATTACTTTCATTTTGTTTTTATTTTTCAGGAAAACCATCAACTCTTATTAAATCAACAAAGAATTAATTCAAATTTAAATTGGAATTTATTCAATCATTTAACATGTTGTACAAGTAGTGGTGAATTCATTGGTATTATCTATCATCCTAGTTATAATTATCAATATTTATTAAATCATTATATGAAAATTAATGAAAATGGTCATATTATTATTGGGACATATAAAGGTGAAGGAAATTATAGTTTGATTTAATAAAACAAAAAACAAATTTCAAAAAAAAAAAAAAGAAAACTCTAAATCAAGATCAATTTTATGTTTTTTTTTCTTTCTTTTTCTTTCTTTTTCTTTCTTCTTTTTTTTCATTTCAAAGTTTTTTTTCTTGGCAAACCATTAAGAGTATTACATGTTATTTATTATTAATTTTTTTTCAAAAAATAAAAAATAAATAAAATAAATAAATATAATCAGAAGGGGTTTAGTGGAGTAATTTTATAGAGTTGAGATCATGATTTAATTGATGTTAGATCACTATCGAAAATTTGATTACAGTAAATAGTTTAAAATCAGTTATTGTTTTACTCAATTTTCGTGGATTGATTGAAGTTAGACATTAACACCATTGGATACCTACGGTGAAGACGAAATATCCATCTATCAATTAAAGGACGAGTATACTACGCAGCAATTCGCTCTGTTCTACTCTACAGCTGTGAAACATGGCTATTCAGAGTAGAAGTTAGTCATAAGTTACTAGTATTTGACCACAGATGTCTTAGAAATATTGCTCACATCTGCTGTGATCACCAAGTAAGTAATAGTGAGGTTCGATGCAGGGTATTAGGGAGTGATGGTAAATCAGTTAATGAGGTTGTGAATCTTCATCGACTGAGATGGTTAGGCCATGTGTTACGTATGCCTGAACACCGATTACCACGACGTGCTATGCTGACTAGTGTAGGGGATGGTTGAAAAGAGTTAGAGGCGGCCAAACCAAAACGTGGCATCAGTGCTTGAAGTCACTAACTTCTAGTCTGAGCCATGTTGGTAAATGCAGACTATCTGGTTGGGGTCCGCATGACTATCGTAACCAATGGTTGGAGACTTTAGGTGACATGGCTCAGAATCGATCACAATGGTGTCGGTGTATACACTTTTTATCTTCCCTTAAACCTTGAGATTAAAATTGCTTCATAACTTTCTTCCTTCCTATACTGTATCCTTATATACAACCTATAATTTATATACTACCACCACTAAATTAACTATTTCTATAAATCCGGTGTTCATCTTGTTGTGCTAACTAGGTATGGCAACTTGGACCGATGCATATGTGTGCCTGGTCCTACGTTGTATCTGACTGACTGACTGAGTGTATCGGTTAAGTGCTCTGGTGCCAGAGTGGTAGGTCCTTGGTTCGAATCTCGTGAGTGCGGGATCGTGGTTGCGCACTGTTGAGGAGTCACATAATAGGACGAAACGGCCGTTCAGTGCTTCCAGGTTTTCGGTGGTGGTCTAGCTTCAATTGACTCATAATCTGAACTCTATAAAATAATTATAATAATGAAAATATCAAAGAGAAAAGTGTTTTTTCTGCATATTCTGAAATTGAAGAAGATTTGTCAAAATAATTGGAGTTGATATTTTACATTATTGAATAATCTGAACCAGACAACAAATGAAAATCAAAAAGTACTGAATAGCTACTTATTATTAGCATGGGGATTTACAGTAGTGAGTATCCATAACAACTTAAGTGATAATTTGCCAGATCAGACGCTCGACTTCGAGAACAACAGGCTGGACTCCAAAAGCATCGCTCATGCACAGACCATATTGCGACACTACGGGTCATCGTGGAACAATCAGATGAGTGAAATTCGTCACTATACATCAACTTCATCGACTATGAGAAGGCGTTTGACAGTGTGAACAGGAGAATATTATGGAATCTTCTTCGACACTATAGAGTTCCTGAAAAGATTGTCAACATTATCCAAAACTCATACGACGGACTACAGCGCAAAGTCGTGCATGGAGGACAGCTGATAGTTGCATTTCCAGTAAGGACCGGAGTCAGACAAGGCTGTCTATTCTCCCCATTCCTCTTCCTTCTGGTGATTGACTGGATTATGAAGACTTCGACATTTGAGGGGGAAATACAGAATACAATGGACTTCTCAGAATCAATTAGATAATTTGGACTTCGCAGATGACCTAGCCCTCCTATCTCATACATGCGAACAAATACAGAAGAAGACAACTAATGTAGCAGCAGCCTCCACATCAATAGGTCTTAACACACACAAAGGAAAAAGCAAGATTCTCAAATACAACACGGAGAACAACAACCCAATCACACTTGATGGCGAAACTATGGAAGAAGTTAAAACATTCACATACCTGGGAAGCATTGTTGATAATCAAAGAGAATGGGATGCAGATGTAAAAGCGAGGATTGGCAAAGCAAAGACCGCATTTCTACAACTGAAGAACATATGGAACTCAAAACAACTGTCAACTAACTTCAAAGTGAGAATCTTAAATACGAACGTCATTAACTACTACATCCATCGTCAAAAAGGCACAAGTATTTATAAACAGTTGTCTGCGCAAAATACTCAACATTCACCGGTCGGATACTATCAGTAACAGCGTTTTATGGGAGAGGATAAACCAGCTTCCAGCTGAAGAGGAAATTAGGAAAAGACATTGGAAGTGGATCGGACATACACTAAGGGAATCATCAAACTGCATCACGAGGCAATCCCTAACTTGGAATCCGGAAGGAAAGAGGAAGGCCACAGAATGCATTACTCCGGAAAGTAGAAGCAGATATGAAAAGGATGAATGTTAACTTGAAAGAATTGGAAATGATCGCTCAGGACAGGGTTGGATGGAGAATGCTGGTGTGCGGCCTACGCTCCTCGACGAGGGGTAACAGACTTAAGTAAGTAAGCGAACCTCTAGAAAAATTGTTTTTCACCCAGTGGTATATGTTTCTAATTTCAATTATCTCGTGATATTGTGCTATCGTCTTTCAATATCACTGATCAATGGCTACGTCACAGATGATAAAATTGAATTCAATTGGTCAGTTAGTCAGTCAGCTACAACGTATGACCAGGCACACATATGCATTGATCCAAGTTGTCATTTTGCTTTTTTTGTTTGTTTTTTTTTGGTAAAAAAAACTTGTTGAAATAACTCGTGCTGAGAATTCTATATTGTACCAGATTATAATATTGAATAAAGCCAATAATAATAACATCTCATTAGCACAACAACATGAACACCAAATCCATAGAAGTAGTTACTTCAACAGTTATAATTTATAAAAGAAAGATTGTGTCTAAGAATATAGTACAGGAAGAAAGAATTAGTTTGTACAAATAAAGGTATAAAGCAATTTTAATCTCACCGTTTGAGGGCAATCAAAGAGTATATACACCTACACCATTGCGGTCGATCGATCCTGGATCATATCACTCAGAGTCTCTAACCATTGGTTTTAATAGTCATGAGGACTGCAACCAAGTAGTCTGCATCTACCAACAAGGCTCAGACCAGAAGTTAGTGACTTTAAGGGATGATGCCATGTTTTAGTTTGGCCGCCTCTCAACTGGTCAATATTTCTCATGGAAGATATGAGAATTTCTCCTCGAAACTAGTTATTAGTAAAGACAGGATTATTACTGATTTTGAGTTTTCAGAGGTTGAACAGCTTCATAGTTTACATCAATGAATTACAATGACTAAATAAGCACTAAAAATCAAAAAGTATGTGATGGCTGTTTGGCAGTGGTATGGGACTCCTCAACAGTTCTCACCTACGACTTGCAAACATCTAATCAAATGACACCTTTTTATAAAAAGATAATCAAGCGTTGCCTGAAATTTTCCCCAAAAAATTTGAAATATCACAAGAAATTTTATCTAAGCTCAATGTTAACTGCAAATTTTCGAAAGCAAGTATCGAGTGTTCCTTTAAAAACAGATATAATTGAATTTTCGGATTAAGACGACAGTTAACAAGATTCTAGTAGCCTATTCATTTAGATTTCATTATTCAATACTGATTAACTTTCGATCCTGATGGATATAGTCCTTGCTTGGAATTGGTCAAACTAAATAGTCGCTTTCTAATCAATCGCGTTCGGAACCAATCGTCTTGAAGCCCTGAGTATGGGCTTATTATTAAGTAGCCTCTTGTCATTTAGGTATATATGAAATCTTAATAGAGATAATGTTCTATGTGGAATGAGGACGGATAACGTACCCAGTGAGGCATTAGTGTGGTGTGTGCTACTGATGTCGACAGATATAAGTAGTATGTATTATCAATCGAAAGTGGAATGCATGGAGGCAGAAGATTAAGAAGATCAAAGAAAAGAGAACGAGGACAAAGAATCCTTACTGTGGAAATGATGGAATAATGAAGTTTGAGATGATTGACTAATATTTGGAAAAGGAACTGTCAAGTTTGAGACAATTGATTGACATTTTACAAATGGAGTATTAACTGAATGGTTCTCAGATTATACCAAGAAGTTCTGTAATTTTGTGTTCAAATACATTCGATTGTCCCCATTTGTGTTTTTGTTCACTGCAATACCACAAACTGTATATGGTTAGGTACAGAAATGATCAAATTAGATATAGAAGTTGGATGATATATCTGATAGTAAAGAATAAAAGCATATCAATCACATAAGTGTGTTTCAATAGAATGAAATACGCATGAATCAGTATAAACCTTTTGTCACTCAACAATGATGCTGAAAGATAATCATGTCTGTTGGTGAGTTGGTCGAAGGTGGAAATACAAAATACATAAAAAGTTAAACATTGACCTAAAACCTTATTGATTTTTTGTTTACCACGAAATTCGAGGATTCTAAGTTCGATTATAGAATAAATTGTGTTTACTGTATACTTACTTACGCCCGTTACCCCTCCTGGAGGAGCATAAGCCTTCCATCAACATTTTCCACGGAACTATGTCCTGAGCAATCCTTTCTACTTGCTGTTCATTCTTTTAGTGTCTACTTCAAATTCCCGGTAAAAGATTTTAAATCAGAATAAAAGAATTGTCTAGTACTCTTTAGTTTGTATTTGTTTACCAACTGTTATCAATTATTAGTATGATAAGTTTGTAAAGGTTAGGTTTTATAGTTTGTATTACTTTCTGATATTTATTGAGCGATCATTCAAAACTGGATAATTGTGCCATCCTAATACGGACCTTCTCAGCAATGTGCGTCTATGGACCCACCAAGAACCTTCAAGCTTAAGTAAGAAAAGCTTAACTTTTTATCGTATGAGTTTATATCAAATGGTTTATAATTCCAACTTCAACCAATCATCATCACTATTACTTAAGCTTCTTCCAACCCTAGTAGATTCGATTTTGCTCAATTATGTTTTCATTCATCACGTTAGGACCACGACTGACATCCTACAGCAGAATTACCGATTTTAAAAAAGCAAATCCATTAGCATAATTACTGATTTCATTATCATTATTACAGTGACAAAGATTATGAATAAGAAGATATGAATCTGATCAGATGATAAATTACAATGTCTAGATAACTCTTTTCTTTTCCCGAAACACAATACCCTTTGATCTTGGCATTCTTTACTTGTGTTTTATATTCTTAAAGATGTAAAAGGTATTTCACCACAGAGTTCTACAATTGGTCGTTGTTGTCGAGCTACACTTGTAATTTCACATGGTATACACTGATGTGTATCAAAAAATTCTTGCTAAATATTCAATAGAGAAAAGAAAAAAAGAAAGAAAGGAAAATAAATTGACTACTGTTGACTATTTTTGTTTTCACTGTTGAAATCATGAGTCAATTGAAGCTAGACCACCATTGGAAAACCTGGAAGCACTGGACGGCCGTTTCGTTCTATTGTGGGACTCCTCAGCAGTGCGCATCCACGATCCCGCACTCGCGAGATAGTTGAAAAAAAGGAGATTTTGTGAGTGTTTTAGTGATGTCCAATAAGTTACAGTTTCAAAGCTTAGTACTCTAATACAGTATGATCTTGGTGAGAGGGGGTGGGTTGTTTTTACCTACTGATAAATGAATATAATGAGTATAACTGTTAATAATGGTTTATTCATATACCTATAATTAATTAGGAAAATTTATATTTGATAAACTAATGATGGCTTAACACAAACTTTGAACTGGCGATTTATGAGAAACCATCATCACACTTCCTGGAGCTCTAGTGAGAAGCAGTGACCAGTTGAATTCACCCGGGTCTGTTGTGAGATAGTAATTCACTGAACACAATGGTGGACGGTTGTGCAATTACGTGGATTAGTTGAAGTTAGACATTAACACCGTTAGATGCCGGCTCAGTGGTTCAAAGGTTAGGGGTCGGCGCGTAAGACCTGGGTTCGAATCTGGAGTGGCGGGGTCGTGGATGTGCACTACTGAAAAGTCTCATACTAGAACGAAATGACTGCCCAGTGATTGAAGGTTTTCCATGGTGGTCTAGTTTCAATTGATTCATAAATTCAACCATTAAATTACTATACTATCTACAAAACCCCTCTCTGATTAAAATCAGTTTTATTGGGCACATCATAATGAGTTTTAAGATAACAGAATCGTTCATGAATAAGCAGTGAATTCAGATGACTCAATTTCAATAGTTGGACTTTTTTCAGACTAACTTAACCAGGTAAATTGTATTGACAATGAACACACAATCTAACTGCAAACTGGACTAAAGTAGCCAAGGTTGCATAATAAATTAAATGTAAATGTTGGCAACTTATCATAAGTAAATTGATTGTTCATCTAATCAAAGCACATCCGTTTGTAAACCAATATTGGTCATTATAACTACTAATAAATACATTCAAATTTTAAGTATCACTGTCTCCCTACAACTTTTCCCAAAAGATTGTATTCTTATTATGTGTAGTTCAGTCAGTTAACGAGAACAGAAAGGTGATAACAAGTTTAATTATCAACCATACTAACCAACTGGTGAGACGTTGCTATATGTATGAAAGTAAGTATGTATGTAAGCAAGAATCTAAAGTTAGTTAATAAAACTCATAAAACTAGAGAAAGAGAAGGTGAACAGTTCAGCCAGTTGGATAGAGTCATGTCTGACCATAATATAAGCAATAATAATTTGTTCATTTGTGGCTAGCTTTACGATGAATCTACACAGTCATTTAGCAAAGATGGATAGTGGCTAGTAGTGGAATCCAGTTTGACGTGCGTTTCGTCCTATTTGGGACTCGTCAGCTGGATGTACCTGCCACATCTCAGAGTTGATGTTCAATCTGGGACTTAAACCCAGTACCTTTTGCTTCAAACGCCATCGCGTTATCCACTCAGCTACTGAGTCCTGATCGCCACTTGCTTGTGCAATGGGATGAAGTTTAAATTCACTTAGTATTGTTTGTTTGAATCTTCCCATTGATGTTCAGGACTAAATAACAATGGGAAGATTCAAACAAACAATACTATGAGAACAGTCATTTAGGTTTTGAGTGATACAGTAACTTACTGATGACACTGCATGAGAATTGTGTTATATCGCCTGTTTAAGGAGGGGGAGGAACTGAAAATGTAGACCTAATGGGATACCATCCACCAAAAGTCCTAAATTTCCTTGGCTTAATTCAGTGTAAGGTTATGTGTGAGTATATAGAGGTATTCGACACTGAAATGAAATGACCAAGTAGCATTTTGTAAATTTCAAACGGCTATCAACCGATGTCAATTTGCAATGAAACACACAGATGTCCATATACTTTTGTGCAGACTAACGTTGTGAAGACTCACATTATTGAATTCGGTCAAGTTTTCGTTCAACGAATCTGTTCATAGATTTGAAAGGTTTTATTGAATAACACACATACTTAATTCACTTACTTGTAATTTACAAGTCATTGCTTGATTCATTTCAATCCGTTGACTTATTGCATATTCCGCTTCTTGACTGCTACCAGTGAAACGTAAATCTAAATGAATCAAAGATGAATTCTGATCTATTCCATCTTGAAGCTTTTTACTGCCAGCCTGAAGTCGAAAAAACAGAGAAGAAACCATTGAAGATCATAGTCAAATATTTTAAAAAATGGCGATAGCTTTGTGTTAATTAAATAAGGACTGACTGAGTTGAGCAAGTGATAAATCATTCGAATCAGTTTTCACAAATAGAGATGGTGTTTATGTAAGTGTTTCATGAAGATTGATTTAATCTATGGGTTGTATTAGTCACAGATTGATCTCAGTTCGTAAACCAACGGAAAATATAAAACACTGAGTGGTGTGTGCTACTGATGTCAACAAATATAAGTAGTATGTATCATCAGTCGAAAGTGGAATGCATGGAGGCAGAAGGCTAAGAAGATCAAAGAAAAGAGAACGAGGTCAAAGAATCATTACTGTGGAAATGAAGGAACAATTGATGTCTGAGACGATTGGTTGATATTTTGGAAATGAAGTATTCGCTGTATGGCTCTCAGATTTTATTAAGATATTCTGTAATTTGTATTCACATACATTTGATTGTTCCAACTAATGCTCTTATTCACTGAACTACCACTGATACTGTTATTACTGTGTGATTTGTACTGAAAAATCCAGCCAGTCTTGCCAACATCGTGAGACAACTTGAGGAAACGAATATAGCTGCCCGGTTCAACATTGTTTGTTACTTACTGACTGACTGGCACTCCACTGCACCATGTTGCTCCAGGCTAGACATCAATCTTTCAAAGACTGTACTGCATAAAACAGGCTTTTTGCTCATAATTTAGAACACTGAATGTCATGAAGTATTATATTGTGAAAAAAAGCTGTCAGCCATCCTAAATGCATTAAATAATCAACTGCTTTGTAAAAATTAAATAACTTTCGCGAAATCTTCCTGACACACTAACACATTATTGAACATCTAAGTAATAAAAGGAAACTGTTCTTCATTTCTAGCTATGCAGGACATTCGCCTTACAAGATGACAGGCTTTTATAGTTCTTCAACCTTACAACAAGATACGATCACTGATTTAAAAATAATGGGTTCATTTATGTTAATTACAACCGATACCAGATAAAGTACAACCACCATTCAACAATAATGATATCTTATATTGATTTATTGTATGAGGAAAAAGTTAACTTTGTTCATGTTCCCAATGGGATTCACTACCGTCTCTTATATGTAAGAGAAGGCTTGAAGATTAGAGTTACTAATCGTAATCTCTGTACTTAAAAGATACATAACACAGAAGGGGATTTTGTAGAGATTTCAGTATTTTCAAAGTTGAAACCAAAAGTCAATTGAAGCTAGACAACCGTGAAAAACCTGGAAGCACTGGATGGCCGATTTGTCCTATTATGGGGCTCCTCAGCGGTCAAGTGCTCTGGAGCGAGACTTGTAGGTCTTGGGTTCGAATCTCGCTCGCGAGGCGGGATCGTGGATACGCACTGCTGAGGAGTCCCATAATAGGACGAAACGGCAGTTCAGTGCTTCCAGGTTTTCCATGGCAATCTAGCTTCAATTGACTCATGATTCCAACTTTGAAAATACTAAATTCTCCACTAAACCTCTTCTGAAAATCTCATATATTAATTTTATAATTAAGTTATTATTACATAACTTACTACACCGATTTGATTGTTTGATAAATCTAAATGAGTCAATGTATTATTCTGTGTAAGTGCATGTCCAAAATACGTTGCTGTATTTTCATGTAAATCATTGACTGCTAGATTAAGTTCTTTCAATGTAGAATTTTGAATTAATGCCTAAACAAATTTAAACAAAACAAAAAAAAGAAGAAAAATCAAATAACACACGGTAAAGGAAGTAATCCATATGACTCTATAACAGTCGGTCTCTGAAGCCATGATAAGGTCGCAAAAGTTCAGCGTTGACCACATAGCTTCAATATTGTTTTTGTGCACTCCCGTGGTTGACTCCGCGAAATGCCGCCTGTGGATAACGACACGACGCACATAACCATGTTTATCTAGGCATCTGTACACTCTTCAGTAACCTGTATATACTGTAGTACCCGACTGCATATATTCCCGTATAATTGGTATTATTGTTGTAGCCTGTTGGTTTCTAACCCTTTAGAGGTGTCCCTTTTGAGATGACCTGTCGTATATATTCCAAGAATTTTTGAGGTATATTTATGGAAGTACTACTTACCCAGTCTTCTTTACCACTATATCCTCTGTCGAATTTTTCTTTTCTAACAACTGTTTTGCCTATCTCAACGATTCTCTCGACTCTCTTAAACGACTCGTGTAAGCTTGTCATTTTTACTACGCATATATCTGTGCAATACTCATACCACTGAACAGCAGAAGCTTCAGTAACATCTGCATATGTTGCAGCCAGTGTTACTGGTGCTTTCATTATCCAGTTCGCATCAATTACCATAATTTGTCCCAATCTGGATTGAGAGAAAAAAAGTTCTCCTTCTAGCAAACTTCTACCTCCAAAATATATTACATCGAAAGACAACATTATCATTAATATTATTGTGATTTGGCTTCTTTCGAGTAATCAGCTAGGTGATTTCTTCTTTGTTGTGCTGAAGTTGATGTAAATAGAGAACTAAGGAAGACAAGATGAACAATGAAATATGTTTTTGAAGACGTTACTTGACCTAATTCAAAGCTTGTAAAGTAGTTCATTCTAGAAACCATGGGCTTTTGTTTGATTCATGATTCACCGCTATAACCTCTTCTATGCCAAAGCTATTGTAATTTAAACGCAACATTTTGTACTCTGTTTTTCTACTCTAATGATCGGTTTTGACAAAATTGCATTTTCTAATTAATATCAGAAAGGATTTTGTGGATATTATAGTAATTTAATATTTGAACTCATGAGTCAGTTGAAGCTAGATCACCATCAAAAACCTGGAAGAACTGGACGGCCGTTTCGTTCACTTGTGGGATTCCTCGGTAGTGCGCATCCACTATCCTTCCTTGCAGGATTCGAACTCAGGACCTATTGGTCTCGCACGCGAACACTTAACCTCTAGACCACTGAGTCGGTATTTAACAGTGTTAATATCTAATTTCAACTAATCCACGTAGTTGAGCGACGCATTCACCAATGTCTTACAACATACTTGATTGAACTCCACTGGTTTTTCATGGTGATCTAGCTTCCATTGACTCATGATCTCAACTATTAAAGTTATTTTTCAAGTTTTTTTTGAGTCGGGGTTGTATTGGTGATCGATTTATTCATATATCTTTTTACACTAATCTGAATTGGAAATCATGAATAAATCGAATAGTGATTCGGTTGATTCGTTTTCTTTCTCTCGCCTGCTGACCATCCGAGTGATAGAATAGTTTTCGTTTCTCACCTTAAAGACATTAGTTTCAGTTCGGACAAATATATTTCTAGCTTCAACGTTAAACCAGTAAGCTTATCGTATCAAGGTCTCAAACCAAATTGAGATAAATTCTCTCTTGTACATTATTGGGCGAACATATCAAGGATGTAACAGAAGTGAAGTATGACATTTTGTAAGGATGAGTATTTTTGGTAGATTTTAGGTTTTTCATTACCAAGTAAACGAAAACTTGTAAGAGAAGTAAATTAAACAACCATTTCCAGTGATTATTATAATCCTAATGAATTTCGCTAATCTTTGACATCAAAATTTAAGTTGAGAGCTTCCTGACGATGGCTTCCAAATCATTTAATAATCAAGCCAAAATGGAAAATATCACGGGTCTGAGCTGAATAACTTAATGGAAAATGTGTTGCTATTTCAACTACAAGATGTACTAGGTTCGAGTCTGTATGAACATTAACACTACAATGAAGATATATCGACCTGACGAAATAAGAAGAAAAGCGTCATATCGATTCCATTCTTAGTTACTAACTGTTAATTAAAAATATGATTAAATGAAGAAATTGAATGATCTCAACTAAGGACAGATTTCTGCCAACACATTAACAATGAAAAAAATAAAAAAATAAAAAACTATTACAAATATAAGCAAAGATAGATAGTAGCTAGCAGTGGAATCCAGTTTAGACGCATGCCATTTCGTCTTATTTAGGATTCATCAGTTAGATGTATCTGAATCACAAATATAATTTAAAAGATATCATAGATATTTTTATATGAAACTTACTTTAGCTAAAGCAATACCTCCATCATCTTGTAATTTATTCATACGTAAATTTAATTGTACCAATAGACAATCAGATTGTGAAAGAGCATAAGCTAAAGCTAAACCACTTGTAGATTTCAAATGATTATTTGTTAAATTTAATGATTTCAATTGACATTTACCAGTTAATAATTTACTTAATGCACGTATACCACGATAACCAATAGAATTATGAGATAAATCTAAACATTCTAATGTTGAATGATTTTGTAAATGAGTTGCTAATAGACGACATTGTTCCGAACTAACATGACTACTGAAATAATCAAATTTGTTTGAAAGAATTCAATTATAAGAGGTTTGAAGGGGATAAATTACGAAGAAGAAAAAAAAAAAAAAACTAAAAACGATTAAAGATCTTTATAGTTTACATCTCAGACTATAAAGTCGTTGTATACTAGAATAAGCATCCTCGTTTTTGATCCTAACGAAGATCCTGAATAGTGTTCATTTAAGATATCATCTACGAAGGAATCCAGGGTTTGCATTAGGTATTAAACCAGGTAGGACAACTTTAAACTAATAAATTGAATTATATTCAATCGCTCTATAGGATTGCATGACCATTATTCACTGTTACTAGAGCGGTAGAACTTATCGAATAGTCCGTTTTATACTAGTATGTGCATCCTGGAAATGCTCGTCTTTGATCTTAACGAAGATCCTGAATAGTGTTCATTTAAGATATCATCTACGAAGGAATCCAGGGTTTGCATTAGGTATTAAACCAGGTAGGACAACTTTAAACTAATAAATTGAATTATATTCAATCACTCTACAGTATTGCATAACCATCATTAACTGTTACCAGAGCGGTAGAATTCATCGAATAGTCGGCTTAGAATACATTGTCTCTTTGTTTTAAACAGTTATCTGGGAAACGTAAATGTATGAATATGATTTTCTTCACACTGAACCCAACAATAATCGTATGTTCGCCAATGAATTGCTGTTGACTGATTTTTTAAGGATCTTAGAGAGATGTTATAGATGGTTGGATCCAACTATTGTTGGGAGTAAGACAGATAATCTTCTATAGAACTTACTGATCACTGAGTAATATTATAGAATAGCTAAAATAGTAGCCTCATGCTTTATCATATATGAAATCTGTCAGGCACTTAAATAACTAAAGATTATGAAAACCCAATATTCTCCTCACCTAGTTAATCAAAATAATTCAAATAATTTTGACTAAACAACTTAATTTACTGATATTTAATGATGTACTGTAGGCTAAATGTTCATGCATTAGACCGAAGGTCTTAAGGTTCGAGTCTGACATGAGGGATCGTAGATGAGCACTGCTGAGGAGTTACAAACTAGAACGAAATGATCATTCAATGCTTCCAGATTTTTAATAGTAGTTTAACATTGATCGATTCATGGTGTAAATCAAAACTTAACCATATCTACAATCCTGTATGGATTTTATTGAACTGCATTTGATATATCATTTGTGTGAGGGCTGTGATACTGCTCAGATGCCCAGACCGAAGCAGGTGGTTTTCTTAGAGGACCACACCCCAAGCCTTTGACCTAAAGGTCTAATCCACAAGGCAGTGGAGCATCGTGAGGAGATGCAGTCCCATGGATGTCGGTGATCAACAACTGGTACATACGCCATTTGTTCCCTCAGGATACTGGAGCCCATGTGCACCATTGGTTTGGAATGAGGGTTTTCCAACTCCCCTAGGTGGACTCGCCTTGTCTACCAAACCGGTCAAAGTGCCGTGCATTCGCTTTTAGTCCTTCCAATTTTGTAGTGAACACCTCCGCCACGAGAAGGACTTCCCTGACAGCGGCTATCTACGCGTGGCTATGTGAGAGTATTTCGAGAGGGAGAGCAGACTCTCACCACTCTCGACCGTACCAGGGCATTTAGGGGCAAGTTAAATCAAATTCAATAAATTCATTTTAAACAAAAACGAGATAACAATCTATCTATGAAATAGACTCACTTGATCAAATTTAACACTTTTAAATTTGAATGTTGTTGTATAGATTTTGATAAATTTAAACAATCATTTAATGTAAATTGATATAATGACCATTCAAAATTCATTCCACAATCTTTTACTGTATAAGTTATATTTAATTCTTTTAAATTTGATAATTTTTCTAATATTGGACTCAAATCTAAATGATCCATTTGTATAGATAGATTAGATTGTTCTGATTCACTTTCGGTACCTGAATCATCATCCTAAAGAAAGGGGTAAATGTAACAAGTGAAGATATAATGATCATATTGTAAAGACATTTAAATAATTTAGTAATGGTAAATCAGTATGGACCATGTTAGTGGTCTGATTGTTACATTCTCTTCGTGGGACTTAGATCTCCGGTGAAGTTGTAGATCCTTTCTCCATAGTAGTCTCATACTAGTACGAAACAGTTATAGTGTCCTTCTCAGTTTTCAATAATTGTCTAATTAAAGTTGAAATCATGAGTCAATTGAAGCTAGACCACCATGGAAAACCTGGAAGCACTGGACGGCCGTTTCGTCCTATTATGGGACTCCTCAGTGGCAGTGCGCATCCACGACCTCGCACTCGCGAGATTCGAACCCAGGACCTACCAGTCACGAGCCGAAGCCCTTAACCGACAGACCACTGAGCCGGCCGGCATACAACGGTGTTAATGTCTAACTTCAACCAATCCACGATTTTGAGCGACCGTTCAACAATTGTCGTCAGTGAGTTAATATCTCTACAACAGACTTGGTAGAACTCCACTGGCCACTACTTCCCACTAGAACTCAAGGAAATATCTCTTGAAGTCAGTCACTAATGAGCATATGATTATAGATCAGAGGGGGTTTTGTGGAGAATTTAGTATTTACACTGTTGAAATCATGAGTTAATTGAAGCTAGCTTCTCCACAAAACCCCCTTTGATCTATAACTAAAGTTAGTACATAACGTAAACTAAGCAGTTTAACAACCTCCATATATACCCCATCCTATTGTAATTTATTTCAAAACATGTTCGTTGATGTAGACCATAATGATATTGTCCATAATAATAACAATAAAAGCTATAGAATGAGACCATTTAACTCATAGAGCACAATCCCATCAAAAGGCTATCGAAATCTTTATTGTAATTATAAAATCTCTTCAGATGATGAAGAAAATTTGTAACTTTGATGAAGTTTTATTCCCTGAACTAGATGATTTGGTCGTTGGAGATTTCATCGGGTTTTTTTTTTCTGAACAACATCATCAGTACAAACTTCAGAGAACAAACCTCTATCAAACGTATAAAACATCCTAACTTCATCTTATATCTATAGTGTTAGAAAAAATTACAATAGAAACTACTTCTTACCAATTTTTTTTGTTTATTCTTTTGTTTTAATGGAGGCAAAAGTTGTCGAATATTAAGACGTTGTACATATGGTGCAGCATAATTAACACATTCATGTAAATGCGGTGTATATGTTGTACCAGGCACAAATGTTTCAATAATTTCTTCTAAAAAACGTTCAAAATATGCACGTTTCCATGAACCATCATAATAGGTTATATCAATAATTGACCATTTAGCATAGCAACAACGTGTCCAATATAGATCATCATCAATAATATGAGATGTTACTTTTAATGATAAATTTGTTGGTAAACAATCTAATAGTTGACGTTTTTGTTTTTCATTCAAATACATAAATGGTATAGGATTATCTTGAAATAATAGAAAAACATTTGGTGAAAGGAGTGATAATCATGTATGGGGATGATGCAGTGAATAATTTCATGAATCAAAAGGGGTTTCTTGAACTTTGATTCAATTTGTAGATAGTAATGGTTACAGGAAGGAAGGCCCAAGACAGAGCGGGTTGGAAAATGCTGTTAGGCGACCTATGCTTCATTTAGAGTAACAAGCATAAGTAAGTAAGTAAGTAAGTAATGTTTGGAGATTGGTCTCAATCGGGGTATTATTAAAAATCAATGATGTATACCAGTGTACAACTACACCACAGATTGAATTCAAGGTGTTCAGGTCTGATCGTAAGTGCTTAATCATTCTAACTACTGGATTAACTTTTAATGGTAAAATTCTTAAGTTCAGTTAATTTGCAACATAACCCAACTTAAGCAAAGATGGATATTGGCTAGTAGTGGAATCCAGGATAAAGCGCGTTTCATCCTATTTGGGACTCGTCAACTGGATGTACCTTCATCTAAGAGTTGAGGTTCAATTTGAGACTCAAATCCAGTACCTTTAGCTTCAAACGCCATCGCGTTATCCACTCGACCACTGAGTCCTGATAGCAATGGGATGATGTTTAAATTCACTTAGTATTATTTGTTTAAATCTTCCCATTGATGTTTGGGACTGTAACTGGTCAGTCTCTAATTGGCATATGTGTATACTGTGCGTATTGCCTAGAGACTGGCCAGTTGCAGACCTAAACATCAATAGGAAGATTCAAACAAATAATACTAATTAAATAACCTAACTTAGTTTCAGATATTCTTGAAGTTCTAGTGAGAAATCGTGATATATAGAGCCCAGACATGTAAGGAGTGAAGCATTTGTTATTAATGTCAATGGATGATAGTAATGACTGAAGTTAGAATTGTACCAGTGAACTTTCACTTAGTTGGTCTAATGGTAAGCGTCAGATTTAAGACCTGTGAATTCAGTAGTTCACACCGCTGTAAAGTTTTCTACTAGGACAAACTAGCTGCCTTCATATATTATGCAACGTAACAACTGCTTTGTTTTAGAATACTCTTTCTTTGAATTACTCAATGTTAATATCAAAAGGGAGTTCAACCGGGTCTGTTGTGAGATAGTAAATCACTGAAGACAGTGGTGGATGTGTCGCTCAATTTTGTGGATTAGTTGAATTTAGACATTAACACTGTTGGATGCCGGCTCAGTGGTCTAGAGGTTAATTCTTCACGCGCGATACCAATAGGTCTTTGGTTCAAAACTCGTGAGGTGGGATCGTGGATGCGCACTGCTGAGGATTCCCATAGTAGGACGAAACGGCCGTCCAGGGCTTCCAGATTTATAGACATTTATTATGAATACCATAAAGGAGAACATTTAGCTGAACATGCTCCTTTTCTAGTCATCATTTATCATACAACAAAACCTAGACCTATCAAAATATTGTAGTTTATTATTAAATGATTAAAAGTGAATATGATTATTGAAAAGCTGTTGAGTTATTCATGAATGTTTGTGTTTGAATTTCACCTACATCTACTATCAATAAGTCTACTATAACAGTTACTACATAAAGTAACGATTGATAGATCACATAAAACTCTCGTTAGTTTCTAAAACTACTAACAAGACTCTTACCGAACAGAAAATGTTAAATTCGGGAGAAATGAGGCTGTACTCAAGTTATGAAGAAGAAAATGATCCGCACACTCAAGGAGTTGTTCTGATGCTGATCAAAGAAGCAAGTAAAGCACTGACAGGATGGAAATCTCACGAATTCAAGATCATCGAGGCATCCATTTAAACAAAAGAGGAAATCACAATGAATTTTATACAATCTTATGCACCCAACAATGATAGCAATGAAGACGGTAAAGATCATTTTTATGAGAGGCTGCAACAGATTATAGCAAAATGCTCAGGAAAGCACCTGACCATCCTAATGGGAGACCTAAACGCCAAAGTCAGAATGGATGACACCAGGTATGACGTTATCATGATACAACATGGACTGAGAGAAAGGAACGAAAACGGTGAGAGATTTGCAAATTTATGTGCATTCAACAAATTGGTTATAGGTGGCACAATATTCCCACACAAACGGATACACAAAGCTAAGTGGGTCTCACCCAATCACACTACAGAAAACCAGATCAAAAATTCAGAAAGTCAGTGGAAAACGTAGAAACGTTCACGTTACCTAAGCAGCAGCTTCGGAGAACAAACAGGATCTGATGCAAATGTTAACGCAAGGATTGGCAAGAGAATGACAGCATTCCTACAATTGATCATCATCTACAACTCAAAACAACTGTCAACTAATATCAAAGTCACAATCTTCAATACGAACGTCAAGACAGTTCTACTGTGCGGAGCGGAGACTTGGAGAACTGATACAACTATCATCGAAAATGTACAGGTAGTAATAAACAATTATCTATGCAAGACTCTGAATGTGTGTTAGTTAAACACCGTCAGCAACAGCCTGATGTGGCAGAGAACAGATCAGCTTTTAGGTGAAGAGGAAATTAGAAAGAGATGCTGGAGGTGTACAGGACATGCACTGTGAAAATCATCAGACTGCACCATGAGGCAAGCGGTTACATGGAATCCTGAATGGAAACGGAAAAGAGTCAGGCTAGTGAACACATTGCGTCAGGAGTGGAAGGTAGATATCAAAAGAATGAGCAGAAAATAGAATCGATTTCCTAGGGCAGACTTGGATGGAGAATGCTTGTGTTAGGCCTATTGTCTTCCATGAGGGTTCACAGGTGTAAGTAAGTAAGAAGAGTACCTGGAAGACCTCAATATTGATTGTAGTACTTGTGGATAATTACCGATAAGAATTTAATTCTGATACGACCCTTGCTTTATGTTAGTCCCTGACGGGACATCTCTTCAAAATTTATACTTGCTAATAAGATAGATCAATACACATGCATCCCTACTTAGCATTAAATTACCAAACCCGTTTATGTTCTAATCAAAAACATCCGTTACTAAAGGCTTTTCATAGTTGCATGTGATTTAACCACCATAAATTGTAAATCGTTCTAAACAATGATTAATGTAATTCTGTATTGCGAGAACGAAATTTTCGCTAAAATACATTACACTATACATAGACCATCACTACCATCAAGATTTTGTTATATTAGGAGGTATATGTTAATCTAAGTCTGTATTTTAACAAATAAATAAGTTAAATCGTAAGCAAAGATGGATAGTGGCTAGCAGTGGAATCCAGTTTTACGCGCGTTTCGTCCTATTTGGGACATCAATGGGAAGATCCAAACAAACAACACTAAGTAAATTTCAACTTCACCCCATTGCACAAGCGAGTGGCTATCAGGACTCAGTGGTCGAGTGGATAACGCGATGGCGTTTCAAGCAAGAGTTACTGGGTTCGACTCCCAGAGTTAACATCAACTCTGAGATGTGGCAGGTACATCCAGCTGACGAGTCCCAAATAGGACGAAACGCGAGTCCTGGATTTCACTGCTAGCCACTCTTCATCTTTGCTTACCATGCTTGTGAATTAAGGCTATATCGAGGCAACACGCACAGTATGCACATATGCCAATTAGAGACTGACCAGTTGCAGTCCTAACACATCGACGGGAATATTCAAACAAACAGTACTAAATGAAATTAAATAAGTTGGATGTTCAAGCTAATATGTTATCAGTAGATATATGTTTTAGTAACATTGTAACATTCAAACAATTAAATAAAGTGTAGGAAATGAATAATGACTTAGTGATTCCATTTGTTGCTGTTAACTTCTTAATTTTTAGTCTTTTCCCTATTCTGTTTTATTGTCTTACTAGAAAACATCAGAATTTTAGCCTCAGTAATTCACTCATCAATTAATTCGCTGAGTTTTGACTAAACTATTTCATAGTTGAAATCATGAGTCAATTGAAGCTAGACCATCATGGAAAACCTGGAAGCACTGAACGGCCCTTTCGTTCTATTATGGGACTCCTCAGCACACACGATTGGATGCCGGCTCAGTGGTCTGTCGGTTAAGTGCTCTGGAGCGAGACTGGTAGGTCCTGGGTTCGAATCTCGCGAGTGTGGGATCGTGGATACGTACTGCTTAGGAATCCCATAATAGGACGAAACGGCCGTTCAGTGCTTCCAGGTTTTAGATGGTGGTGTAGCTTCAATTGACTCATGATTTCAACTATGAAAATACCGAAATCTCCACAAAACCCCTTCTGATCTATAAACTATTTCATTTTTGACAATGATCATTTTTTATTTTAGAAATATATATCTTTGAATATTATCAGTAGTTAAATAAAGTCACACAAAATCATGGAAGAGTTGTTACTTACATTCAAAATTTTCTATGCATTGTTTTAAGCACAAATCAACCAACGTTGGTACAATAGTCAAATTATAGTTGGGATCTTCAGCTACAATCCGACGCATGATTCTACGATCAGATGTGTAATTTTCGAACTTTTCTTTCGTTTTTGAAGGTGACTTCAGATTGATCAATTCATCCAGTATTGGCATTTCACTTTGCATCTTGCTAGCTATATTTACTGGAGACGTAAATATTTCTTTCTTAACAACTTGCTGATTAACCGTTGAATCCGTATCATCTGGCGTCTGCAAATGAAAATGAAGTAAAATATATCGTACATGAACAAGAACACTAATTTTAGTAAAATTAATAATCTCAAGTAAATCCTGAACGCTTTCCACAATAACCCCACTGATCATAAAAAGAGGTTTCTAATCTATCATTAACGTTAAGATGATTGTTCTTTAGCTTTTGAAAATACGATTAAAGAGAAATTCTTAGTTATAAGTTTAATTGAGCAATGTGAAATAGAATTAGCTGACTGAAAAATTTACCCAATCCTACGAATTATCGACAAAGACTAAACATTTGCTTAAATAAGCCTATACTTACTTATTACTAGCACTTTAGATCTTTTTAATAACTTGATTCTGTTCTATGGTTTAGGAGAATATTCAATGAAGTCATCTAATTAGTAGATGAATGATATAAAGTTTTGACTCTACAGAAAGGCATAGAAATATATATTCTTTTCTTTAGGGTGATACAAATTTCATAATAGAATCAAACTTCTCACAAAACACCGAAAAACATGTTTTATTGACAAGTCCAATACTACTACAGTGACCATAAGACCAAAGTGATAACTGAAAAAACAGACTGAGTCCAAAACTGAGATAAGTAATACACCCTAAATCACTTTTAAGAAATTATGCTTAAGAATAACTTCAGGGCCTCACAACAATTAATAGACAAGCGAATAAATGTATTCGATTTCTCCAATTTAGTGCTTACTCAATGTAACCGGGTATATCTAGTCTTACTGATAAACTTTGACATTTCTAAAGATTTCGGAAATGGTTAACCACCAGCTTCTTATAGGCAAACTCGCGTCTTACGTGGCCGAAAATTGTCTGCTTGGTTGGTTTAATTCTATCTCTAGCAAACGACACCAAATAATGGAAGTTAACTCCTTGTCACATGCTGTCCCGTTCAAAGGTGGTGTAATGAAAAGTGGTCTTAGGTCCTCTGCTCTTTTTAGTTTATATAAATAATATTTGCGATTGTTTCTGTATAGGTAAGCCTCTTCAACATATAGACGACCGTAAAGTAGTGTACTCACTTTTTCCTCAAGGGCTAAAAATCATGCAAAATTGCATCAGCATGAAGCCTAAAAAAGTAGCCTAGTGGTGATTAAAATAGAAGTTGGGGCTTAACACGGATAAATGTGAATGGATCCGCTTTAGTAATACTTCATCCAACATAGACCTAAACATAAATTGTAAAATGTCATCCAAGTTACATACAGTAGTGAATTTAGGGTTCAGGTATTCATACAATTTATCCTTCTCAGAACAGGTCTCAAAACAGACCTTCAAGTCTTAACATCCTGTGGGTTGCATAATTTGTAACCTCTATAACAAAGAGTCACGTATTGTAATATATGAAACATGTTTTCAACCACTTCTTGAATACTGTGCGTTTACTGTTAGTACTGTCAGAGACAACTTACACTTTGTAATCTCTGGACTGACTGTACCTTAAATTATAAGTCCAGATGTAATAAACTTGAACTTGACTCTTAACTAAAAAAGAGACTCAAACCAAATTCAATCTTTATCTTCAACATACCTGATAAACTATCTTTCACATCCAATAAAGAAATTCAATATTTAGAGACTCCTAGTTACAGCATCCGTAAGTTTTGGTCACTAGTGAAACAAAGTCATTCTAAATCCACTGTCCATATGAATTACTTTACCAGTAAATTTCCCAGACTGAAATAATTTTCCACAATTTATCCGTGAAATGAAATAACTCTCATCCTTTGTTCGCTGAAGTGATTCTTGCTTATCTTTTTAAAACTCCTTAAATTTGCTTACACCCATAAAGTTGGCTTTACCAACAAACATAAACGCTTGACCTTAATAATTAAAGGCATTTTTCTGTCTGAGAGTTTTTTCAAGACAGAGTAGTTAATGATATGATATAAGAATATTGATATTTCCGAGCAGTCTCTGAAGATATTACTTTACATAAAAACGTGTTATAACGGACAGTTTTTCAATGAGACATTATAGACCTCAATTTCTAATAGAAAGGTTGCTTAGGGAATATTTCTATATGGTTAGCTTACCAAATAAATCTGATTAATCCAAAATATGGTGCATAATTCCGAAAGACCAGCAACTCACTGGATTTTTCAGTGTTTACTGCTCTTCAACCACAAATACATTTCCTATTGACTAATCTGACATTCCTTAGTTTTGTTCTCCGAGCTTTAATGGAAGTGACTAAGTTTACTAAAAAGCAACTAATTAGTTATTTCCACGTTTTTTCACTCATACGAAAAAATATCTTGATAAATTGAAATTCTGTTATTTTGTCATCTGAATTTGATTCGGCTTCATTGACATCTTACTTTCGATTACGTACTTCCTTACGCTGATTAACTCTTGTTGATGAGCATAGGCCGCTCACAAGCATTCTCCATCCAAGTCTGCCCTAGGAAATCGATTCTATTTTCTGCTCATTCTTTTGATATCTACCTTCCACTCCTGACGCAATGTGTTCACTAGCCTGACTCTTTTCCGTTTCCATTCAGGATTCCATGTAACCGCTTGCCTCATGGTGCAGTCTGATGATTTTCACAGTGCATGTCCTGTACACCTCCAGCATCTCTTTCTAATTTCCTCTTCACCTAAAAGCTGATCTGTTCTCTGCCACATCAGGCTGTTGCTGACGGTGTTTAACTAACACACATTCAGAGTCTTGCATAGATAATTGTTTATTACTACCTGTACATTTTCGATGATAGTTGTATCAGTTCTCCAAGTCTCCGCTCCGCACAGTAGAACTGTCTTGACGTTCGTATTGAAGATTGTGACTTTGATATTAGTTGACAGTTGTTTTGAGTTGTAGATGATGATCAATTGTAGGAATGCTGTCATTCTCTTGCCAATCCTTGCGTTAACATTTGCATCAGATCCTGTTTGTTCTCCGAAGCTGCTGCTTAGGTAACGTGAATTTTTCCACCTCTTCCACAGTTTTTCCATCACGTGTGATTGTGTTAGTGTTGGCCGTGTTGCACTTGAGGATCTTTCTTTCTGCCCTATGTATGTTGAGGTCAACTGCTGCAGAGGTTGTTGTTAAACTGACTGTGTTTCCCTGCATTTGTTGCTGTTTTCTGAAGCTCTAGTTAAAAAGCAGAAATGTATAGTTTCATCAAGTTGAGTAAATCTGTAGACCTTAAAGATTTAAAATAATTTTTGCTTTACCGTAAATTCTCTTCACTTGCTCATAATCTATCGGTGGTTTTGTAAATCTGTGATGTTTAAATAAATCAATGACTTCTTTGTATCGATGACTGTTGTAATTTTGAATTCCAAATACAATACATTCGTTTGTGCTCATCTAATACTTCTTGATTAAATTGCGTTATTCCTGAGATTACTAGTTCATACTACAATTCAAATACTTCTGATCATCATAAAATGACATACTTCATTTGCTTCCTGGCTGTTGCAAAATAATACTGTGATAAATTAGATAACCGTATGAAGTCCGTGTAATCATTTTCAAAGCTTCTTATTAAAGTGTGCATAGCGATATTTGAAAGCCTTTTGCAAGAAACATGATTATAATTCTTTTCGAAAAACTGTAATGTTTTATGTATTGTATACTTGAATGGCAAGACAATAACTTTGGGTGCGGACAATTTTATGTCTACTGGAATGTTATATTTACCAAAAAGGAGTCCTGCAGATTGACGGTTGGGTTCCCGTTCTTATACGCAAACACAAAAGACCTGACGAATCATTAATCATATGACTAGTTTGTGAAAAGAATGCGAAGCATCGTTCCTACACAGTATAAATTGACCCAAACATGATGTGATATCAGAAACAAATACAAACCGAGTGAAAGCCAGCTCGTTTGTTGCTAATATAGTTAGGTCCTTGTGCTTCAATTTACCATGGATTCTAATTTTATCTCCCATTTAAGTCTCCTCCTTAATTTGTACACTACTGATGTTTTCTGTCCGTCTAACATAAAAGCCATTAATTTTTAAACTCTTCGTTTAGTGAAAAAAAATGTTCAAAACAATAATAAAAATTAACTAATTAAACAAGCTTGCTTTACTTGGTTATAGTTGTGGTCGACATAAGAATATGTGCTAAAAGTTTAAACCACCACATCTGAGTAGGTATATAAAGCTTAAAAAAGTTACTTCAAGTACCTGATTTTGTGCTACTGACGTTAAGGAAAACTCAAAAAAATATTTTTTTAATTTAGCAAATCAATAATATAATGCTCGACGTCTAAACATTCACCATAAAGACACCATAGTTAAAAACATCAGCAAATGGATCTATATCATCAAAAATAATCGGGAAAATGTATTGACAAGTAGTTTATCACTCCAAAACTTGGATACACGAAAATCGGACAATTTTAAAAAGTTAACAAAGATGAACCACTATTACAGTTTCATAGAAATTTTAATTCGAATGAGACATGAAAAATATTTTACCTGTGAATCCCTCTTCTCATCTTCAGCCATTTGATCAAAATTTAAAATATCACATCTCGTTGTTATGATTACCAAGGTTGTAAATATCCAATATGCAAAGTTTGATCTAAATGTTCCGAAAATCTTTGTGAAAAGTTGGTCTATGGCAGTCGATTTTTTTGATATATTTTCCTTTTATTTCGATACAGTCCTATGTATCTGGTAATGTTTAATAGGTGGAAATCCAGCCACTCGACTTCGATAATTTTAGTTACTGTAGTAGTTATTTGAGGAGGTGTACAACCTGTAGTTCTAGTTAAAGCACTATCCTCAAAGAAGTAAGATCTCTGGATGTCATCAGCTATCGTATAATCAGACAAAAGATTGACTGGTTGCAGTGTGGAAATGACAAAGTGATAATTCGATGTCTGATAGGTTATTTTAAAAATAATGAATTCATAAATTCATAGATAGTGTTTAGTAAGACAACGCCAAAAAAATAAGCGGGTAAAGAAGTTGTACAAAAATAAGTTAGTGACGTGTTGTGAATATTACAGTAGGCAAGTTACGAGACATAGATCCGTTACAGTTGGTTCAAGAGAAAGTAGTCTGTGAATGAGTTCGTGTTTGTCGAATCACCTCTTCAAACTACTCACTAGGAAAGCTACAGTCACCTCAACAAGAGGAGCGATGCAACTTCGGGACAATTCTGAACGAGAAAAAATGGGGGCCTACCTGGCTTTTTTCTCTTTGATCTGCAATTTTCGGCGGTCACGTCGAGGAGTATGATTTTAATGTTCCAGTAGGATGTTCGTTTTAGGGTGATTAGACGTACGTAGCATGCTGTGTGTAAAACCGCCTCGTATTCTTTCATAGTCTGGCAAGAGTAATCCCGAGTTTCACAGCCTTTCTTGGTAAAATTTATTCTCTTACCCAATCATTCACTTTGATACCTGACTTTGTACTTTATCCAAAATATTTATTCCTCTTTTCAAGAGAAGTGGACAACAATGTTGTGGACTTCGAAGTGGGGCGGTGAGTATGCTTTGAAGTGTGAGAAATAATTCTTAGATGATTGCTCCAGGTTGTCTTCTCGTTAAGTAAAGAGTTGCATTCGCCTTGAATGCATACCTTTATAGTTAAGCTGTTTTCCAAGCTACTTGTGGCCGCTAGCCCGAAATCGCTCTCTAAAGTGACAATTGGAGAAAGATTTCAATGGTTGACGTAAGTTAGGATGTTCAGAGAAATGACATTTCAACAGGTTGACTTTTACCTATTTGTCTGTCGCTGACTCCCCTATTGTTGTAAGGTTCCTTAGAAAAATTTTGTGGGCCGGTATTCTATGGTCCTATCAGCTTTTCCAGTCGTTCCATGTCATAGAAAGATTGAACGCGAAGGATCTGCCATTATCAAACTAGTGTTCAGTCGATGTATTGTCCCTTTTGTTTATTGAACAGTCCTTCCATTACCATCAAGAGTGTTGGAAGCAGGGCGACTGGTCCGTAAATTCTAGGTCTTTTCACTTTCCTCCTCTGGAGATTGCGAAAGGAGTGGCCTCATTCCATCATTTTGGTAGCTAGCGAGTGTCAGGATAGGTAACACATCGAAGTACCAATGGCTTCAGTACACTGCTTCAAGATCATAAGGTGAATGTTGTCACATCTTGGTAACTTTTCCTGGGCTTAGGAATTTCAGGTTTTGTGCTAGTGAACAGGGTGTTGGTTGGTTATTCGCCAGGTCATTAGCTGGCACTATGGCTGCGAAGGTTCCGTGAGCGCAGGATCCTGGTTTAGTTGGTCCACAAAATTCGGATCAAAGATCTCTGTCACCTCCAAATAAGTAAGATATTTGTTAGTTGACTCTTTAAGATTACATTGTTACATTCAAGTTTTTGTTCTCTTCAGTTAACGAAGTAAGGCATATCGATCTATTTGCAACCTAAGAACCCAAATTAACAACAAAACAAAGCTCAAATTTAGGCATCAATGTTGATTCGCAATTTACAAATATTCGACCCAAATATCATTCCAACAGCAATTGTAACAATTACAAAACAAACCTTAATTTTTGAGGGTTCCGAGAGCAAAAATTCCCAGGTACCAAACCAAAGATAAAGAGAAATTAAAATGTCCGAAAATAATGATGTAAATAAACAAGTTCAGTAAATGAGTAAAACAAAGACATCCCAAAACCGTGATATTATTATTATTCAATATAAAAGTTTTATTCAACGAAATGTCTTCGATTCGGTAACATATATATCCCTTGGTTTGAAGAGATATTGTGTTAGTTTGGATTTCGGCTGCTAGCTCTGCCCGGAAACATCGATTGCTGTGGACCATGGTGTTGCATTTATTTCTTAATGCCAAGTGAGAACTGCTGTCATTATCGTTAACGGAGACTTTTCACTTGTTGCACACTCTCCATTTGAGCAAACGTTCTGTGCCTCACTTAACCCAGGATTGTCCACAGCCTCTCATAAAAGTGACATTTATTAATTTTCTGCTATTATTGATAGATGCCGATCGTCTCGTGCATCGTTGTGTCAAGTGGGGCCTGGACTTCGAAATTAGCGTACTAAGTCATCAAGAGTATCCAACGAAAATATGAAGACATTTGTTCCAATTACTTTTATTTAGGTAGTTTTATTTGAAATCATGATGAAATTGTTGTATCAGTCGATGAACTTGCTGTAACCGTTGAATAAACGGATTCCTGTGTTATTAATTGTTCAGTGGTTTTGGTTCGCAGTTAGTGACAGCTAATAACACTGTACTCCATTCCCTGTAATGACGTTGGTATTCCAAATGCCACAGCCTATTATGGATATTACGAAACTCTCCCAACCGTTTCACATAACATGAATCTCAATTACAGCCTATTCCACCATATGGTAACTAAAATTTCGAAGTCCTGAAGAACCTGCAGATATGGTATTCCATTGGGTTCATGAGATTACTATCTTACTCATGCTTGTTACCCCCAATGTGGTATAGGCCGCCGATCAGCATTCTACAACCTATTCTGTCCTGGGCCTTCCTCTCTAGTTCTATTCAATTGTTGTTCATTCTTCTCATGTCTGTTTTCATTTCTGTGATCTTCCTCTTCTCCTTCGGACTTCAGAATTCCATGTGAGGTACCGAGATAACAATGAGTGAAAGCAAAAATCAATCATTTTTATACATGATCATCACAAAGAGATAGGAAGCTGGAAATGCCATCTTTTTAACTAACATAACTTCAATATTATCAATCAATAATAATGTGTTAGCACATATGGAAGAAGTTTATGATGTAACTCACTAAAAATTTCATGTTATTGACTTGTATTACGTTCATTCGCCGAAGAAACTATTCTGTAGTCTGAATGGACACCAAAGTTATTTGTTGTATTTCAATCAAGAGTAGTACAGTGCTTAACTCGGGAGTTTACTGTGTTCTTACATGGTAATCATTTAATAGTATTCTGTATTGCGAAGAACAGCCTAACCAACTCAATCGTTAGACGCCTCCGTTTATTATTATGAGCTACGTAGAAATTTCCGATATTTGGTATCGAGTGAGCTTCGAATAATCAAATTTTACCACCAAATCTAACATAACCACAAAAAATACCTACCCCTGGTACAAACTTTGTGTTAAAAAACTTCGCGCATATTGCAAAATTTATTAACCTTTATGGCTGGAATACTATATATTGGTGGGCTTTGTTACTCTAATCATTGTATAATGGATTGACTTCTAACATTGAAACTAAATTTTAACTTCTGACTCTCATTGAAAACCCTAACTCTCTAACATTTTCTGCATTTATTTGAAGAATCAAACATGCCCTTCTAGTGAGTATTTCACATGTTATAAAAATCGGGTGATTTCATCGTAGATCGCCCATAGAACTCCGGATTGTTGATAAAAACCATTGCATACCTCTGAGTTCAGGAAATGAAGTGAAGATTGAATCTAGAGATGATGTTAGTTTGGGAGCATAACATCTCAAGTAATAGGATTAAGATTCTAGCAGTTGAAAACTCAATATCTTACCGTTTTAACGTATGGCAATAATGCATTGTAACTTGTTGTTCGACAGGTTGATCTCAAAGACGCCAGTATAGTCTAGCTTTATTACCGCAACCATAACGAATCACAAGCACCGGGTTTCTGTACGAGGCCTTATCATAATTAAACCTAAACTTATCCCCTGATTTGTTAGACTGTAAAATCTCACGGTTGTTCAGAGTTCTTAGACAAGTTCCCGAACAATCCTGAAAACCTTATTTAGAGAAAAACTATGTTAATTGGAAATAGGACATCAGTGACCGACTTGAGTTATGACTAGGAACCTTCACTACACGATATTATCTTTAATAAGGGGGTTCCTATCAATTGACACTAAGAACACGATCGTATCGTCGAGACTAGTTTGTGATACTTACTTCTTGTCACCATCAAATAACATTTATTGAACTGAAGTAGGTATAATGTCATTCGAATCAGGGTACTAATGACTTCAACAAACAATCCATTTTTGTCATGATTTAACATTCATTGAGGACAATACTTGACCTCATGGAAAACTTGATAGTGGGGTTGAATCATATAAAAATGAATTTTCGTTATGCTGAGAGCACTATAGTATTTCTGTCTACATTGCAAACATCAATTAATCCATAGTACATAGTAATCAACATATACTTGCTTTGCAAGCTGACACTAGATCGTGTTGAGAACTGTTTTCACATGGTTAATTTACTGAACTACCAACAATCGTCTAAGCTAAACTAATTACGTCAATGTATGTTCTATTTATCTACATCTTTAAGTAGTAGTAGAACAACACAATAGTGCCTTGGTAACAGACAAGTGACTACAAAATAACGCTATCTCTTAGATTTATAAATGAAAATTTCATTTTGAAACAATAATTTGCATATATTTTTAAAAAGTTCGAAATGTATTTAGTTTAGAAAGATGACCATTGGTAAATAAGCCCATTATTAAACTTCCAACTCTGTCAAACAACACGTAAATTTTTTTTCAATGAATGAAAAAAACCGAAATCTTAAAAAGGTGGTCTGTCGGTTAAGTGCTCTGGCGCGAGACTAATAAGTCCTAGGTTACAATCTCGCGAGTCGGGATCGTGGATGAGCACTGCTGAGGAGTCCCATAATAGGACGAAACGGCCGTCCAGTGCTTCCAGGTTTTTGATGGTGGTCTAGCTTCAATTGCCTCATGATCTCAACATTGGAAAATACTGAAAACTCCACAAAACCCCTTCTGAAAATAGTATAGAAATAACACAAATGCTTTGAAAGTTTTTAGCATTATAAACTTATGAATATTTATCGTTGTTCATTTAAACTTTGAACATTCTTAGGACATCGACGTTGTGAAGTTGATACGATAACTCAGTAAACTGATAGTGGTTCGGAAGAACTCCAGAAAACTACTAGCCAATAATTATTTCTAATATTATATTGTTCCGTCGATTATAGTTAATATACGTAACTTGGCATACAATATCAGCATAACAAAATAAGTAGTGAATAAATCAAAGTCATTCCAGTGGTCTATCAGTTAAGTGCTCTGGTGCGAGACTGGTAGGTCCTGGGTTCGAATCTTGCGAGGCGGGATCATGGATGCGCACTATTGATGAGTCCCATAATAGGACGAAACGGTCGATCAGTGCTTCCAGGTTTTTCATGATGGTCTCGCTTCGATTGACTCATGATCTCAACTCTATAAAATAATAATAACCAAATATGTTACCTAGGCAACATATATATTTATCTGAATAATAATAATAATAAATAATTAATAGAAAACATTAAAAAAGAAGAAATAAAAAGAGAGAAAAAATATCTAAAAAAAGAATCACAAAATGCTAAATGTAACACAAAAATTTTTTTTAGTAATTTTTATCATTTTACCAAATCGTTTATTAAATAAATTGGATAACATAAAAAGGAAACGATATTTCATTGATTGATTATGATGATTAGAAGAAGAATTTTCAAAACTCCAATTATTGATCATAATATCATTATGAATAATAATTAATTCTTGTAAAGGTGTCGAGGATATAGCTGGTAATAGTTTTGCTTCTACGGAAGTGAATGCAGCAGTTAAAGCATCTGAATCATCATCGGGGACTATGGGAAAAAACAAATAAGATTTTACGAGATAGTGATAGTTATATCATTTAAACATCATTAGGAATAAAAGAGTATTACAAACATTAAACGAATCATTAAACTGATAAACACTTTCAGAAAGTAGAAATTATAGTCCGAATGAATGAATAACTAACTAATGTCCCACAATCGTAGTATTTCTTGACCTTAAGGCGGCATTTGACTCCATTGATCGTGAGGTTCTATGGCAGTGTTTGTCACTGAAAGGAGTACCAAAGAAGTACATCAATCTCATAAAGGCTCTTTACTCGAACACAACTGGTCGAGTTAAAGCCTATGGCGAACTGTCATCAGAATTACTTACCTCAAGTGATGTTCGTCAGGGCTGTCCACACTCCACATTCTTGTTTAACTTTGTCGTCGACATGCTTTTGGAGATAACACTTTCATCATCTCAATCTCCAGGAGTTGAACTTTTACCAGTAGGCTCACTTATTGACTTAGAATACGCCGACGACATAGTTTTACTCGGTGAAGACGCTGACAACATGCAGTCTTCTGACCACTATAAGCAACAATGCAGACATGTTCGGGATTCGATTCTCTCCCTCGAAGTGCAAAATGTTACTTCAGGATTGGGTTGCATCGACACCTGAACTAATGATAGGGAGTGAAGTAGTTGAGCGTGTAGACCACTTCACTTACATTGGGTGTCTCATCAGCCCTTGTGGTCTGGTGTGTGACGAAATCTCAGCACGGATACAGAAGGCTCGTCTAGCTTTCGCCAACTTGCGCCATTTATGGCGTAGACGAGATATCCGTCTAGCAACCAAAGGACGGGTTTACTGTGCAGCAGTTCGTTCCGTCCTACTTTATGGCAGTGAAACATGGCCATTAAGAGTAGAGGATATTCGTAGGCCACTAGTATTCGATCATAGGTGTCTCCGAAGCATTGCTCGTATATTCTGGGACCACCGAGTAAGTAATGCAGTTGTTAGGAAACGGGTACTAGGTAAGGATGGCAAATCGATTGATGAAGTAGTGAAACTTCATCAGTTGAGTTGGCTGAGACACGTGTTACGTATACCCGACTACCGACTGCCCCGACGTGCAATGTTTCATGGTGTAGGAGTAGGTTGGAAGAAAGATAAGGGCGGCCAGACCAAAACGTGGCACAAATCTATGAAGTCACTGACAATTGGAATGAGCCATGTTGGTAGTTGTAGACTACCTGGTTGGGATTCGCGAGATGATAGCAACCGATGGTTAAAGACCTTGAATGACATGGCTCAAAATCGTTTGCAATGGCGAAGGTGCATACACTCTTTGTGTTCTCCCAAATTCTAATCCTCTGAATTCTTCATGTCCCTATCTTTTTCTCTTTTCAAATTTATTTCACTGTATTATACTCCTTCAATAACATCTTCAAACCCTAATCTTTCACATAATGCCTATACTCTTACTACTTCTACCACTATGGGATTTTAATCGACAACTGCATCTCTGTGCTAATGTGGTATGGCAACTCGAACTGATGTATGTACGTACGAAGTTCTACGTTGTGATTGACTGACTGAATTAACTATTAAGTATGAAAATGAAAAACTTACTTTCAGGCAAATCAATTGTTAAGCTAACCACTGCTGAAGCCGGTTGAGCAATAGCCTGAAGTATTCGAATCCATGATGGAAATGGACAATTATTTGATACAATTACATTTCTTAACATTGGATTATGATCAATTATCAAAGTTGTTATAGATATCCCAGGTGTTCCAAATAAACTAGAAGAGATAAAAAGTAAAAATAAAAACACTAACTGTGATATTTACTTAGTATTGTTTGTTTCGACCTTCCCATTGATGTTTTTAGGAAAGACAACTGGTCAGTCTCTAATTGGCATATGTGCATACTGTGCGTATTACCTCGATATAGCCTAAATTCTCAAGCATGGTAAGCAAAGAAGCGAAAGGTACTTGGTTCGAGTCCCAGAGTGAACATCAACAAGTCTGAGATGCAGGTACATCCAGCTGACGAGTCCTAAATAGGACGAAACGCGCTTTATCCTGGATTCCACTGCTAGCCACTATCCATCTTTGCTTACTAGTTGTGATATATTTCTTTTCCTTGAACAGTGAATACAAATGTAGAGCAATGGTAACTTCTTAAAGAATAACATTTCTATTAGATGTCCACGACAAATAATGCAAAAATGCAAACAAAATCAGTGATTTACCACCCTAATATAGATCAACACAATAATGATAGAAATAATTTATTAATATAACTTGGAAATTAAGTGTTAATATTCTTGTAATGAGCTTTCAGTAGTGACTAACACCATCATTTGAATGAGGCCCGACAAGTTGTCCGACTGTGTAAACAAATACAAAGGGGAGCAATATTAGAACTCCCTGATGGATCCAATGTTTAATTCACTAAGACACAGAACAAATCAAATCCTTCGATTTCTTTTCTAACGAAAAAGGCGGCAGTTATTTGTAGCTGACGGACATGAATGTCAGCAGTGGATGGCTTAACAGAACAGGAATAGAGAAAAAAAAAGTAGATCAGTCAATAGATGAACTTTATTCATTAACCAATGTAAACAAGATAGAATCATGAATAGTCCATGCTTAAGTCAGGATTAAATCGTAACATGTTGTTTTAGTTCACTTTTCTATTGATCAGAGCTAGAGGATAGATCAAGATGCTAGATGATTCTACCATCTGTCGATGCACAGAATAACAACAGCCCCCAAATGCCCTGGTACGGCCGAGAGTGGGGAGAGTCACCTCTCCCTCTCAAAATACTCTCATATGGCCAGCAAATATATAGCCTCTGTCAGGGAAGTCCTACTCACTGCCTTCTCGTGGCGGGGGTGTTGTTTACGAAAGTGAGAGGACGAAAACCGAATGTCTGGCGCTTTAACCGGGTTGGTGGACACGGAGGGTCCACCTAGGGGAGTTGGAAAACCTTCATTCCAAACCAATGGTGCACATGGGCTCCAGTATCCTGATGGAACGAATGGCGGACGAACCTGTCATTGGTCAACGGCTACCATGGGACTGCATCTCCTCACGATGCTCCACTGCCTTGTGGATCAGATTTTTTGGTCAAAGGCTCGGGGTGTGGCCCCCTAAGAAAACCACCTCCTTCGGTTTGGGCACCCGGGCAGTATCACAGCCCTCACACAAATCGAATGAGATTTGTGAGGCGCATATTTATCTGGTGCTTCATTGTACCAATATTTATGTGTTTAAATAAAAATAAATAAATAAAACAGTCTTACACAAGAATATAACAGTTAGATTTATATATATATATATATGTAAATGACAGATTAGAAACGATATTATTATAATACACGAACCTTTTCAAACTTGTTAAACAATGATAAGTTAATTGACAATGACCCATATCCAATATTTGTAAACGAATATTTCCCTGTTTTTAATAAATAAAATATTTTGATCAGGTAACTTGAATGTATAACAATGAACATTGATAGTGCACATATTTGACCGAAATACTTCCCTTAAAATAATTTTTACAACTCATGATATCATAAATGGAAATACAAAATACAAGTGATTTGCATGGTGATGAAACTCACTGAGATACAAATGAAGGGGTAATTGATTTCCAGTAAAATGTTAACTATTTGATTATTGGGCTATGGATGTAGTTCAAAGATTATATCATTAAATAAAATGTTAAGTCGATGTATTTAATCCAATCTCTTCATCTATGAAGTAACAGTATCTCCAATTTATCAAGTTAGGTGCCAAAAGGTAATCGGCAAGAAACTTTGGACATAAGTTTCGTATTACATGGCACTCATCAATAAGATAATCTTAAGAGAACTGGTCCTCCTTGATAATTCAGTGGTTAGGGCTTTCGACTTTTAGACACTACGTCGCAGGTTTAAATTTGAATAACATCAATTTTCAGAAACGGGTAGTATTACTAGTCCAAGGATTCAGAGCGACTACTAGAAAAATGTATAAATCCATATCTTGTAAGTGAACTAATCGATAAAAATAAATGTATCTCCCTTAAATTCTGTTCTATCAGAACATGTATTGAATGAATCAGATGATAACAAAAACCTTGATTATCTAAACATTTTACATGAATAGGTTATGAATGTCTAAAGTCTCTTAGATGCATAGTGATAATATCAAAAATACTAACTACCATAGTTAGGCAATTTGAAGAATAAAATTTCAGTTTCACACAGCGAATCAGAAATGTTGTATATTAATTCTACAGCTTAACCCTAAACCTAGAAACCATTACTGAAAGCAACAACTTTCCTTCGACTACCAGTTAATTTAAAAGTATCCTAAGCCAATTTTTATCAGAGATCAAAAGAAGATCGATTTAAACAAGCTGCTTATACAATCTTCGTACAAATATTGACAAAATTTAGCATATCAAAAGAGTAACGGATTATAAGTAGGGAAAATATAAAGAAAGTATCGTGTACGGAATTTCACTGAGTCAAAACAACAATGGAAATTCCAATCTGCGAAAAGAAAAAAGGAAATGGTCAATAAATGAACAGGATTTTTAGGTGATATTTAAATAACCCAGCAACAAAATCCGACTTAAAGTCTTCTTGTGGAGCTGCTGGATAGTATGGGGAAGCCTTTCTAGTTAACTTGGGCGATCGATGAAGATAGGAACAATCCACCACTCTATGGTAAATCGGATTAAACTGGGATCTATTCTCAGGGCTCTTTCAAAATCTAGCGGGCTGCCCGATGCGTACGCTTATGGACATGAATCGTATGAGTTACGGATAGTGTGATTTATGTATATAGGTATGTGCAAGGGGTGTACGAGTGGGCCAACACAAAGGGACGTTAGCTAAAAATTGTCTGCCCTATGATATTAAAGCAAATACTAGGGAGAGGTGATCATCAACCTCCGCTGAAAGAGTGCTTATGCTTATATTTATGTCACGAAGTGCAGGAGTGAAAACCTTTGTACCAGAAATATGCATGTATTGCGTAAGAGACAGTCTATGGTAGCAAATACGTTCTATAAGACAGGTGATCATTTACCCTCTCAAGTGGATAAATATACTTACATGTATGCTACTGAATACATGAGTGAAAACTTGTAAGTTCCCGGTAAACATATATACTATACTTGCTCATGGTGCGACGTCTATGAGTCAAGACCTGGGGTAACGATTTTCCACGAAATCACACCCACGTGGTGGATTTATGAGTCATGAAAAACAGAGACTATCTACAGAAGATCCAATCAGCTTCACTGGACAGGGTTTGACTAATTTTAAATATCCAATAAATACAATAGAAAATAAATATTACTTTAATCAATGCTGAACAAAGTGAATTCAATAACTGATCACCAAATGAGGATTTCTCGAAATTATTAAATTTTTCCAAATTTTTCATAATGATTTCAGATGACTTGTTATTTAACCAATTTAAAGATGATAACTCGGATGCAGTAACAGGAAGATTTATTTGGCATTGTTTATTTGTTTGAAAAGTAGAACATCCTCTTAAACGTAAACACTTTAAAGCTTTCAAACAATTCATAGATAATAAATAATTTAATTGGTTAGGAGAGATTTGAGGATTCCAGCTTAAATCCAATTCTGATAAACAGGATACAAATGAATCTGTACACATACACAAAAGAATATTTAAAGAAAAAATGGGGAAGGAAAATATTGATCAGTACAGGATAGAATTCAAGAATATAAAATCTACAGACAATAATTATTATAATTATATTTATATAAATATTTGCGTTTGATTAGTAGCTGACAGTGGAATCCAAGACCAACATTATGTTTTATATATTCGTTTAACATACAAAAATACTGGTACAACTGAACACCAAAATAAATATACGTTATACACACAAATGCCCTGGTATTTTCTTCATTTAGCTAGTGATTACTACTTTACAGATGGTCCCCAAATGCCATGGTGCAGCCGAGGGTGAGAAGAGTCAGCTCTCCCTCTTCAAATGCTCTAGTATGGCCACACGTATACAGCTGCTGTCAGGAAAGTCCTACCCATTGCCCTCTCGTGGCATCACTGTTGTTTATGAAAGTGAGGAAGAAAAGCGAATGTCCAGCTCTTTAACCGGCTTGGTAGATCCACCCATAGGAGTTGGAAAACCCTGATTTCAAATCAATGGTGCACATGGGCTCCAGAGTCCGGAAGGACCAAATGGCGTATGAACCAATTGCTGGTCACTGGCTACCATGGGACAGAACCTCCTAACGTTGCCCCACTACCTTGTGGATCAGACCTTTCGCTCGAAAGCTCCGATTTCGGCACCCAGGTAGTATCATAGCCCACACACAAATCAAATGACTTGTGTGGCACATATGTATTTGGTGCCCCTTTGTACCAATATTTATATATTCAAATAAACAAATAAATAAATGAAATAAAATGAGTATCAGTATAACCGAAAATAAATAAATGAGCTATCTTTGGTGTTGTCTCGACATTAGTCTAGCTGTAAAACGTCGAGTTTACAGTGCGTCAATGAGAGCAGTTTTGCTCTATGTCTCCTCGAGTTAAGGATGTTTAAAGAAACTTTATGCTTAGTCGCAATTGTTACCGAAGCATTACTGGTATTCAGTGACATCATGTTTCAAATGCCTAGTGTGTGTTCCAGTACAGTAATGATAACTCAATTGATGTCATCATCTTGAAAGATCGGTTTTAGAAACTTGAAAAAATATGTTACAAATGTCATCCTAGCGATTTTCACAGCGTCTATTACTTGTCAACGCAGCAACTTGGTAGAAAAATTGGAGAAGTGGTTAGCTTATGACACGCTGTGTAATATGAAATAAAGCTGTATAATGACTGGCACATGTAGATCCATTCAGTTATATAATATAACCTTATGGGCCAGGGTAATCATGCACTGGTTTTCAGGAAAACCAGACACCATCCAGACTTTCAAGCGGCAACCTGAACAGTACAGCTCAATCCCGTTTAACAGGAGAGCCAGACACTGCCCAGGCTTAGCCCAAGCAATAGATCCATTATAACTTCATAATTTGAGTTCACAAGACAGTCAATTCAGTAGCTTAAGATAAGGCTATGATTAGAAGCCAATGGTCATAATGATTTCTGTTATACATTTTTCATAAAAATTAACATACTTCACTGAACAAAATCCTTTCTAGTCGTATTTTTTTCCAAAATTAAACAGTTTCTCCAATTGTACATTACTCTAATTTGCTTATTTCTAATGATTTATTTGTACTGAATTATACTCTTTTATTCCATTTACGTCCCCGCCCCATTTGTGTGGTGTATGATTTATTTTGGTGTACATTAGTACCAATATTTTTTTATGTAATAAATGATTATAGAAATGAAAAGATTAATCAGTCACTATGGGCAGATAAGGGAAAACATGCATCCTAGATTTAATTGTTAACTATAATTTTTCTATCTTTGCTTACTATGCTTGTGAATTCAGACTATATCGAGGCAATACGCACAGTATGCACATATGCTAATTAGAGACTGACCAGTTGCAGTCCTAAAACATCAATGAGAAGATTCAAACAAACAATACTAAGTGAATTTCAACTTCACCCCTTTGCCTACCAGTACTCAGTGACCGAGTGGATAAGGCGACGGTGTTTGAAGCGAAAGGCATTGGGTTCGAGTCCCAGAGTGAACATCAACAAGTCTGAGATGTGGCAGGTACATCCAGTTGACGAGTCCCAAATAGGACCAAACGCGCGTCAAACTGGATTCCACTGCTAGCCACTATACATCTTTGCTTACCATACAATTTGTCTATATTGAAAATATATACCATGATTGAATGAAATTTACCTGTGGACAAACTATGAAAAATTCGTTCATTTTGATAATCATAACAATTTGCATTGATTGTATTAGTACCAAGTGAACATCCAGCTAAATTAAAATAATTTAATTTAGGGAATGCTTTTAAAATAGTTTCAATAAATAGTATCCAACAATTATCATGATTTGTTGATAGATCATAGTCTGCTAAATCAGCATTATCCAAATGATTCTGTTTCATATTACAGCCAAGAAGTGGATTATATGAAAGATTTAAATGTTGAAGTCGTGGCATAAGTACATCCGAGCTAAAAAAAATTTAAAGAAAAAAAGGTAGAAAAGAGATAATGAAGACAAAATAAGCAATTACTATTATAGCAGCTCACACACAATTGAGTTTGTTCATATCTAATTTGGTAACATCCTTTTGTTAACTTATTTAACGGACAGAGTCATTCGCACAATAACAATCTATCTATACTATTGTACCATTATTATGTACGCTTGAGCATTGCTTACTGCCTACGCATGCATTCATTCTGCTAGTCTTACTATTAATCGCTTGAATGATTCGATGATCCATGCATTTCCATTTGTATATATGGGTACATCACTGTACTTGCTGACTCGATCTCTCGCTCGCTTGATTTACGGCACCACTCTTTCACGCTTGCTTGAAGTGCCTGTAATTTTGGATATATGTGTGTGGTTCAATAATAAACGCAATCAACACTTCGTATTCGCCTTCTGATCTATACACCGTTGGGGCGTTATCGAGTAACGGTTATCAGGACGAACAATATAGGATGTTTAAGGATAATATTGAATATCGACCACCACACTATCAATCAGAAGCGGTTTTTGTGGATATTATAGTAATTTCAATCGTTGAGATCATGAGTCAATTGAAGCTAGATCACTATGGAAAACCTAGAAGAACTGGACAGTCGTTTGGTTCTAATATAAAACTCCTCAGCAGTGCGCATCCACGATCCCGCCTCGCAAGATCCAAACCCAGGACCTATCAGTCTCACACGCGAACGCTTAACCTCTAGACCACTGAACCAGCATCCATTGCAGTCTAGCTTCAATTGACTCATGATCTCAACTATTGAAATTACTATTAATCAATTAATGTTCTATATATTTAAAGAATGCCACCGTTTTATTAAAATTGACTACATAATGGTGAAACAGTTTAGTTTGGACTGTTTTCTCAGTTAAAAACAATTCAAATGACAACATCATAATACCATTCAATTGTTAGCTTAACTCGTCATACTATGACTCTATTATTTTAAATAATATAGGCTACTATGGTATTGTAAGTTAGTCTGAAAGTTATTAAACTTATTCTCATTAAAGAAGCACATAGATAATATAAGTAAAAATGTATTTCAACACTATGAAATGCTACGTTACACTGAGTGAACTTGCTTGAAAGAATAGTTTATACTGTATAACTGCATGTACCACCACAGTTGAATAGCGACCTTTAGACTTTAGATTAAAAATTGTATTAAAGAGTGACTAAAGCATTTTGAATTAGATTTAAATTATAAATCTAATTCAAAATGCTTTAGCCACTCTTCAACACAATCTAATAACGTGAGAGAAGCAATAATATAGATAGAGTAATCAGTATAGAGTTGTGGTGATTATTGAGTCTCTATATGAATCATGCAGCGACAATAGAAAATGGTTGCACAACATCAAGGATTGGTTAAAGTTAGACATTAACATCGTTCGACCACCCCCGCTTGGTAATCTAGAGGTTAAGCGTTTGCTCAAGAGTGAAGGTCCCGCGTGCGGGATCGTGGGTGCACGCTGTTCAGGAGTTCCATACTAAAACAAGACGGCCAACCAGTGCTTTCAGGTTTTCAATAGTGGTCTAACACAGTCAGAATAGTCAAAATAAATGTTCGGTCAATGATTGCGTAATGTATAGAGTAATATAAATTAGATAATAAATAGTAAAAAGGGATGAATGGTACATAAATTTCTCAAATTTTTACAACCATAATAATGTGTGAAGTTTCAGCTATGAAAATACAAAGAAAAATGGTGTATGGAAATTAGTCAAATTATGTTCTCATATCATCAGACTGATTGTTAGAAGTTGGTCAAGGGAAAAGAAGTCGTTGAACATATTTCTTCTGGAGACAAAGCCCCGGCTTTTTTATTTGAATAGCTATTGTTTCAGCCGTTTGGAGGATTCTTGGTCTGACAGATTTAGGTAGATAACTATTAACATAATATATTTCTGTAAATGACTGCTCCAGTTTGTACCACACGTGCTAGAAATTGAACTGTTAACAGTTTTAACTATACCTTTGTTTAACTAAAATGGAAGGTGCTCGCGAGCACGAAAATACAAATTGCTAGAACATCTGCTAACATAACCTGCTCCACAAGAGCAGTTCGATAGATAGATACAGAAAAAGATGGCTAGTCCAGGTAATTTATCTTTCAATCTCAGAGTGGCCATCGGACGCGTAAAAGTAAAAAACATCAACTGAAGTTTTTCTGTACTAAAAGTCTGTTGAATTGCTCTGTGCAAATTTAACATTAGTATTTTACTGGGTATGTCACCTCTAGGTCGTAAGTACATATATAGAAAACTTTCGCTTACTATTAGGACTTCCTTTCCTATTTATTTCTAAATCTCATCGAATCCATTTTCTTTAACGAGCTTTGTTTTAAACGACATGTTTACTTTCAGCCTGTCCACTTTTTGAATTACAAAATTGAATATATAGCTGCAGAACGTGAAAACATCTAGATATATTTCGGTAAATAGCTATGGGTTGATCCTTAAGGAAGACAAAATCGAAGCAGTACTGTGTGTGTACAGCAACAGAAAATGACCTCAAAGCGCAAGAAAATTATCGAACCAAGTGTTGGAAACTAATCAAAACACAGTAAAGGTCATTCGGAAGTATGAATCAGCAAAAATGTGCTCAGAGTTATTGTTAAAGAAAAGAAATTGACATTTTTTTAACAAAATCTAGTAACTCAAATTCAATTAAGGTTGGCTAAATAAAATAAAGTAACACCAGTGATCTATTAGAGCTGCAATGTAATGTCTCGGAATGTGAAACTGACTAACGTGGGTTCGAATACTCCAGAAACTATCAGTTCACCCACGATTACAAGTATGTCTTTCTGACGAGTGTCAATTAGCATGAAAACTATATCCAAGATTTCCTGCTAACTACAAATACAAATACTGCACACAACAACAAGTCACTTAGATTAGTGGCTACATTATAAATTGGTTGATAGAATTCAATCGGAACTAAGAAAACTAAACAAACATGACATTTGATCAATCAATGCACAATCCCAAAAAACAAAAAAGAAAATACCCCTTGTCTTCCTCCTTGAATCGCTTCGATAAAGCGCATAGAAATCGACTGAAAAATTGATCATTGAATAAATTCATACTTAAATTTAATTTATTCAGTTGTAATGAAAATTGACATAAACAATCCGTTAAATTAATACAATTCATAGAAGAGCATTGTTTTGTATCTATTATATCCGTAGTTAATGAGTTACCTGTAAGTCAGAAGAAAATAATGAAAAGTAACAAAAACGTAAACAGTGATATTTGATAAAGAATAATTTTGTTAGTAATCTGTGTATACATTTCTACTTCATTTTTCTTGAAGCATATATTCTATGTCTAATGGATAGTGGCTAGCAGTGGAATCCAGTTTGACGCGCGTTTCGTCCTATTTGGAACTCATCAGTTGGATGTACCTGCATCTCAGAGTAGATGTGCACTCTGGGACTCGAACCCAGTACCTTTCGCTTCAAACGCCATCGCGTTATCCACTTGGCCGCTGAGTCCTGATAGCCACTTGCTTGTGTAAACAATACTAAGTAAATTTCTATGTCTAATGTTTCCTACTAACAGTAATACCATTACTATTGCTCTATAGTCTAGCTGTGCCGATGTGCTATGGAAACTTGGAACGGCGAATATACCATGTACCATGTTCTATGTTGCGTATAACTGACTGACCGATTGATTCCTCCTAACTGAAAAATTATGATAAACGTTTAATATACTACTGTGATTTTATGAAAAGCTTACAATTTACCGTGAAGTTAATTAATGCGGATTTTATTGAGTGAACATTATCACAGTATATGATATAATTTCCTTGTCAGCCATCATTTAAAGGGGAAATGAGAAGTGATTAAGATAGAATTAACCTTATAAATAAACATTATGTAATAATAAACATAGTTATTACAGCTTAATATATTGAAAATATTTCCAAAGAACTCTGACTGGTACGTAGCTAGATGAAATTGAAGAATGTTTTATTGAAAATTAAAGAGTTAAGCACGTATAAGACTGGGAATTCATTTAGTATTGTTTGTTTGAATCTTCCCATTGAAGTTTTAGGACTGCACCTGGTCAGTCTCTAATTGGCATATGTGCATATTGCCTCGATATAGCCTTAATTCACAAGCATGGTAAACAAAGATGGATGATGGCTAGCAGTGGAATCCAGGACGCAAGTTTCGTCCCCATCGCACAAGCACGTGGCTATCAGGACTCAGTGGTCGAGTAGATAACGCGGTGGCTATTGAAGCGAAAGTTACTGGTTTCAAGTCCCAGAGTGAACATCAACTCTGAGATACAGGTACATTCAGCTGACGAGTCCCAAATAGAACGAAACGTGCGTCAAACTGGATTCCACTGCTAGCCACTATCCATCTTTGCTTACCAGACTGGGCATTGTTTCATAGTGTTGTATCTAACAAGAGTACCAAATGTATATGGAGCTGAAAACTAGTAATCACTTGAAAAAGTTGTTTATATTACAATCTCGGTCAATAAGATATGTACGTAGCATGGACATATATATTTTTGTCAAGGCCTAATTTTTTTATGACTACATCAAGTAAAAAGAGAAACGTATTATTATTCCTTTTAGCCTTAAAAGTATGTAAGAATGTTTCTATGATTTTTGAATGACATCGATCAACGTACTTTGAAAACCAGAGCAGTAAATGCTACTTTGGGTCATCTTTTTATTGCACTGTGATGTACATCTTGCTACAGAAGATCAAGCCTACAACGCGTCGTAAAGATCAATTTCACTTAACGATTGTGAGGAATATGTCTTTGAGTTAAGGATGTTCGGCGACTCTGTGTTCAATAACCATTTCCTGTCAAGGGATTCCCGATAATCAGTGGTAACAGATGGGTCTGGAAATATAAATCTAGGCATAGTGATGATAATCTAATCGGTGTCGCAATTAGGTGGCTGAGACATGTTTTATGGATACCATCCCAATTGGTCCTACATTCCTCAGTACTTATCGACGCTGATAACGAATGAAGAAAGTAGTATGTTTACGACATAGCGCTACAGTATGGCAGAAAAAACTGGCAACTGTCAATCCAAGTCAGCCACTTGGCTGAGGTCCTAAACACTAGGCGATCACTTTATTGATATAGCATTATATATGGGTTGAATACATAAGTTAATGATGATTCTGGTATGGTTTTCTATTAAACTCTTTATAAAAGTGAGATAAGCTCCCTTAAATGAATGAATTCTTATTTGGTTGTATTTTTAACTGAAATGTATCTCGTGCTATATGCTATCACTTTCTATACACTTATTTCTTCACAACATAATCGCTTCTTTTGTGCGGTGCATATTTTTGGTGCTTAACTGTATCAAGGTATATGTGTTTAAATAATAAAAAAATAATATGATTTATACATGGAAGCAATGATGCACAGGTTTCAAATTATGCGACACAAGACATTGATAGGAAAATACAAAATGTACTACTGTTGTATAAATAAGTAAATTGAATAAGTTTTCAAGCGACACATGCTAAACGATTTTATAACTTAGCAAACCCATGTAGAATTGATTGATTATGATGAAAATCACTGAATCAATATCATAGAGTTTGTGTTACAAGGTGCAGTGAAGACTTCCTTAAGATCAGTTATAGCTCGAATAGATCGGTGATTAAGTCTGAAAGTGTGAAACTTTGGTGATGCAAGATCGAATCAAATCAGGGAAAATTAATCCCTATAAGATTACATATACAACTTGCTGAAGAGTTTTTGTTGACTACTTCTAACTACCTAAAAGTATCATTCAAAAAAATAAAACAAACTAGTGTAAAGAATTTGGGATAAAGTTGAAGATAACACACACGCGAGTACGCACCCGCAGTTCAGATAAGTTGCAAGATTTAAACATTTTTAAACACTCAAAACTGAGCTAAACAATATTCTGATGTTGAAATTTCTATGGTTATGATAGATATTGATCTACCTGGATAAAATCATAAAACGAATAAATATCTTATTTATTAAGAATTCAATTAACTCACGCTTTCAACTATGAAAATATTAAATCTCCACAAAACCCCTTCTGATAATAATAATAATATACTCACTAGTGACTGACTTCGAGAGGTAAATTCTGAAGTTCTAGTAAGAATCAGTGACCAGTGGAGTTCAAACAGGTCTGTTGTGAGATATCAACTCACTGAAGACAATTGGTGAACGGTTGCTCAACTTCGTGGATCAGTTGAAGTTAGACAATAACACCGTTGAATGCCGGCTAGCTCAGTGGTCTATCGGTTAAGAGCTCTAGCTCGAGACTGTTAGGTCCTGGGTTCGAACTGCGCGAGTGCGGGATCGTGGATGCGTACTGCTGAGGAGTCACATAATGGGACGTAACGGCCGTCCAGTGTTTCCATGTTTTTCTTGGTGGTCTAGATTCAATTGACTCACGCTTTCAACTATGAAAATACTAAATCTCCACAAAACCCCTTCTCATATTTAGAATGTGTCAATAAACATGAACAATTTACTAGAGGAAACAAACGTTAATAAGAAATTAATTACTAAAAATTTAATTCAATGATAATGTACCCTGAATTTGTACTTCTGTAATCACTCGAATACCACTATCACGAACTAGTTGACCTAATAATTTACAACATTCTTTATCTTCTAGAGAAAGATATGATAAATCCAAAACTCCACTATTCCGTGCTTTATCAATGACTGAATGAAGGAATGGTGATACTATATTTTGTGGAATTTCATTTGACTTTGACTCTAAAGAAGAGAAAAAAATCAATAATGAATGAAAGAGTAATACTGAACAGCTTAAACTCTTAGAAAAGCAAACAAAACATGGAAAGAAATAAGTCTAAACATTTGATTACAGTATATTACATAAATTGTTAAATTTAATGATGCCTATCACGAAGTGATTTTGTTTAAATAATCGTTGAAAACCAAAAACCATTAGACAACTGCTTCACCCCAATATGATACTCCTCAAGAATGTGCAACCATAACCGCACCAAGGAACGAACCCAAAATTTTCATGCCTCATACCGAGTCCTTAACCTCACTAATCACTATGTTGCCACCCAACGATTTACATTCTTAGATTCATTCAATCCACGGTATAACGTGACTACCATCAATTAACAACAATGATTTTTACCCCAAGCGAACTTATAATATATGGACGAGCCAATCAGATAACAAGTTATGAATTTTGGAGCGAAAATCATTTACCCATTTAGTTAAATGGCGTTTTGCGATTCTAGCTGATTTCTAGAATGTTGTAATTTTTTCTTCCATCATGACTGAATGTGCTATATTTGACACATCCGTAGCGTGATAAAGTAGTATTTTTGTCAAAGAAAATTACATTTTCGTGGTAAGCCAGATACAACAACAAAGAACGAAACACATTTTCCATCATGGACTATAGTTTAAATAATAGTTCCCACTTCATTATTGGTCTCCAAGTGAAAGGTCAAAATTGGGAACGTCAGTGGAGCATATCCTTACTATTCATATATCAGTAACACCTTTTTGAAAGTAAACTTTAACAATACTATCTGGGTTTTTTAAAACAATAGGATTTGGGACAAGTTTGAATTTAAAATTCAGTGGTTAAAAATCAAGCTATTTAACAACAAACATATATGGGACTCCTCAGCAGTGCGCATCCACGAACCCGCACTCGCGAGATTCGAACCCAGGACCTACCACACACCACGCACTGCTGAGGAGTCCCATAATAGGACGAAACGACCGTCCAGTGTTTCCAGGTTTTCCATGGTGGTCTAGCTTCAATTGACTCATGCTTTCAACTATGAAACATACTAAATCTCCACAAAATCCTTTCTGATAATTAACAAACATATAGCTCATCAGCTAAGTAACAAATTTCAGTAGAATGAGTATGAACAGTACAGCACATTTAAGCCGTATCAGTCAACTATAATTCGTAACTTGAATTGTTTTCCTCCAATACTACTTAAAACCTAGAACGTAATGTTATGATTCCACTATATGTAAAGAGAAATACTACAATCTGATGTCACAGTCACCTATTAAAACTTATCTCCTAAATAAATGTACACTAAAGAATAGCAGAATGTCCTAAATTAAACACTAATTTATTGATGAATGACTAAACAAATATCACTTCACTATAAGCCGATAGTCAAATAGATTTCATCTAAGTATCATATTTCAATTAAAAGCAGTAAATAAGCTTAGCTACTTGTCATCTTTTAAGAAGTTAAGAACAGACCACGATATATCAAACATGACTACTGAAAAAAGGAATCCGAATGGATCACTTACTATAATTGAAGTGCGATTGAATATTTTGATTTGATAGATTAGTTGGAGTTTTTTGAGTAACAATAGACTCATTCAATTCAGCTAAAAGTTCAACAACTGATCCGGATTGACTTAAAACTGGAATAATTGAAAATAAACGATCTGTAGGAAGTAATAGAGCTCGATCTCTGGTACATAGACGAACTAGTTGTTCACCGGATTCTGTGATAGGAATATTAGAATTAAATCCCAAAAGAATTTGACGTCGACGATATGCTTCAGTTGCTAACCATGACACACTACGAGACCTATTTCATTTGTAAAATAAATATATGTTCTTTTTGTTATAATAGTAAAGTGCAACTGTTGTCAAACAAAACAAGAAAAATAATAATACAACACCCATTCATCTAAACTTTATGCATATTTGCAACATCATCAATAGATTAACCACTATTACCTAGTATTGAAAGATTATTATCAACAATAGTCGACTGAGACGCTACATCATATACAATCAACGCTTTGACGGAATATTCAATTAATTATTAGTAAACTATATTTAATCTCAAAACAATAACAGAACATATTTGACAGAAACAAAGATACAGATTAAATCATTGCAGGTGTTAGTTGGTGAAAGCCAAACAAGCTTATAGCATATAAGCAAATAGCCCCCAAATGCCCTCGTACGGCCGAGAGTGGGGAGAGTCTGCTCTCCCTCTCGAAATGCTCTCATATGGCCACGCGAATATATAGCCTCTGCTAGGGAAGTCCTACTCACTGCCTTCTCGTGGCGGGGGTGTTGTTCACAAAAGTAAGAGGACGAAAAGCGAATGTCCGGCGCTTTAACCGGGTTGGTGGACACGGTAAGTCCACCTAGGGAAGTTGGAAAACTTTAATTCCAAACCAATGGTGCACATGGGCCTCAGTATCCTGAAGGAACAAATGGTGCATGAATCAATCGGTGGTGACCGACTACCATGGGACTGCATATCCACACGATGCTCCACTGCCTTGTGGATTAGACCTTTAGGTCAAAGGCTTTGGGTGTGGCTCCCTAAGAAAACCGCCTGCTTCAGTCTGGGCACCTGGGCAGTATCACAGCCCTCACACAAATCGAATAAGATTTGTGAGGCGCATATTTATCTTGTGCTTTCTTGTACCAATATTTTTGTGTTTAAATAAACAAATAAATATGAGCCACACAAATCATTTAATTTGTGGGAGGTTTGCGTTACTGTCCGGACACCCAAACCGAGGCAGGTGGTTTTCCCCTGAACATTTGACCCAAAAGTCTAACCCACAAGGCAATGGAGCAACGTTAGAAGATGAGGTCCTATGGTAGCCAGTGACCAACAATTGTTTCATACGCCATTTGGTCCCTCCGGACCCTGGAGCCCATGTGCATCATTGATTTGAAATCAGGGTTTTCAACTCCTGTGGGTGGATCCACCAACCCGGTTAAAGGAACCAGATATTCCCTTCTCGTCCTCTCAATTTCGTAAACAACACCCCCCACCACGAGAAAGCAGTGAGAACTCCCCTGACAGTGGCTATATAGGCGTGGCCATATGAGAACATCTCGAGAAGGAGAGCAGACTCACAGCTCTCGGCCGTACTAGATCATTTGGTCATTTATATAATTTTAAGTTTATGAAAGGATTGTCGAGTAAGAAGTATTTATTGAAAAAATAAGACAAATCAGTTGAAAGTTAAAAACATACACTGATATAGTGTTTGTATTAAAACAATCCATTTTTTGATTTAACCTGTTTATCTATAATTTGAAAACTTTGAAACAATGATAGATCACTCATTGAGAATTGTTTGTTTGAATCTTCCCATCGATTTGTTAGGACTGCAACTGGTCAGTCGCACAAGCAAGTGGCTATCAGGACTCAGTGGCCAAGTGGATAATGCAATAGCATTTGAAGCGAAAGGTACTGGGTTCGAGTCCCAGAGTGAACATCAACTCTGAGATGCAGGTACATCCAACTGACGAGTTCCAAATAGGACGAAACGCGCGTCAAACTGGATTTCACTGCTAGCCACTATCCATCTCTGCTTACAATGATAGATAACATTGTATAGACAAATAGTTTAAATGTTTCCGTTCCACAATCAAAGTTCAATTGTTAAGTAGAAAACTATTTTCATTCAACTTACATTGAATCAACAGGAACCAGTACCGATATATCGGAAAACGCTACTTTAACTGAATAAGATGGTGTTTCTACTGAAAGACAGAAAAAGAGATTAAATGTAATAAGTGAAAGACTAATCTTATCAGCACTGAAGAAAAGGTGCTAATCTAATATGAAATATAACATCGTTTTTCTACTTGCTCAGGTGAATAACAAGATGTATGTATTTCTCTTTCCTTGATTTATTACACATTTTCAATCATTGGATACGACATATTGACATAAGGTTAATACTGAAAATCATAAACGAAAGATCTATTGCTCCCCATATACTTGGACAGTAACGATACAAAGATAGCATGGATTAAAGATCTGAGGAGAAATGTCATGATTGGCTACAAGTAACGAGAATCAACTACTGAGTTACAGGTTTAATCTACATTCTGGGTAGAAACCTTAGTTTCTACAAATTTTAGTATACGCTAAACTAGGCACACTGCTAAATTTGTTATTGAGTTAAATACACTTAGGATTTTCATCCATATACCACGAAACAATGGATACAACTGTGCTAACACTCAGGTGGAATACTGTTTTGATGGTTTCCGTGTTTGATCAACATATTATGACCACTGGATCTAATTTGATGATCATTAGGATATAATAGTTTTGGGATATAATAGGATATAACAGTTTTGGCGGATAACCCAATAAATAAATCTCTAAGTGATCACCAATTTATGTTTATTATATCCAAACCAATGTTCTACCATATACATATGGAGAAAAAGGCGATTGTGACTATAAAAAACCTAGGTCAAGATTTTAGTCAACTGAAATTGATAAAAACCTTTCATTAGCGCAAAAGATAATAAACAATAAATACAACAACGAAAGTGTTGTAACAGCTAAAATAATAAAAGTTTTCCCTCTGATAAGACATACAACATGATTTAATAGGCTAGTACTTGCTGGGAGAAAACTACTGAGTAAACTAAACCATGACACCAGATACGAGATTATTAGAACATTGTACTGAGTTATATGATACACACATAACAGAATATCTGACCGAGAATTGAGGCTAAACAGTAGTCTAATTAACAAACTAACAAGTAGTCTATACACAATAAAACCCTGAGTAAAATCACCAAAATCAATGGTGGATAGGAAATTACAATTATTAAATAGTGTCTCATACATTTTAAACAAAGTTGACAGTCTATCATTATTCACCAACCAATTACGGTTTAGTGTAGCAACAAGGGGTTTGCTATTGTTCTTCTATGGATAAGGTTACATATCATAATAACCAATAGGCTATATAAATACGTCTTTTTTCATGCCATTCAAAGACTTACATTTAAAATGAGGCACAAACTAAAAGTTTCCTAGCGATTTGTTGTGTATATCAATCTGAACGACTTAATTGTGAAGTCATTCTCGTTTTTAAACAACTACAATAGTGTAAATTCTACGAAGTCAGCTGCCAATAGGATTCCTCTTACAAAAGATCATCTTAAATAGAAAGAATATATTTGTAAAATCTCAGCGAATGAATTTGAAGTAAATCCAACGTTTCGCCTGGTAATGAATTATCCGTAATTCCTTGAAAAATCTTGGACCACATTGCCAGGCGAAACGTTGGATTTACTTCAAATTCATTCGCTGAGATTTTACAAATATATTCTTTCTATTTAATGTCTTACATTAAATCGGCGCTCGAATACTGTGAAACTATTCGCTCTAATTTAGACAAATGTTCTTATATGAAAGATGATCTTGCAGCAATATAGGATTGATGGTGAAATCCTAATGTGATTTCTTTAACAACCATCTGTCACATAAATGGCCGATAGTGAAATCTTCATTAAGTAAATCACTCAGAACTCCGAGAGCACATGTTGCAACGTCCTCCATCATTAATAATTAGGGAAAATTCTAAGACAAAAAAGATATTGTAATGAAAGGACTAATAAAACAAAGTTATCGATCGTTTACAGAGCATTTTTTTACCTGGAAATTCATTTGTAGGAAATTTGGGCAGTCTTAATTGATCCTTATTAACTGTAGATGGTGGTAGACAGTTATTCGTATTAATTGAACTATCTTTATCAGAATGTGAAGATTCTTTGAAGGATTGATTCAATTGCTTATTACGTTTGATCGGCGTAGAAGTAGATTTCGGTGGTAAGTGCTTATGTGCCCCTCCAACAACTGATGATGATGGTCCTGCTGGAAGTGAAGATAAGTTATCATTTTGCGTAGAAGTAAAAGCCATATGAGGTAAAAATTCGAGATCCTCTTGACGGGAACGATTTTTACTGGATGCTGTGGCTGAAAATTATTGTTCAAAAAACACACAACAGTAACGCATTAGAAAATTGTATATAATCTAAACAGGAAGCTACTACTTTTAGTACAATTTCTTGAAATTAATGAATTAGTGGCTCACTCATCAACTGCTGGTCACATCAATGTAGGTTGACACGAACTTCTTAATTAAGCTCCGCATGACAGTTGTAATCTATAATTGGAAACACTAGGTAACAAGGGATAAAATAGATTTCAGTGACACAGTTGCATTTATTCCCTATCAATACTTATATTGAGTTAAGTGTTTTGTAGTGGGTGATGAGAAGTGTAGCTTAGTGGCTTTGACAATCGAATTTAAACTGCGTCTACAAGTTTAAATATTACTCCAACTACTTGAAATTTTAGCAGTTCAGTCTAACCTACAAGGCGGTGGAGAAACGTCTAGTGATAAAGTCTCCTGGTAGCCAATGACCACAAAAAGTTCATAAATCATTCGCTCCCTCAGAATCCTAGAGCTCATGTACACTACTGGTTTGCAAGGTTTTCCAACTCCTCTACGTAGACAATCGGTATTCACCTTTACTTACTTAATCCCGTTGCGCTTCGTGGAGAAGTATAGGCCTCCCACTAGCATTCTCCATCGAAGTCTGTCGTGGGCAATCTTTTCTGGTTGTTTCCAGTTGCTATTCATCCTTTTGATGTATGCTTCGAATTCTCTTCTCCGTTACGCTTCAGGATTCCAAGTAAGAGCGTGCTTCATGATCAGTATTCATTAATCCGGTTTAACTGCTCAACGTTTGCTTTTTGTCCCCTTGCTTCTATAAGATATACTGTTGTCGCGTAAAGGCAGTGAGTAGGTAATTTCTGGCAGAGATAATGAACGCGTGACCTTATGACGGCATTTAAAGAGGGAGAGAGGACACATCCCACCCTCAACAACACCAGGACCTTTCGGAGCGGTAGTATCGCTGACCCTCAAGCAAAGTCATCCATTTGAAAATCGAGCGTACAAACTTATACTTAGTTATTGAGTTTCTTTACCTAGTAATTATAAATGTTAAACTGTGACTAAGTAATCGATCTGGGGCTAGACTGGAAACATGTAGTTAGTTCTACATCGGCTTGAGGCTGCTCACAATTGAGACACAACTTATGACGGAAAAATTGTCAAGTGCTTACAGACTATCAATTGGATAAGAACATTTGATCCCAACACTCATGATAAAACTATCTATTAAATTCCTCAAATACTAATATTAGATTGTAGGAGTAAATTTTTCAAAATATGAACTATGTAAATAAACGAATTCAATATTTTAAGTCAATATCCTACCAGTATATTTTCCACTTTTCACATTTAAGGCATCAAAGTGTTCTTTCACAGTTGTACTGGAAACAGATCGAGATCCTTTTGGTTTTTCGTCTAAAATCAACCAATCATTGTCATTTGCATCGATTACATGTGATTTTTTTCTACGTTTTGCTAAATCCATACTGTTCGTATTACCAGATGACTCGCACTTATCCACAAAACTAAGTAAGGGAAGGATATAAAACCAATGAAAACACTTAACACATATAAAAATAATTTACAAAGTCTATTACATTTTTATGAAAATAAATTTTCAAACGAAGATGTATTGTGGAGTTTGCTGATGAAAATGCACAGAAAAAAAGACACACTACTTGGGTCAAACATGTTAACTTTGATTTAGTTAGCAAAGTAGTATTACTAGCTCACAAGCAAAATGTGGCTCATAGTCTTGTACAAGAATCATTTAACTCATTTAACGAATAAAATCACACACTTGTAAGGATGACACAATTAGAATCGGAAATGCATGGACAAATGCAACACATTCTCCATACCCAATGTGACGACCAGTTAAATTACACAGCTAGTAAAATCAAAGTAGATGGAGTATGGTTCGAAACTAGAACTCAAAGAAAAGCAATAGTGTAGAATTCATCGACAAACTTGTTCAGTTCATTAAAAAAATTATAAGGAGAACAAAACAATCGGCCAATGTCAAATGTTTACCGTGTTTTTGAACTACCGACAGCTTTCATAGCTTGTTTATATGATTCAACTGCATTGACTGATTTCTTCAATTTAACAGGAGATGGTGGTTGACTGTTCTCATCTTGGTCTAAATCAACAATTAAATCATCCCAATTTCGGCTACGAAGAGATTTTCTGTTGAATTTTGTTTTAGATGAAATCGGTGGTACTGAATCCCAGGTTTCACATACGGATGACGAACGGGAATGAGAACTAGGATGACGTGAATACGATTTTCGATTACTAGTATTATTTTTTATTGTTACTGATGATTCTGAATCATCGGAGGAATTGTTTTCAGGAGTTTCTCTTTTAAGATTACACCAACGATCATATTCATCTGTTTTAAGAGTAAAAAAGCGGTAGGAACTAATCTAATAACGAACTCGTAAATGAATGTGATGAATTAGAAAACAAACATTATTTGATTATTGTGTAATCCTTATTATTAAACTAGATGTTCGCTAGAATATACTCTGCAGTATAAACGCACGTGTTGGGGATGGTGGAAGAAAGTTAGGGCGGCCAAACCGAAACGTGGCATCAGTGCTTGAAGTCACTAACTTCTGGTCTGAACTTTGTTGGTAGATGCAGACTATTTGGTTGGGGTCGGCGCAGCTACCGTAACCAACGGTTGTAAACTCTGGGTGACATGGTTCAGAATCGATCACAATGGCAACTTGGACCGATGCATATATGTGTCTTGTCCTACGTTGTAGCTGACTGACTGATAAACGCACGTTGATAAGCAGGAGAAAATTTTACATACGACACAGGTGCTATGATTTAAAAAACCAAGAAAGCCGTTTGTATTCGCACCAACATTTTGAAGTCACGGACACACCAGAGTTAATGAGATTTTCGAAAAAAAAGTGAACCGGTCAGTATGTATGCAACTACTCATTTCACCAATGACTATCCGGCAGTAAACTAGTCCCTGGTTGTTTGAAGGACATCCCGCTCACGTCACAGGTGGCGCAAGCTGGTAAAAGCCAATCAAGCCTTATAAATCCGCGCCGAGATTTCGTCGGACTCCAAGCCACCAGGGCTCATAAAACTTCCAAGACTTCAACATTGAGTAGTCGACACACCCAACCAATGCACTCCTTATCACAAATTTAGACGTCGATGATACAGACCAGTCCTGAAGCAACATAATGCATTGAGAGAGATATAAACGCATCGTAAAAGTGCTTACATTGTTATTCAGAACAATCAGAAGGCCCTGGATTTTATCAGTGTCTTCAACAACTAGGAATATGTCACGTGCGTAGTGGATTTAGTCAGTCAGTCAGTCAATCGCAACCTAGAACTTGGTACGTATGTGCATCGGTCTAAATCTCCATATTCCATTAGCAGTGAAGGAAGAAATCGTCATGTTAAATCCCAGAATAGAGGTATTGAGAGTACGAATGTTGGATTTACTGGTAAAAGACAAATCCCTGAATAGTTAAACAATGAGAGCGCTTTCTCTAAAAGTACGTCAATGATGAAGAAAGTAAAAAACATAGATGAACACTACTTGAGGTTGATAATTCTAATGGCAGTTCTCCATAAGCTTTAACTCGACCAGTAGTGTTTGAGTAGAGCCTGAACCTGTTTGGTAAACATTTCAGTGACAGACACTGTTGCAGAACATCTTGATCAACTGAGTTAAATACTGTCTTAAATGCAAGGAATACAACTACAGCCTGGCATCGGTATGTTCACAAACCTAACCAGTGGCGAATATATGATCAATACATCTACATCCAGATCTGGAATCAATCTAGATTTCTCAAGTTTGTTGTTCACGACTCATGATTAAGCGTCAAGTGACTATAGAGGCTAATATATATAAACATACCCCCAAGACGACTTCTGATAGCAGCCAAAAGTTCACTGTATTTAGCACGTTGTTCAGCAAATGTTCCAGAGGCATGACGTGTTGGTTCCCATTGGTCTAACAGATTCGATAAATACTCTCCTTGTTTGTTCCTAGGGATAAAAAAAGCATGTTGAAAGGTAGTAGAATACATGCCACTTGCCCAGAAATATGCTCATACATACACATGCATAAATGCAGAACATCACAAGAAATTTGAGAAATTCATAGCAATAAAACATTGGATTTGTTTATTCAGTGAATAGCAGTGGTTTAGTACTTAACTTTCAAACAGTAATTTACCGGTTGGAATCCCATTCCACCCCTTTCTGTATAGGTAGTCAGGTAGAATCTACAGTCTACACACACTGTGTAGCTCGAAGTGGAGAACAGAAATCTGTATTTGGTTAATGAGTTTTACTTGTTGATTTATTTATTTAAACACATAAATATCGGTACAAAGGGGCACCAGATATATATGCGCCTCGCAAATCTCATTTGATTTGTGTGAGGGCTGTGATACTGCCCAGGTGCCCAAACCAAAACAGGTGGTTTTCTTAGGGGATTACATCCAGAGCCTTTGACCTAAAGGTCTAATCCACAAGGCAGTGGAGCATCGTGAGGAGATGCAGTCCCATGGTAGTCGGTCACCAATGATTGATTCTTACGCCATTTGTTCCTTCAGGATACTGAAGCTCATGTGCACCATTGGTTTGGAATTAAGGTTTTCCAACTCCCCTAGGTGGACTTACCGTGTCCACCAACCCGGTTAAAGCGCCGGACATTCGCTTTTCGTCCTCTCAATATCGTAAACAACACCCCTGCCACGAGAAGGCATTAGTTATTTAGAACAATTAGTTTTTCCATTTACAAACAGACTGCATAAATTTGTCAATATTTCTGGGATTTTTTCAACAGAACAAAAATTGAAGTAGACTAAACTCACTTGTGCCATAAATTTGCTCCCCTATTTACAAAAATCAACGCAGTTGTCAATGCTCCACTGTGAATGGCTTCAAAAAGTGGTGTGGAATAATCATCCGGATAACCTGGATCATCTAATTTTGCACCATGATCAAGTAAATAAGTGGCGATTTCTGACCTATCATGAAATGCTGCTTCATGTATAGGCAGCCAACCTGCACCATCAGGTACATTTACTGGATGACCCTAGGATCCCAAAATAAAAGAAAAAGTAGGGAAGATTACTTAGTCTGGCGTAGAATGACACCACATTTACACAAAATCTAACTATAACAGGAAACACTGAGTCTTTTAAAAATACACCGGATCTAGACTACATGGACAAAACAATCAGATTTAAGATAATAATCCTTGAATTTATGTGCGAAATTCAATATTTGCTGACGGGTAGCTTATACTCAATTAAGAGTGAAGTGAAAGTTGCCAATACCTCGTTACAAAAATTCTGCAAACAAAGTAACCAAACACTACTAATTATCACAAAATGTGTCTACAACTTATAAAACGATCTTTAAGCAATTGTAAGAAATAACTTCGCTTTGACTACTAAACAATCAGGCAAATATCATAAAACTTAATAAAACTGACTATATTCTTTAGAGTTATGTCCAACTACCTCCTACATGATATCCTTAATCTTTCGACAACAGTTATGGCTCAACACAATGTCGATTATGCATCCGACAAATGTGATTGTTGTGCATCTATGAATACGATTTTACGTCCGGTTAACTACATGGTTTTAAAAAAATGCCTTTTTACAATAAATCCTGTAGGTGTATAATTTTAGTTTCAGATCACAACTTAATCAGGTCTTACTCTAATATACTGTTACACTCATAAATATATACGAGTAAAACATTAGATCGATTAAATCATCAGTGATCCAACTATAATCACCAGACGAATAGTGTCACAGTAACTTGGTAAATTATAACATTAAATATGGATTTGTACATAGATACTAAGTTAATGTATAATAAAAAGCATTCAGAAAATAAACCTAGTCCTGTTATGAATTCTACTTTCACCATGTCCATTCAGTAATATCACTAATTTATAAACTTCATGAATGATAAATTTGTTTACATCAAAAAAACAATAACAACCCTAAGATTCACTGTTGTGGGCTCATTAAGTATACTGATGCTAATTAACCCATAAAACTGTCTTCTGTTCACAGTGTGCTTAATCATAACACAAAGAAATCCATTTGATCTATATTCCATACCTTATGACTAAAAACTTAATTAACCAACCTATAAGACCGCAATAAGCCATAAATCATAAATTGTATGTAACTAAGTTGTTCGTGGTACTAAAACTTAACAACTGGTGTGTAATTAATTAACCATGAATGACATTCAATGTAACAACAATTAATAAAGTGAAAACTTATGATTAGGGGGATATTAAAATATCATAAACCGAATATATATATATATCACTCGTTTACCTTTATCTAACACGTTATACTACATATAAAGATCAAAATATATACATATTATACAATCATCATATTTTGTCAAGAGAAAAAGAAACTAACCAAGACTTCAATTAATTTTACTACATGATTCATATCACCATTGATTGCAGCCACATGTAACGGTGTTTCACCTTTCATATTAGTCTACAAAATGTAAATGAAGAAAAAAAGATGAATTCTACACACACACACACACACAGAAGAATAAAGTACAAAATTCTTTTAAATGAACTACTAAGAAGAAGTTATAAAACAGTAAATTTAATAGTTAAAACGAATAGTCAGTCAGTTATATCCAATGTAGAATCTAAGATATATGAACACTGAAATAGAAGCAGTAGTGGTATCACTGATAGTAGAAAAGATCAGATATAGACAATATGATTAGAGAAGAATAAATGGGTTGATGAAATAAAGCATATCAACAAAACCCTACAACTTCATACCGATATATGTATATATATACCCAAGTACGTTCATTCACTTAACCTCATCTAGTCAGTATAAAGAACCAACGCAGTTTACCCTCCGTTTATCTTGCGTTACGACTGCCACCGCTAGTGTCCACGCTAGCATATGTACAGCATCAGCTCCAAAAGTAGAACAGGTTCTTCCAGACTGGATTCCAACATATAGTTGCTTCTGTACTATCTGACCAAACGAGACAGTAAGAAATTGAAAAGATGAAGGGATACACCATTGACTCTTCGTTGTTTGTGCCTAATGACTGTAGTTCGGACAAAGTGAAAGACGAATTTTATAGAAATTTCTCCACCCTCCTTCAAAAGCACTTAGATGCAGTAATAGTAGCAAATTGTTTTATTGCCCAAGTAGGTAGTTTAAACCAAACTCAAAGACATTTAGGTAGGTTTTTTTGACTTTTATAAGTGACTTTTTTGTACATTATTTCATACTTGATTTGAATTCCGAACACAATACCTTCAAGTGCGTTCAGTGAATTCCCTCTCTCTGTGATGTGAATACTGATATATCCGTGACTACTAAAGTATAATTGGACAGTTCTGGAAGATACTAGTAGGTCAACCCGATTACCACTACAACTTATTATATTGACATCTCAATGAAACCTGTGACTAGACTATTAGATATGCATTCAAATGGCAATCCATTCGAGGATCACATAGAGAGACTTTAAATCTAGTATACGACCAGGAAAGACATTAGAGACGCTAATATTGTGACTCATTTCACACATTCATCGGAATCTAATTTCGCAGAAAAGCTTCGTGTTCAGTTACGCTATCGAGTAATTGCAGGAATCAGCAAACCAGATTTGGGAAAATAGATTATAGAAATGCCAGGATTTTCGGAAGGCATTGTGATTTCAAACTGTTTAACTCGGTAACCACATATGAAATTCAATTAATTCCAAGGAACCAACAATGTAACATCGACCAATAATTTGTGACCGAATTGTATAGGTTGAAAATATCAGAGACAAAAAATTCATGACGTTTGACTCAACTACAGTTTTGCTCTATCCTTACTACATGAACATTTACAAGCCTCGAGTTTTGATTGTATTTTTCATGACTTGGGTAGCTAATTGATTAATTATTAATTTTCTCGTTTTACGAAGTTCATATAAGTAGCTTCCATATTGTGTATGATTCGCCAGAGCTGAAGCTAGAAAGAAACAGTGGATGTATTTATCTTACGACACGACCCCGTTGTATGAAAGAAAGACTGATATATGTCGGTACATCATGACTCCCTGGTTGGGACCGTACAGATGGTTAAACTCAGTAGCTTGAAATATTATCAGATATGTCAGAGAAGAAAAGCCGGTTCTTCACATCATCCATAAAAGCGAGATGAACACATTTATTTGAAACAAGTCTCTCTGCGTCACGCTATTAACCAACGGTATCTTGTGTCATATACTATTTTAGTTTATTTCTCTTTCATTGTACTACCTTCCCGTCCATTATCTTTTTACATACTTTTTTAGCGCCCGATTGTACCAGAATTTCTACATTAGATAAGACTAAAACAAGTAAATAACTTTGTTCATCGGTCGAAATACCAAGTACTTTTTTAAAGCGTCATACTCTACTGAATAATAATGGTCTTACTTTTAAACAAAGAGCTTTGCCGGATTTTTTACCCTTCATTGTATCCTGGAATTCATCCATAAGTTCTGCATTTCCTATACACTGTTCAAGTTCTAGACAGAAACGAAAGTGAGGTATGGAATATAATGTACTATTCAAGATTTTTATGGGATAAAGTAGTTTTGGGAAAATGAGAAAGTTAAGGCAGATTTCTTAGTGAATGAATAATGAAAAGTTACGCTGAAAGACAAAAAAAGTCAAACTCTACTACACTGACGTCTTTGAGCGACCCTAAGATTGACTCTGTCAAATCTTATCTAGTTATTAGCTAATTATAATCCAGATAATGTAAATGAAATATGTATTGCAAAAACAATGAAAAAGTGACAACGGATGCAAACTTTTTACACGATCAATGGACTTGTTCAAGTTTACAACGAGTTTATCGGGATTAAACTCGTAGTGAAAACGGTATAAGAAATTATTCATGTGACTGAAAACTATCCAACCTCTAGAGCCTTTATATATGGTTGGAGGTATCTTTTTAATTGCAACCACATAAATTCAACATTGTTCGCGTTACGTCTGTTAGCCGCTACTTGCGTTCCTAGTATCTACTCAACTACTAACAGGATGATTAGTTTTAGTTTGAGCTTTGATCTAGTAGAAAACAATTCCACGTCGTATAAACTTCCATAACTAGTATACAGTGAATCGTAAGACAACTTTGTCTTCATACTGTGTACCTTCGCCACTAGTCATTTTTTGTCCACATAAGATAGAATTCCTCAATAGTCTAATGTTCTGTATGTGCCCCACGATCACATCAGCTTTGAAACTATCTAGAATACAAAATGAAGTCAACATTACAGCAACAAACTACTCGTAACTCATTTAAGTGATCTATGTAAAATTCTAAAAACCCCTACTGGTAAATCTCCCAATTAAACATGTGATTCGGTTTCTTAAACCCTTCTAGTAACAACCATGTTATATCTACACGGCAACTTAGACACGAGATTAAAGGCGCGAAATATGGAAAGAACGCCTTACTTCAAGGTTAGTTTATTTACAGAAAATCTAAGGTATTTATGGCATTTCAGATGTCCTTTGGCCTCTGGAAAGTCCTGGAACCCTTCTAAACATAATAGCAGGATAGGTAATCATCCAATCAGAAATGCGACACATGACCTCTCACTTTCCAGATGTTCCTGAAAAACTTCTATTGAATGCTGCTCGGATGAGATGTTTCCCAGTTTCCAGGCCTCTCTGGGCGTTTTTGAAGAATTTTCCGAGTCTCCCTAACACTTACCTTGGATGTAATTGGTTGGCTCAAGGCTGTTAGTATAGTAGTTTGGCCACAAAATGAAAGAATGGAGAGACACCCACAACGAAGTAATTTCAATAATCGACTGAGGACAATAATAATATCTAACCTGAATCAGAGGAGAGTGTCTCCAAAAATTGTATAACACCAGTTTCATCGTCACTAATCGATGATGTATTCTTATCACTATCTTCTACTTCTTCATCTTCATCTTCCTGTTCGGTATTTTCTTCTTGGTGATTTGATTGAGTATCACATGTCTGCTTAATTTGTTCTAGTTCTTGACGTGTTTTCTGTAACTCATCTTTATAATGATACTGTTCATAGTAGTCTAGTAGTTCCTTTAAACAATCGGCCTAGAATATAATTTTTTGTAAAAAAAAAGACAATACAAGATAATCACAAACATATTTAATACGTAAACAGTTAGAACCAATATCGAGCCAGGTACAAGTGTGCGTTGACCCCAGTTTGTTATACCACATTGGCACAACGAAATATGAATGACAAAATTTATAGGAAGACGAGTGAAAATAATGTAATAAAAATGATGATGAAAACTACTAAGCACTGAGAATACAGTTCGAAATGATGGACTAAAAAGATACATACATATGTAAAGGACTGTTTAAACTCATTATCTAGTGAGATAAATAGTGAATGTAACTGCATTATTGTCACATATTCTGAGCCAAGTCACCCAATGTCTTTAAACACTGACCATGGTTATTACGCAGACCACAACCAGGTAGTCTATATCTACCAATGTGGCTCAGACTAACAGTCAGTAAATTTATGGACTGATGCAACGTTTTAGTGTGGATACCCACAGATTTCTCCTAAACTATTTTTACACAAATAGACATCGCTTGTCAAGGTAGGCGGTGGATAAGAACACAACACATTTCCTAAATAAATAAATTGACGAAGATCAACATACAATGTATTTGCATGTATTGTATTAATAGTAATTATAGTTTGGATAAAATTTACGTACAATTAAAGACATATATCCAGTCAACTTTGAGGCTTTATAAGCAGATAACAATGAGTCTAATACAGTTGCTGAACCATTCAAAATAATCTTTTGGTTAGCTCCAATATTTTTATCATTAGAAACTGTAGAGGAATCGATTGTTGAAATTAAACGTTGCGCTTGTGCTAAACTTAACCAACTTGCAGCTATATCCTTTGTGGATAGTCCAGTAGATGTGGCCCATAAAATTTCACGTTTATACATCTCAGCACATTGATCGTAACAGCCAAGTGTACGGTAAGTTTCAGCCACAGATATTAAAGCAGCATCAACAAGTTTGATAACTTCATTTGGAGCAACTCCTGATTCTGAACAATATTGTTTATAGGCAAGTTCAGAGAATCCTAACTATAAAAGTGTATAAAATTAAATAGAGAAGCATATGAGTTTATATTTAAATGATCTGTTGATAAGTAATGAAGTGACACGTTGCACATTTGTATAGTTACCCAATGACGAGGTTACAAATAGGTTTAACGGTTAAGATTTAATTCATTAGAGGGTGCATGGCCTATAAAACTAATATTGGCGACTTGTTTATGATATTTAACCATCTTATTTTTTTGTTTTTACTGCATAGAAAACCTTATCTTTTGGCTAACGATCTTGTATTAAATTTGAAACTACTCGGAACCCTACGTTACCAATTTAATCGCGTTAGTAACTATCACTCAGCCACGTTGCATGATTGAATAACATTTATTGATCAACAGACCTCAATTTTATTTTGAACAATCAAAAACTCGCCTCAACAACTCATCAAAATTTATTATTATTATTGTTACTATTATTATTTATTAGAGACGGAATAGTAACACTTTCTCGATCGTATCAACTTCTATTATTGAGACTGAATGGTTTGAATTACAGAGCAGCAGCTCCAAGCAGGCTACAAATATACTTTTCATACACACTTAACTCAAAAAACTTCAACTGAAACTTAGACCAAGTATGAACTGTAGAGCCTCAGAGTACAAAAGTACTACCTACTTAGTATTTATTATTTTATTTTAGCCTACACCAATGGATACAAACACTTGTAGCTCACTCTGTTACTTCAAAACTAATTGTGTCTGTTTATGTCATTTCCTTCAAGGAGTACAGAACAGAAAGACTAAGTCTAAGTTACTATACATTTATATTAACTGACACTTGATAGAATTCAATAGAACAGGAGTACAACATTATTTAACACTCATAAGAAACTCTGATTACAAAGTCTACTAAGTAACTCACCATAAACCTATAGTGTCTGACTGCACAACCGTGAAGATCGATTCCGGAGTATAAGTCACCCAACTTTTCATGGACACGAGAAGACACAATATAATCTTTTGTATTAGAGGGTTCGTTCGGAATTTCATTTAGTAAATTCATCAGTCGAAAACCTTCATATATTAGTAATGTTACAAACGAACTTACTAATTCTGATCATTTTCCTATATTGTTCTGATGAACTTGGAGAATCAACTTTTAGTAATCGAAATACTTTCATTGCTTTACGACTATTGCCATTACAGAGGTGGATCTAATAAACTAGTCGATCATACAAAAAATACCAACAAACCTGAGCAAGTAACTCTTTCAGATTTACACACAGTAATTTTGCCTCGTTATCTATATATGGCTTCGATAATGGCGAGGACAAAGTGGTTCTAAATCTTCTTAAGAGATTAACATGAAAACTAACTGAACAATCTCCAATGCTTTCTCTGTCTCATTTTGATTCATAAGTTTTAAAAATTCAGTGTGACAGCATTCAATGAAAGCATGTGTTGGGATATTATTTATCAACATTTCACCAGACTGATAAGAAGCACGAAAAAGCATCTTTTGTAAACCATGTTTTCTTGCTAGAGTAATGCACTGTGAAAAACTTTCGAAAGCAGCGTCATAAAGTCGTTGTGCTCGCTGAACGTGACCTAGGAGGTTAGTTAACAAACATACACCTACCAAGGTTAAGTAAAGACACCGCACGCATTTCAGCAGAACTTTTGTCATCTAAGTTAGGAGACAGTTCCCTAATTAACTTTATGCTATTTAGTAGTGCTTGATTAGCAGACTTAAGACTTTTGGAAATCAAAGAACCATCCTTCAAGGACTCTACACGATTTAGAAAACATCGTCCTAGTGTCACATAAGCCCTCTGTTGTTCTACTTTGTTCCCAACTAGTAAAGACAGCTGGAGATATCGATTAGTGTGAAAGATCGCCTGAGTGAAATCACACAATTCTATGTAGCACTCTGCTAAATATCTGTTAGCAACTGCACACTGAAGATTGTCTTCTTTGGATTCCCATACTTCAAGATACTTTTTGTATTCAACTAGTGCAGAATCGTGAGAACCTTAATAATAACTGTAGTCTATATTTGGAAGATTACCTTGTTCAGAATAAATTGCAGCTATGGTTAAAGTCAGTTCCGCTTTTTCTTTGGTTACTTTGGTTTTTGCTCGTTGCTCTATCAACTCTGGAAAGAATATGTATAAGAGGGGTATTCGTATATTACTTTTGACGTTCATTTTTTAGGACAGATGGGATGAGCTAAACTGAAAAACTCAGTTCAATATTAATTACTGTTTAATCCGACGTCATGTAATCACTGCCCAAGATTCGAAAACAACAGCAAATCAGGTGATAACAACATAAATACCTGTAAAAAAAGTAATTTAGTCTATACTAAAATAAAAATATCCCGTGACTAGATAAAGTCAATCAACCAGTCACAACGTAGAACCTGGTATGTATTTACATCGAATCGAGTTGCTATACCCCAGCAGTACAGAGATGTAATTATCAGGCCAAATTTCATATTAGTAAAGGTAGTAACAGTATCAGTGGTAATGGTAAGGACTAGGCATCAGAAATACGACTAGAGAAAATATAAGCTAGTGAAATATAGACAAAAAAGTTATGGAGGATTTAGAATCTCAGTATTTGAATAACTGACAGGTTTCTTAACCTGTTTTAGTCCTTGGAGCTTGTTTTTGAGTAGAGATAGCTGGGGTATAAAACCCGAAACATATTCGTCAACGCATTTGAATGCTCGACTAAGTAGCCATAACACTCGAAAACGTTAGGCAGCTGCTGCAATGCAATACACAGTTGTTTTGAAGTCATGACTTACTATTACTCATAAATCTTCAGTGCAGGTAAGGAAGCAATGTACCGTTGAAAATATACTGGTAGCTATTGCCGTGTCCAATATGCATTAGCACACTTCCTGGAATTAGTCTCCAAACCCCAACTTTAAGACCATCTAACTGATTTTTCTAGATCAGCTTGTATATCAAGATGACCAACCATACTATGTATTCTCCAGATTTTGACATCATCTCCAAAAGTGTCAACAAATTAAGCAGTTTTAGTAATTTACTGACGGAAAGAAAAAATAAGTGACCTAAAACAATGTATTGGGCTACGCTACTTTTAACCGGTTGCTATTCAGATAGTGTCCTATTTACCCACACCCTCTTTCTCCGGTCATGAAGAAAGTTTTATGCTCAATTTTGTGTAGTACCTGTTATTCCAAAGCTCAAGAGCTTCTGAATAAGCTCTAAGTGAGATACCGTATCAAATACTTCGCTAAAATCTGTGAATATCATATCGACAGACAGACTGTTATTTTGAGTTGCCATCCAGTCCTCCCTTCTAATTAGTTAATTAAGCATAAATGTTGATTCCGAAACCCGTCTTGCTATATTCAGTTGGTGTGCATCACGTTGAGATCTCCAACCTCACTCTATGTGCCCCCAAATGCCCTGGTACGGCCGAGAGTGGGGAGAGTCACCTCTCCCTCTCAAAATACTCTCATATGGCCAGCGAATATATAGCCTCTGTCAGGGAAGTCCTACTCACTGCCTTCTCGTGGCGGGGATGTTGTTCACAAAAGTAAGAGGACGAAAACCGAATGTCTGGCGCTTTAACTGGGTTGATGGACACGGAGGGTCCACCTAGGGGAGTTGGAAAACCCTGATTCCAAACCAATGGTGCACATGGGCTCCAGTATCCTGATGGAACGAATGGCGGACGAACCTGTCATTGGTCAACGGCTACCATGGGACTGCATCTCCTCACGATGCTCCACTGCCTTGTGGATCAGACAGTCAGGTCAAAGGCTCCGGGTGTGGCCCCCTAAGAAAACCACCTGCTTCAGTCTGGGCACCTGGGCAGTATCACAGCCCTCACACAAATCTAATGAGATTTGTGGGGCGCATATTTATCTGGTGCTTCATTGTACCAATATTTATGTGTTTAAATAAATAAAATAACTTATGATAATGTTGTCACTACGGTAAATTCCTCCTATAGCCACTAGCCTATTTCTAAATCTGGTCGCACAACAAGTTGCCTCACGTGACACAATTGTGTGCCTCTGATGTACTCGACTGTACACGAAAGTGATCTCTAACATATAACATTATGCCTTCATCGCGACTTATAACTGCATCACTTCTAAAACAGATGCATTCTGAGTAATTGGAGCACAGTCTACATCTACGGAGAGCCACGTTTCTGTGACAATAAATATCGGTCAGTTAGCTGCAACGTAGTACAAGGCACATATATGTATCGGTCCAAGTTGCCAAACCTCATTAGCACAACAAAATGAACACCGAATTCGTAGTAGTTGCTTCAGTGGTAGTAATAAAAGATTATGTATAAAGATATAATATAGGAAGAAAGAATTAGTTCGTAGAAAGAAAGGTATAAAGTATATATATATATATATATATATATATATATATATATATACGCCTACGCCATTGTGATCGATTCTGAGCCATGTCACCCAGAGTTTACAACCATTGGTTACGGTAGCTGCGCCGACCCCAACCAAATAGTCTGCATCTACCAACAAAGTTCAGACCAGAAGTTAGTGACTTCAAGCACTGATGCCACGTTTCGGTTTGGCCGCAACTAACTTTTTTCCAACCATCCCCAACACTAGTCAGCATTGCGTGTCGTGGTCAATAAATGTATCAGTACTTAACTATTTCATCGTTCACTAAGCTTGGACATTTTATTTCTGACTACAAGCATTTGAGTAGCACACACCTAAGGTGTTTCGGGAATTACTCATACTACCCGAAAACCCTGATCTCAAGGGTTTGTTCCGCCATTTTGCCTACGAGTTTTTAAAATAGTAAGAGCGCTTTCTCACCTGATTCGATCAGGTGACCAATCTAGTCGGATAGAAATATTCGAGTTACGAGCTTTTTATGTTTCATTAAGTATACCTTCCCTTTTTTGTTACTTCCGGGTAACGACTTTAAGATTCTTTTCGGATGGGACTTGCTTTAAACGCCTCCATAGAGTCTTACTACATTATTAATGTATATTCTGAAAGCGTCTTTTTAATTTCTGAAAACAAAATTGACCAACTGTGTACTATGTGAATGATGTTTGGCAGGCATATTTTTTAGCTCCTTCATATTTTAGATAAGTAAACTGTGGATGAATCTGACCTGTTTCAAAGCCGTGTACACCACTTTTGATTGTCTTGTTACCGTCCTTATAACTCTAACTACCGAGATCCATTTATTTACTTAAAAACGTTGGTACAAGGAGGCACCAAGTAGATATGCGATACATAAATCATTCCATTCGTGAGGGCTAAGATGTTGCTCGGATCCCCAAGCCGAAGCAGATGGATTTTTCAGAGGGTCACGCTCTGAGCACTTGACCTATAGGTCTAATCCACAAGGCAATGGAGCAACGTTAGAAGCTGCAGTCCCATAATAGCCGGTGACTGAGTCTATTTGTTTCCTCAGGATTCTGGAGCTCATGTGCACCCTCGGTTTGGAATCAGGGTTTTCCAACTCCCGTAGGTGGATTTACCAACCCGATTAAAGTGCTGGATATTCAGTTTTCGTCCCCTCAATTTCGTAAACAACCTCGCCGCGAGGTCGTACCAGGGTATTTGAGAGGCCTGACTACCGAGAGCTTTCCTTCAACAGTTGTTTTTATTGACTTTTGAACCAACCTATTTACTTGTGTTATACAATTTGTCTTGTAATTTTTGCTTTCCACACATCGTAGTTTCATACAACTCACCAGCAGCCTCTGGATTAAGTGCACTTTAGACAGGTGGTATTTTCTTTGTCCAAAAAGGTTTGCGATTTGTAACGACTGCGCGTAACAAAAGTCTAGACAGAGGTGTTTGTCGCCTAGAGTGTTGACGATGGGAGTCCTAACCTTTCGACAAAGGATAAGAGCCAAGCTGACTATTAGCGATTACACCTTTAATGTTCTCATCTGATGCCTGACTTATTGCGGATCCATTTTCACTTGGCGACTTCCTCATCAGAATGAGAAGCTCTATGACTTTTTCTAGAAGGATTTCCCTATTTAGGCAACATTCTTTACATAACTAGGGTGAAGTCTGTTTGCAGCAACGTTTATGCGCAGACGACGATAGATTGACACATTCCATGAAATCACCTTTTACAGGAAAGAGGCACGATGACCAACCACCCTGATGATTTTGAACGACTACCTAAACCAGTATGATGTAGATAAAACGTGGAAGAGCTCTAAAAAGCTAGTAACGAAAAATGGAAAGACGATAACGTCACAAAGGCAACTATTAAATAGAGATGGCAATCTCATCTAGCAATAATAAGAACAAAACTTCAGGAAGAATAATGAGCCCAGTAAAGCAGCAAATATGAATACACTTATATGCATGCGTTGGTGCACCAACAAAAAGCTTCAATCAGTGTGAACTGATATATAGAGGTGTGAAGGTAATTTGCAAACCTGGATAGAGCGAGAAGCGTTTAAAATGAGTTTAAATCTAGCTTTTGACACGATAAATGCATCGGAAATCCAGAATCTCAAAATACTGAAAAATTCACATTTTATAAAATGTGTTTTGAGAATATATTCCCACAACACGATGACTAACGATAAAAGAAGCCAAGTGATAAAAAATTTCCGTAACGAAAATTTTCATGGTTGAATTCAATTATCGGGGTATAATAAGCAGATTCCAAAACATACAAAAGAGCACTTACATAATTATCAGGATGACATTAAGATTCCTAAATACCCTCGCCAGGAACTAGCAACGCCAAACTGACAGAAACAAACAAAACACCGGTTCTCTCCTTTAAATTCGTGCTTGTGTTAATAAAATAGATCTTTGCCAGTATTTTAATTTTATGCCAATGGTAAACATTTTCTTTACTTTAGTGAACCGAGTGAATGCACCAAAACGCCATTCCTAACTTAGATTGGAATCAACGGTCCTAAACAAATATCTGCAGACTGAACGAGGTCGTTTGGCTATACCTATCGTGGTTACCCCTAGAATTTCAATTGTCGTTTATTCGGATATTCTAGTCCCTCGTTCGTGATGCCAAGCATACGTCAATAAATGTCAAGCTCGAAGCTGGTTGGTGTCAGTGGAGCCAAATGGGATGTGGAAATCCCCTTTGACAAAGCGAGTGGAATTTGATACCCTTATGTGTTATGGTTCAGACTTAAATAGTAGCAATTATATTGATGGTGATGATAGTTCTGATTTGACTGTAGATGATGCCAAAGATCATAGTTTAGTAGAGAATCGGAAATCCAAATGTTAGAGAAGCCCATCAAGCCATTTACACCTGTTATTGAAGGTCTAGAACTCCCTAGAGTGGAATTGAGTTACTTCGATAGACAGCCAGGGGGTACTGGGAGTTTATACGTCAGTTTGAGACCTACGCAGCGTCAATAGACACTGATGATAGTCTGAGTTTACTTTATATGATACACTTGTAGTGACATACTTTAGTGATGTGAGCGCAATTGGTATAATGGAAACAATTATTATTATGACCAATTGTATCAGTGATTGTTTTGCTGTACTTGTTTGTCTAAGTGTACCAACGACACTCTTTCGTCACCTGTGACCTTACACGAACTCGAGTACTCTGGTTATTTCCACCCGTAAACTGCCGTAAACGTCTCGGTATTCTTTCGACACTACGATACCGCCAACGAATATATCTTACTACAACCGTCAACTGCCTTCTGGTTTATGACCTGCCGAGGGATCCAACTCGATATCATGCACGTAATCTTCCTGTAGTGGTGATCATTGTCAATCACGAATCGACGCCATCTACAGGTTAACGGTTACACGCTGAACTACGCTGTGACCTTGAACCTAGTCATGCACAACAGTGTTGTCAATAGTTCGGTGACCTCCAACAGAAAATTAGGTGACACAAGGTAAGTTTTTAGTCAAAGTCATAAGTTAAAGCTCGGACGAGGAAGGCAGTAGAACACGAAATTTGGTTAAAAGATACCTGTATAAAGGTTAAAAATACGCGTCAAGGAGAAGAAACAACTAAATGACGGTACTGTCCAACGAAATGCTGCGGAGGGGCTTTCAGCGTTCTCTTTCTGCTACAATAATACTCTAGCAGCTATTCATACTAATAATTTATCTAGTCATATTCGAAGACGTTCCCGAAAAAGGGATTCGTGTTCCTGTCTTCACGAAATAAAACCTATGATAAATTCGGGAGTGTGTAATTTGATCAGTATGCATATCGATAAGAATAAACTGCGAATGTGTACTCGCATAAGTTATTGCCTCATCTATGTTATACATTATAGCAAAATCATGCAAATCTGATTGATAATCCGACTGTACAGAAATGGTGAACAAAGTAGTATAATCGTTTTTTGTATGGTTCATTCGAGAATTGCAAAGCTGAATATATCACACAAGCGAATGAGCAATCGAATCAGTAAATCAGAGTATTTACAACCCTTCTTAATGCATACAGAAAAATGCACGGCATTTAAAATTCCAAATATATATTTAGCACAACGCATTATGGCGCTACTACTGTGTTTGAAGTGACGTTTAGAACAGTTAACTACTTGCTATCGCAAGTGTTTCAGGACTCATTAAAACATCAGTTTCATCATAAGAAACTAGAAGCAAAGCCTATCAATATAGAAGCCTAAGTTATTATATTCCGGTTAACTTATGATGTCATAGGACAGTTGGCATAGATCTTGTGGGGGCAGTGAAATGTCACTGAACCCTAGCCAAATCATCCGGCAGTTGGGACGCTGAATATCGAACAGTTCATCGATCCCCGTCAAGGTCAGGGACAATCAACGCGCATCAGTTAATCACACGCCATGGACTGGCCTATGCGGCAGTGGTTCTACTTTCGCTTGTACCTACCTTAACTAATATATTCTTGTAATAACATTCTTTGTGTTGCACAGTTTTCAGAGCATCCATGATCCTTTGATAAGTCGATGGGGGGTAATCCACGTAAGGTGCTGATCACGAGGTGTGACCTCCAAGTTACCTTATTCGTTACACCGTTCCCGTTGACCTCGAGTAGGCCTCCAATCATTCAACATAGATCATCAACGTTGATGTCCGACAATCTTAACTCTTGTTCTTCGAGTTGTCAATGTTTACTTTTAGAAAACTTTAAAGCGTCTTAGGTAGGCTGGATAAATCCAAGGACTTAGTTGTTAGAAAATTCTTTTAGAAAAAAGCTGGTTTACGCAGTTGCTACATGTCGCCTAGTGCAATATATGTAAGAAGCGACTATTTGCGACTTTGACTCAGAACCACCTTTACAGATCTCATAATGACCCATTGTAAGGTTGACGTAGCAAGCCATAGGTAAGAGTAACCACGTAGTTCTAGACTTGTATTTCTATATCGTCATCAATAAGAAATTATACACCCATCATCCTCAGAAAGTTGAACTAAAGATGCAGAAACAACTTTTGAAGTATCCATTAATTTGTTCGTAAACATTACTCCATCCCACATTGTCTGTAATAAACAAAAGAAGCCCCCCACCGTGATTCAGTAATAAGGATCTCAACCTTCTCCGTAAGAGAAAAAGAACATAAGAGAGATTTAAGTAACTGAGTACAGAAGGGACAAACTTTAAATGTCATGAAGCGCAAGATATTTGTGCCTCAACCCTCTACAAGTCTAGAAAATAGTGTGAAGTCAAGCATGGTAAGGAGTTGATAGAAGTGCCCAAGAAGACGGTATACGTACGTAAACCATAGAATCAAGGGAAGAGACAGCATCCCAGTATTAAAGGGAGACAGTAGTACCACATCACTAGTGGAGAACGTTTATGGAGAAACCCGGGTATCCTCAACTTACTTTGGCAATATATACCGGACAGACCCCTCCCTCTCGGTTTATATAAACCCTCTGCATTGTGATTGCTAAATAACTCAGTATCTCTGGTCCACTGAATAGGCTTGATACAATTACACTCATGGGACACGATGAAACCAGTTTACTCAATAATCATCAAATTTCGCCTCAAATCCCTGAAGCATATATTTTAGTCCATCTATAACCCAAGGCAGATTATTAAAAGTCTTATCCTCTGAACAGGTAAGAGACCCAAACTTCCGGATTATTGACATATAAGCCTAACCAGCGTAGTGGTTAAAATTTAAAAAAAAGATTTTTTGAAAAGAGTTGTCCAAGTACCTAAACAAAAACTAGATTTCCCCCTGAAAACAGCATGGTTTTAGAACAGATTATTCATGTCTCACAAACTTATTGACAGCTCGTAAAAACTACCGCTCCTATAAAGGCTAGAAGTTACCTATAGACGTGGCTTACACTGACTTCAGTAAGGCACTCGACAAAGATTTTCACGACCAGTTGCTAAGTTAAGTGATATACAGATCAGAGTGACCTTATTGACATGGATTAAGGACTTCCTAATTGGGCGTAAACAAAGTGTACGAGTAAACCACAAGTTATCTAGCTGGGGAGCTGTGCTTAGCTGAATGCCTCAAGGTGCAATTTCAGAGTCCGTTTTGCTCCTCCTGAACGCAAATGAATTTCCTAGTCTCCTATGATCATCAGTTTTGTCATATGTCGAACGATGGAGAACAGTAAAAAGCGAGGGCGATAATTTAGAGCATCAGAATGACCTGCAGAAATTATCTGAATGGTCTAGAGTTTAGAAGCCGCCCATAAATTCTCCTGAGTGCAATATGATATGTATTGGTCACCAATCCACAGATACATACACGGTCAATAACATTAAGCTACCTGTCATCCAGACACAAAATGACTCACGAGCCGTCGTCAGACTAGGCTTAAAAACTACCGCATACTGCCGTGCGATGGCTGCAACGGATTTCACAAAACCATGGTCAACACGTAAAGCCCTTGGATATGTCGACGCTACAACCTTTTTGACTTTGTATACAATATTTATTCGTTCTAAACTCGAGTACTGAATACAAGCGGTTAACTCCTGTCTAGAAAGAGATGATAAGCTGTTTTAAAAGGTCCAAAGAACTCCAACTTAGCTCGTTCCTAAAATAGCAAGGCTCCCGTATGATTTCTGACTGGCTACATTAAACATGTTTCCATTGTCAAATAGAAGAACCAGAGGCAACTTGATCACAGATTTTAAATTATTAGTGATAAATTTGAATATGGTATGCCTTCACTTTTCCTGTCTTTCAAAGCAGAGAATTTACGGGGACACTCTGAAGAAGTTTACAAGCCCAGAACAAATTACTTGCCACCTTAATATTCACTTTCGCATCGAATAACCAACTAACAGAATTCATTTTGTCAATATATGATTGAAGCGTTGTCTGTTTTCCAAAACAGTTGGTTCAACTGAGAGACCACAATTTCCAAGACTAACATATGCCACTCACTTTCCTGTTCTTCCCTAACTCAAAACTGAAACTGTAAACTGAAACTGATAACTGAATATGCTAGCGTATCTACCGCGGTGCGTTTAAGTGTGTTGCCAGAGTAATGATTGGTTCGTTTTTCGATGATTCCTCAATAAAAAACGAACTTAACAATGATTTTTCTACCAACTGCTACTCCACTGTTGATCTGCAGTCTGATTTCCCACTCGATAATGTGGAAATATATCCGGAAATGCCTAATAATGATTCTTATGGTGCTCTATTTTTGATGGACTCTGCGGATCTTTTAGATGTACGTGAGGAAGTTATTGGTGAAGAACATTTCTCATCAAATCTTGATCAGCTACCATACATAGAAGGACTTCCAAAAAGGTTTGGACTATTCTCTACCAAGAGTTCACGATTCAGTACTAACCATAAAGACAAAGGTATGTATATGTCTTCATACAATCTTCTAATTAGAAACTCATTACAATGTCTATGTAGGATGTTAAATAAATTTGTAAGTCCTTGGTTCGTCACTGAATAGTGCTTGGATGTGTTTGTGTAACTGATGTCTGTTTGATACTTGTATTAGTGCACGCGGATCCATATTTCAGACCTGTGCTTTGAAGACGGAAGACTGAAGGCTAGTATTAGTTTTCATTTAGCAAGCTTTTATGCACGTATGATATCTTAAGTGAGTTAGCTGAAGGTTCGGACACTACTTCTCACTGCAGTAGGTTCCTGTATCTGACTACTCGGTAAGAGGACCTGTATGCCAGTATATACTTGTCCTGAGTCGGCACACACAGGTTTAACGTCATTTCCAGTTTAAAAGGATTGCTTTTTACGTTCCTGAAATCTTATCGTTACATTCACTCAATAAAACAATTGTGTGAGTGATGCAATGGTTAGACTCAACACTTCCTGTAAAAATCGAGTATCTTTAGAAAAAATGGCCCATTCTTATTGTATCAAACTATTCATGAGTAAAGTCAAGAGTAGACTCCAAGGTAGTAAAATCAAAGACTGTGAACTATATAGTTAGTAACTAAGAGCCTGATAATCAAATCGGGTCAGTCAGTCAGCTACAACGTAGGACAAGGCACTTACATTCGTCAGTCCAAGTTGCCATGCCTCATTATCACAACAAGATGAACACTAAATTCGTATAAGTAGTTAATCCAATGGCGGTGATATATAAATCAAAGATTGTATATAAGGATATGGTACAGGAAGAAACATATGAAGCAATTTTTATCTCAGTTTAAGAGAAGACAGATCGACAGAAAAAGACAACCTATGAAAGTCTTATTTCTGACAAAACTGCTAATAGCGGCATTTATTTCCGCCCAGTCTTAATATTTAACATCTTGTCTTTGTTAACTATTAGACTGCATCGTCCTTTTGTTCAGTCTTTACTTAAGTAGTTTTTTTTAAATTTTAAAACATTAACTCAGTCACTTGATTGTAGTGAAGTATTAATTTATTTTACACACTTTCTATATATATATATATATAGAACTATGTTGTCATCTCCCTCCCAATCTTTACTCTAGTGTAGGTCATCTAAACATTCTACGACTAACTCAAATTTAAGTCTGAGCACATTTGTCTAAATAACACCCAATCACTTTCTATCATTGAAAAGAATCACTCAGTATACCATGCGTAAATTAACTTCATATACTCGTGATGATCAACAGATGTAGGGTTTAGAAATTCTAAAGACATTAGTACAAAATCAAAACAGTTATTCAAGAAAGTATTTTAACCGACATCAAGTAGTTGTACTTTCGATTCTCTTGACTGTCGCTGTTACCTTGACGTTGTGGTCGGGTTTGCCTATCGTGATAAACCAATCGAGCTATACCGTCTGGAACAATCGTTCCTCAAAGTCCTACCATACCAAACGGGTCGGCTGGAAATGACTCACAAAAAGGTCGTGTGTGACCGGCCTCAAGCAGTTGTTCCTTGGGCACTGTGGTTACGCTCTCAGGCCACTAAGACCAACTCTAACCCAAATTCCTTTTCAGGTACCTCCAGAAAAACCCTTCCGCGGTGTGGGCAATCGCAGAGTGATAACCGCCCACATACACTTAACAGCACTCAATATCACTGTATTCATAATCAATTTTCCTCTTCGATTCCTATTATTCCTCCTACCTCGACTTTCAACCATAAACTCCCTCTTTTGACTTCCTCCTCAAGTGTTACTATGACCAAAAATTCTAGTGCGCGAAACACTCCCAGGTCTACTGAAACCTTGCTCCAAACTATACATTGGAGGGTTCAACGTACACACGCTATGTCAAATCGGCCAACAGGCCTTCTTGGCTAACACCCCTGAATCTCGTACCATTGATGTATGCTGTGTCTCCGTAATACGCACACAGGATCCTAGTATGATCGTTCACCTGACCTCACCTCGCCAAAATGAAGAGCCGTCGAGATACACCCTCTGTGTATATGGCGACGCGATAGCTAGTTCCGTGGACTGGCGGGTGCAGGCATAGCACTGAGTATGAGGGCAGAAAAAGCACTTTTAGAATGAATCCCTGTTAAGAGTCGCCTATGTGATGTTCGGCTAAACGGCCCCGTAAAAACTCGAAAGGATAAGGACACACGTCGTTGCTTATTCGTCATTTTTCCCTACGCTTTTACTGACTGCATCCCGGATGAAGTGAAAAATGAATTTCACAGAAAGCTTTCTGAAATTCTTTAAAAAGCTAGACACTCGGTCATATTACTAGTCGCAGGTGACTCTAATGCCCAGGTAGGTCGTTTAAGTCAATCAGAGAGATATTTAGGTGGGTATTTTAGTATCCCAACTCAGCGAACAGATAATGGTGATCATGTGTTACAACTATGCTCAGACAATCGTCTATTTTTAGCAAACTAATTTTAGACATAGGGAGAGACATCGTTTAACATGGCGACCCCTTACATCAAACCAAAGATGAACTCAAATAGACCATATTGTCATCAGTGGTCGTTGAGGAGCTCGATAGAAGGCTGTCACTCGTTTTGAAATACATATTTGCACTCCGACCATGCTCTAATGCAGGCATGAGTTTGCTTGCGTCACATTAGACGCAGAAAAACCACACTAAAAAAACTCATAAGAGTTGAAATCAGTAACGAGAAAGCCAAAAGTAGATGCCAGGAACAACTGAGGTCACACTTAGGTGACTCTGAAAACGAGGCTGACCAAGATGTTGCTCGGAAAGATATACAAAGAGCTGTGAAAAAAGCAGCGATATTCAGTGATTTGAATCAAAGGGTAACGAAAAACCAATAGATTTCTGTTAAATCTATTGCACTGATGGATTTTTTTTTAAAATTCATCTCATCAAGCTTCGAACACGATGAAGAGCAAAAACAAATCATATCTAGGTAAACCAAAATCCCAAGGAACGACTGTGAGCAGTGGTGGGCAATGAAAACAAAAGATATGGAAAAGGCAGCGACTGTAGGTAACATCAGACAGCTTTTCGGACTGATAACAGGAACTGGAATTAAGAAGTCAAGTTTGAGACATTCTCAGAAAAAAGAAGAAACTCTTATCTACTCTCACCACAGCTGACTGACTGGCCTTTTCACCCCGTGGTTACACTTCTGATTAAATGAGATTGTAAATCATAGTCTAGTTCTTTCCTGAAATTGCTTCGAAAATATTTCCCCAGAGTAAGATCAGCTAAATATCCATGTTCATATAACAACACTCCCAGTTCATTCTGTTTATCACTAACCATTTCCTAATTCTTTAGAATCCGACTTCTATTATCACATCGACATGGTACTTTGTTTTTCATAGAGAATGTTAGTAAAAGACTGCTGTCCAGAGTCAACAATGGATATATAGGATTTAATTACCCTACAGATGAATTTTATGATAAGTCCCTAAACTGTTTCACACAGTTTTGACAAGTAAGTTGTTTGGTTTGTAACGTTAAAATCTTTTTTGTGTATCAACTATTATTTCGCCTTAGTTTACTATATATATTCTTTTGTTTATAGGTAATAAGGAACTCGATGTTTTCCATGGTAAGAATTCTTTTTCCGACGAACAGAAGCATAATAAGTGTTCGTGGAATGATGGATCTGAAGAGATAACTGATAAAGCTTATTTATGTAACGCCGATAGTCCATTATCGATTTCTAATGACATCGGAGTAACTTCATCAGATAGTATAGATGAAGTGTTTGACAAAGATCATGTGACCAGTCACGATATAATTGATGGTGATGATGTTTCTTTGGAGAGACTTTCCGATCTTCATATTCCATTACCATTATTTCACACTGAATCTAATTATTCAGATTCTTCACAAATAAATCCATCCAATTCAGAAGTGGATGCATGCGGTTTGTTTTCGTCAGATAACTGTGCTACGAATCAGTCCGATGATTACGTCCAAATAAAACATCTTATATCGCCTGATTCATCTAATTCAAACTCAAATGAGTCTACGACTAAAATCCCTACCATAGTACCTGTATCGTCATTATCTTCTGCGAAAAAAACTGAACTAATACGACTGCCATCTCATGCTAACCATCTAACCACTACAGTTAACCCGAGCTATCCATCTAGGCCAATATCAGCTTGTCTTTCTTTGAAGTCAAAATATCGCCGTTGTGGACAAATAACACTGAAATCAGGTGCATCCATCCTTCGTACAAAAAGTTCATTTAATGAATTAAAGCCATGTTTTAAACCAACATTCACTTCTACACGTATTGCTCATTGCGGGTTTCTAGCTGCTCCTCGTTTTCCTGGATCAATGAAAGAATCAGCAGTTAGTCCAACGTGGCTTCCGAAAGTTGCATTCGTTAACTCTAATACACCACTCACTCTTAGAAAACCAGCTATTGTGATTGCCTCATCATATCCCAATTCTAGATCAGGTAAATTTTAATTATTATGCTACAATAGTTTCTTTTTAAGAACACTTACACTGTGATCTCACAGTTAAATCTGCATACAATCTTATAAAATGTGTCCATTATTTTCCTTAATGAATAATAGTCTACTTAGTGCCCGTTTTAAATTTACAAAACTTAATTTACGAAGTAATCAAAGGTTTTAATTTTCAACCTTAGAATATCAAATTAAGGTTGCACTCCATTTACTTCAGTTTGGTTAACTGTCTGGCATTATCACTTCACACTGCTACTTAATATGTTTCTGATATGACTATAATAACAATGATAACTCGACTACACTTTATTACCAGAACACCATAGTTCCCCATTTCTTCGTACTCCCAGCTGATCCAAAAACAAATATTGTGGGGAAGATTTTCTCAGTAGCGACCAAAGAAAATTCTCTCACGTACGAATTATATTCAGTGGTTAAGAAGGAACTGTCACAGTTAATACAAGTGGATATTATACTAAAAAGAAATCACAGAATTAATTGGTGCAGTAAAAGCTTACTGGAATTCAAACGCACAAAAATCACTAAATTAATATATAATCTTACAAATAATTTAATTTGAAACGTTGTATCTGGCGGTTTAGCATTTCTAACACCTACCCCCAATTAACAACTAACTTCCCGGTTCATCTGAACTTGTACCGTCTTCCATCTGCATTGGTCGAACCATCTTGTCGATAAATCCGACTTGTGCGTTCGGGTTGTTTGAATTTTCCAGGGTTAGTAAACTGAAGGTGTCCAGCAAAATGTCTAAGGGTATGTTTGGTTGTATTTGGCTCAGTAGTATTTCTCCCACAGTTAAGTCATACAAAATACCCCTCTTGCCTCCTTTTTATATATACCTTTATATTCACTGGCCATGGGAAGCCGGTAGTTGTAAGGAAACTCTCATGTACCTACTCGGAATACTGGGGAATCAACTTGAATTTTGGGTCGTCTCTACGGCATCATGGTATGGTGAGTTCTTAAGTTTCGATCCATTAAGGTTTCCAGTGGGGATAATTTGTTAGGAATTGTGCTATTAGGAAAGGTGCGATCGATAGATAAGAAACTTCGTATTTGTACCCCGCTCTCTCTCCCTTTGTTTGTAGAAGCACCTACTTGGCGGTGTTAACGGAACCCTAACCTGCGGATTTGACTGTGGATGATATGGGGTGAACACATGATTTACAGCTTGACAGCGTCAAAACTTTGTGAACTGTGATCCATTATATGATACTTAAGTATCTGCCAATCAGTTGCAGTACAAAATTTACCTGGTGATCAGTATATATATATATATATATATATATATATATATATATATATATATATATATATATATATATATATATATATATATATATAGACTGCACTATCCACTCTCCCCATTCCTGTTTAACTTTGTCGTCGACATGCTTTTGGAGATAACACTTTCATCATCTCAATCTCCAGGAGTTGAACTTTTACCAGTAGGCTCACTTATTGACTTAGAATACGCCGACGACATAGTTTTATTTGGTGAAGACGCTGACAAAATGCAGAGTCTTCTGACCACTATAAGCAACAATGCAGGCATGTTCGGGATGCGATTCTCTCCCTCGAAGTGCAAAATGTTACTTCAGGATTGGGTTGCATCGACACCTGAACTAATGAGTGAAGTAGTTGAGCGTGCTGACAGCTTCACTTATCTTGGTAGCCTCATCAGCCCTTGTGGTCTGGTGTGTGACGAAATCTCGGCACGGATACAGAAGGCTCGTCTAGCTTTCGCCAACTTGCGCCATTTATGGCGTAGGCGAGATATCCGTCTAGCAACCAAAGGACGGGTTTACTGTGCAGCAGTCCGTTCCGTCCTACTTTATGGCAGTGAAACATGGCCCATAAGAGTAGGGGATATTCGTAGACTACTAGTGTTCGATCATAGGTGTCTTCGACGCATTGCTCGTATATCCTGGGACCACCGAGTAAGTAATGCAGATGTTAGGAAACGGGTACTAGGTAAGGATGGCAAATCGATTGATGAAGTAGTGAAACTTCATCAGTTGAGATGGCTGGGACATGTGTTACGTATGCCCAACCGCCGACTGCCCCGACGTGCAATTCTTTATAGTGTAGGAGTAGGTTGGAAGAAAGCTAGGGGTGGCCAGACCAAAACATGGCATGAATCCATGAAGTCGCTGACAGTTGGACTGAGCCATGTTGGTAGGTGTAGACTACCTGGTTGAGATTCGCGAGATGATAGCAACCGATGGTTAAAGACCTTGAATGACATGGCTCAAAATCGTTTGCAATGGCGAAGGTGCATCCACTCTTTGTGTTCTCCCAAATTCTAATCTTCTGAATTATTTGTGTCCTTTTCCTTTTTCTCTTTCCAAATTTATTTCACTGTATTATACTCCTTCAATAACATCTTCAAACCCTAATTTTCACATAATGATTATACTCTTACTACTTCTACCACTATGGGATTTCAATCGACAACTGCATCTCTGTGCTAATGTGGTATGGCAGCCCGAACTGATGTACGTACGTACGAAGTTCTGCGTTGTAACTGACTGACTGATGGACTGCACTAAACATTAATAATTAGAATTTTGAATGCAGTGAATTATCAGGGTAGAAAAGTGTAAGATCCTTACCGTTGTCAAAAAATGGGAGAACAAAAGCACCTAAGGATCCGTCACTATACTTAAAAGCTTACTAATTTTTAATTGGTGAGAAAATAACTTAGTTATTGTCTTTTTGTGAGTCAATTAGTGTCCACGTTGTTTAATTCAAAGGTATATGCTAGTTTTACCGTATTTTATTTCTTATCATAAGTAAGTATATACACACGAATTTGTGCACAAATTAAAGGTATAGACCACACCCATAAAAAGTTCTATTCATCCGCCTATTTCGCTATAAAATCTAAAAAAAGAGTACTATAATTACTTTATTGTTTATTAACTAAAGATCATATGTACACATAATTGGCGAGTACTTACTGTTTGTAGAAAAAATGTTTTATCAAATTTACCATACCGAATAAGTTCTTATGTTACTCATTTACCAAGTACGGGTTTATGTACTTGTCTTTAAGCTACATTGTGTGAGAACTAGGTTTATTACTACACGACTGCTCAAACTAAACTAATTGCAAAGGTGTTTGATTTTGCAGCTTAATCTATTGAAAACCGAATGCCTTATCTACCAATTTATGAACCAGTCACAGGGAGATATAAATGATTTACTGTTGTCTTCAGTTTGCCTTTAGTTACTATAGAAGTTAAAAATATTTGTAATGCTTCGGATTAAGAATGAAAATTGTTTTTTTATGAAGGCGAGACTAAACTGTATTGACGAGCCAATCAGAAGCTTTCGTGGGTTTTCAAGGTCACGGCGCTAAGTTTGGTACCTGACGCTTACATACGATCGGTTTACAGCGGATTTTAGGAAAGGCGTGATAATTCAGCGTCTACAAGAGAAGTGATCATAAGATTTTGGCGCGAAATTCAATTATCCATTTGGATAAATAGAGTTTCGGCATTATAGCTGATGTCAGTTCGTGATGAAAACCCTCAGTATAATTCCTAGCCTTAACCATGAACTGTAAATCATAATTTGAATTATTCACACAGGTTTATAACCTTCATTTGGTCTTTGTTATTATGTTGACACTCTCAGGGTCACTCTAGCGTCGCTTTAAGGTCGTCCATAAATTACAGTCTCACCCTTAACCCTAAACCCCAACCTTAAACCTCAACTCTAACCCTAAACCGTAAAGCATACCAACAAACCAACAACATTGAAGCTATGTGGTCGAGGCTAAAAGTATTTTTGAGATCTTATCATGGTTTCAGAGGTCGACTACTATGGAGCCATATGGATGTGTTCCTGTACCGTATGCACTATGGTTTTAGAACTTCTGGACCTATATCTGACCTTGAGAAGTTTTTGAGTCATGTTAAAGAATAGTATCCCCTTTAATTTTTGAGTTTTGTATAATATATTTTTACTGTATACTATCTGTCTCCTGATTAGCTAATATTTCTCAAGGTCATTTAAGATTCGTTCAAAGGTCGTCAGCATAGTTTAGTCTCGCCAAATGAATTAATTTGGTACTTGTAGAATAATTCTTAGAAAAGTTCACTTATAGAAGTGTTCACAATATCCAAAACGACAGTGAAGTGTTCACAGTGAAACCACCCTAGTTCAGTCAAATGCGTTACTACTAAAAATATACTGTAGCTAATAATTTAAAATGCACATTCTTTTTGCCTTTACAGTCTTTTATTCTATTTTTTTTATTCTGGCCATATAAAAGCCTAATTTTAATCTAATCCTAATAACATCACAAAAATATTTCTGCTCATAATCTTACAACTGGTGGCTGTACATATCCTTTGATTTTATCATGGTTCTTTATTGTTCCAATATCACTGTAGACATGAACTTCTTTACGCTGGAGACATAAACATGCATATAAATTCGTGTTTGCTACGCCTTTAAGGCTGATGGTTTGACTCAATATTTAATATTTAATTAGTCAGTCAACAACCAACGATGTGCTACTTATATAGGCATAAGTAGTATATATCATAAGTCAGGAATAGGATGTCTGGTAGCAGAAGATTGAGAAGAAAAGAACGGGAACAGAAAGCGATTGGTATGGAAATGAAGGAACAGTGAAGTCTGAGACGATTGATCGACATTTTCAAAGAAACAGTCAGATTCGAAACAGTGGATTTATATTTTGCAAATTATTTGCTGTTTGGTTCTCAGACTTAACTAAGAGATTCTGTAATTTTGTGTTTAAATACATTCGATTGTCCCTACTTGTGTTCTTGTTCAGTACACCGTTTGTTCAACCGTCTGTTTTATGCAAAACACCTCTCAACCCTATTTGGGGATTTATTTGTATATGCAAACTGACGAGCATTCACACAAATGTACCAAAATGTTTGGGATATATTTCTCTCCTTTTAAATGCTAAATGTTGCCCTAGAACTGATCTGCAGTATTGTTCAATGTAGTTTTAGAAAGTAAAACATTTTTGAAAACGTTACTTATTTTGATATTTTCATCATCCCTAGTGATTTGATCACTGACAAAACCTCAACAACACGAATGACAAAAGTCCTCATGACTCATTTCGAAGGTCTGATCACGTGTGTCACAGATATGATCTACATCTGTCTGTGTACCTATCAAAGGTCAAGTATCCTGTGCAGTAGTCTGCTCTGTATTTCCTTATGGCCCCGAGACTTGCTTATGTTTCATAAATTTGGTAACCAGTGTCCTGAAATGATTGGATTTGTTGACACTTTACTGCTATGTGAAAATATTAGGCTAACGACAAAAACACAAACATGATAAAATGAAAAATATATACCGTGAATACAACCATAGGGAACAAGTTCATAGTATGTTTAGCACTTAATGAAGGGTAACAGCCAAATACACCCACTTCTTTACATGTATGGATGATGGTTTAATGTTTGAAGTATTTGAATTTTAACTGTTGAATCAATAGTTCGAACCCCGATCTGCCTACTTTAATGTAGGGAAATAAATGGTCTGTTTAACGTTTGATAACTTGACGAATATATATTAATCCTGCAAACTTGTATTTTTAATGTTCATGCAACTATAATTTAACATGTAATATTACTATTTTCTGTCTATCTAGATGCTACATATCTGAAGAGCGAAGGAATAAATTTTATGACACATTCTTCTGTTATGCAATCAACGGATTTACAATCTTCACTTTTATACAGTCAAAATGGATTTTATATTTCCACAATGCGTCATAATTCATTAGGAGGCAATAATCCCGGTGATTTAGCATCACTTGTAACCGCTACAATCCCATCTGATTTCACATCAAATCGTACTGTATTCTGCCCTCATCTTGGTTGTGGGAAAACATTTCGAGATACAGCTGCAATGCGTAAACATTTACATACCCATGGTCCACGCGTTCATATCTGTGCAGAATGTGGTAAAGCGTTTGTTGAATCAAGCAAATTGAAACGTCATCAACTTGTTCATACTGGGGAAAAGCCTTACCAATGTGCATTTGATGTAAGCATTTGTTTTTACATTTTGAGTCATGGTTATAAACATTTAATTCAGTTTATGTCTGAGATTAGTTCAATGGGAATACGATTTCAAGTAAACAAACTGTTGAAAACTAGAAAGTTCCGGATATATTTTTTGTCTTAGATCGGGACCCTTCAGAAGTATAAGTTGCCCTATAATATATTTTAATATCTTGACTATTAAACTGAGGCTGTAAGACGCCGATAAGTATGCCTGTGTTTTAAAACCTGACGAATAGTAAATGTGTGGTCGATACAGCCACGACCAGGCCTGAAGCCAGCCTGATTTTCCCGTGTTTGGAGTTCACGAGTCTTAGTTAGGCGCCCGATAATTATTGACGCTAGTATTTTAGATGCTATATTAGTCAAACTAATTCCTCTATGTTTATCACAGGATAATTTTGACCCCTTGTATATTGGGATAATCAGTGATTGTGACCAGTCAGATGGGATTACGTCCAACTAGCAGGTTTTAGCCAAAATATTAGTCAACCTAGTCGCTAAAATTGGACCACCATATTTAAAGACATCTGCAGCCAATCTATCTGGACCGGCTGCTCTTCCTCTTTTCAGATTAGCTATAGCCTTTTGAACTTCAACTCGAGTCGGGGGACATACTTGAATGTTCCATTCAGACTGTTTGGGAATGGTGGATAATTGTAGAGCAGTATGTCATAGGTTTGCATTGTACTCAATCTTTGGAGGTTTCCGAAGTGCTTTAGTCTAATTACAGCATTTATAATGAATGAGGTTCATAACCTATACGTTTTGACCGTACATACTACGTTAACGCAGTGGTCTCTTTTCCCTATCGTCACGACCTAATGGAACTGTACTGAAGAGAATAATGTGCTTAAGAGCCATCCTTGCCAGATAGATTAATTGGATGACCGTAAGACTATAAGCTGCAGATTTAAATCCTTAAGGGCAAACCATACTGTTAAATATGCCAGAGTGTAACTACGAAAAAGTATTGTGCGTGCTGTCAGTAAATGTGTTTGAGAATATCACTCATCTTTCTAAACTTTTAGTTATGTAACTGAGTTGTCGAAACACCACTTTTAACCTCCAAGTTACATGATCTTGTACCCAACTCCATAGTTTTTGCTTTCACTTGCTGCTTAATAAATGAGTAATCATCACACAGTAAATGCGTGACTATAGGTGTTGGGTACATAAATATCGTTGCATTTGCATTTTTGCCCCCAAATGCTCTGGTACAACCGAGAGTGGGGAGAGTCCGCTCTCCCTCTCGAAATATTCTCACATGACCACGCGAATATATAGCCTCGGCCAGGGAAGTCCTACTCACTGTCTACTCGTGGCATTACTTTTGTTTACGAAATTGAGAGGACGAAAAGCGAATGTCTGGCGCTTTAACCGGGTTGGTGGACACGGAAAGTTCACCTAGGGGAGTTGGAAAACTCTGATTCCAAACCAATGGTGCACATGGGCTCCAGTATCCTGAGGGGAAAAAATGGCGTATGAACCAATCGTTGGTCACCGGCTATCATGGGACTGCTTCTCCTCACGATGCTCCACTGCCTTATGGATCAGACCCTTAGGTCGAAGGCTCTGTGTGTGGTCCTCTAGGAAAACCACCTGCTTCGGTTTGGGCACCCGGACAGTATCACATCCCTCACACAAATCTCATTTGATTTGTGCGGCACATATGTATCTGGTGCTTCCTTGTACCAATATTTATGCGTTTAAATAAATAAAATAGATTGCATTTGCATATAAACATTCATATGATCTGAATGTGTTACTTGTTCTAATTGTAAAAAAATGACATACCTGTTTTATCATAAACTATTTTTTATTTCTTATTTTAGGGTTGTGGTAAACGTTTTTCTTTGGATTTCAATCTACGTACTCATTTACGTATTCATACTGGAGATCGACCGTATCCGTGTCCACAACCTGGTTGCAGTAAACGTTTTGCTCAGTCGACAAATTTAAAGTCACATCTAGCAACACACAGTAAAATTCGAGCTACTCATCAATCAAGTTTTATGAATAGACATCATTTAAATTCCACTGTGAATGGTGGTGGTGTTGGTTCAGTTCTGTTTCGCCCTGCTGCTGCTGCTGCTCATCCTAATCATACACATGATCAACATATTCCAAATTCATTAAATGGTTCTATTTTACAATCTCCAATGAATTTTTCCACTATAATTCCCATAGGATCTAAAGATATAAACGTTCGTAATCGATATGTCAATAGATTCAAGTCAAATTTAAGTTCTTTATTTCAAGAGGTTCATTTAGATAACTCTCGATTACAGTAAGTAATATGTATGTATATATGATTCTTTTGTTGGGTTGATGTGAGTAGTCGGCAGGAAATCCAGAACCCCAAGTTGCGTGCTAGCTTGGTAGTACTGCCTCAAACTGTGACACATTTGAATCTCATAGGAAGCATCCGTGACTTCGTGGCCCTAGATGTGTTTTGGTGACTAGTGCCAAATAGCACAAAACCTAGGTCGAGAATTTCCTAAAAGCTACCTTAAATCATTTAGCATCTCAATATAATACTTGCTATATGGAGTCCCTTAAATTGGTGATCACATTTCAACTTGATCTATAGATTTCATTCAGCACTGAGAACCTAGAAAAACATGACACTAATCACTACTCAGTGATCACTTACAATATGACTTAGTAGCTTAATTATTAAATTACTTGATGTTCAATTATTAAGTTGCAGATTCAAATCCTTCATCTACTTCATATTGGTTGGTTATACACACGCACAAATAGTAACTCCAAGTCAAATACATCAACTTGTATTTAGTTAGTGAGTTTTATTTCATTCAGATTGATAAAACTAACACTTCGTTCTTCTGATTAGCTAGTTATTGTCTACAATTTTGTCTTAAACTTTCCATACACACTGCTACTGAATGCAAAATAAAATTAAAATATCTTTTGTATACTAGGCTATGTAATAAAAAATCATATTTTAACCGAGCCAGAATGTAGATAGGACTTAACATCAGTTTTTAAACTTTTAAATAACATAAATTCCCACAGGAAACACTTTTAACCACCCGTAACCTATCACAAATATCCGTTAGTATAATTTGCTGTATCTAATAAGCAAAATGAAATGAGCAATATAAATAGCAATAGAGTCGGATCGACACCAAAAAGAAGGAATTCCTTCGTCGAGTAAGATCGTTTTTAAACTCAAGGTTTAAAGAAAGATAGAATGAATTTATCTGTGCCATAGTGATAGATTCTGAGCTAGGTTACTCAATGTCTCCAACTACTAATCGTGTTTGTTTCACACATTCCAACCAGTTAATCTGCATCCACCAACACAACTCAAACTAATGATCAGTTACTTTGTGGACTGATGCTACTTCTTTTGTTTGACCGCCCCTAACTTTCTTTCAGTTTACTCTTACTCCAGTCATTGTTGCGCTCAATGTGTTAACGTCTCTTTCTATAGCACACAGGTTAGAATTTCACACGGAGAATCTCAGTTCTAACTTGCACGAAGTCTATATCACCTAACATCACAGTTAGGAGAACGTAAAAGGAAGCTTAGGCCTAGAAAATATTTAAACCAATTGAATTCAAATTAGCAGTCCAAGATTTCACCATGTACATGCTTCCTTGTTAGTTTTTGAACGTTAATTTGTCACGTGTGGTTAAGTGATCACAATGCCTTATAAGTGATATGTCTCTAATTTGGTCATAGGGGCACAGGTGTAATCATTGTTTCACACCATCTGTTCGACGCTTATATTTTTCTTATTACCGTCAATACTACTAATATTTTCTTCTAACTTATTTGGTATTCATCTGTTTAATATTTCCTGTCATTATGCGGATATAAAATTCGGAAACTGAGCGAATGGATATTTATGCCGAAGTCTACTTTATGTTACCATTGATTGAGTTAACTATTAGGTGAAATGGGATTTTGAATCATTCCTTAATTTAATCAAGTTCACTCATTTGTAAATCAAGAGTTTGAATCCTGCTTATACATTAAGACTCGACTTCATCTCTATTCAGTTTCCTAGAATATTAGTCATAATATTTATGACATAACTTTTATACGTGATATTTTCTTTTCATACTTCTAGTACTTCATCACTACTGAATATTAATAATACCTTGTCTATCCCTACATCAAGTCCAGATCAGTGCGAACCAACAGATATCAGCCCATTATCTCCATTGGATCTAACTTCTTCCTCGACAGAATCCAACAGTTCCACATTGTCATCTCAAAGTGCCACAAATCACATAAAGCATAACATTTCATCTTCTAGTTCGGTTATTTCAAAAGCACAACAACTATTCACTAATGCAATCGAAAGTCAATTAAATGAGTTCACTAATCCCACTACTACCAGTGATGCTGTACAATTGTTTGAAAATCATTCTTTAGAATCTTCCATAAATTTAGACCATGAGAAAATTGATCTCAGTGTTGGGGTTACACAACCTATGATTAATAAAACTGATGAAGACTTTTCTAATAATTCACATGTGAATATTGATAACATCTATTACCAGCCATCTTTTATCAAATCTGAATCGGATATTATTATTAATAATTCAATCCCACCAATTCAAAATTGTAAAACATCAACAAGACGCTCAAGAAAATGTTTAAGTATAACTAAACGATCTGAATCGCCTAATTTTGAAGATTTTCTAAAAACTCAAGATGATATAAATTTTACTGAAGATGATGCTTTAAGCAAGCATCATTTTTACCTTGATAATGGTAATGATCATTTATCGTTTAACAATAAAACAACATTGAAGTCATCATATCGGCGTCGTCGTCGACGACATTGTAAATCAAAATCAGACAGTAATAAATATATATGTAAAACATCATCACATTCTAATAGTAATATGCTCATTACATCATCACATTATGGTACTCGTTCGAAATCTCGTGAATCCTTTGATAAATTATTACCTAATAATCAACGTGGTCGTCGTCGTTATACATTAAAAACATGTGCCAAACGCCGTTTTCGTCCGTAAAACATAGGTTTGTTTTGATGGACGGATTCTACCTCTTATTCTCTCATCATCACCAAAAACAAACACAGGCACCAACATATATATATATATATATATAATGTTTCTCTGATCTGTATCTCTATATTCATCATTGTTCATATTTAGTCATTCTTTCATCATTACCTTCATCGTGATGCATATATTTCTCAAAATATTGATAGTTCCGCGATTACATCGCTCAAATTATTATCAAAACTATTGATTTATTCTACTCATACACATATATATGTTTTGCGGAATGTTTCTTTCGTATTTTCTTTTTCTCATTCTAGAATGTCTTTTATTTAAAATTATTTCCATGACATTTACACGCAAAGTAAAATCTGCAATATCAACATATGTAAACAGATCATCAATTTTTTTTCTGAGAAAATTACCATTCCTGTTCATTTTATCTTCATGCCGGTAATGTGTGTGAGTTTTTTCTCCTAATTATCTTTTTTTTTCTAAACCATCACACTCTACTGGGATCTCTAAAGGCGGCAAATAGATTCACTATATATATATATATAAGTGAATTCACTATATATGCGTATTAATAACTTATGTATGTTGTTTGCATTTATTCAGTTACATAATCTGTGCAATACTCAATTCATGGATGCATTTCGTCTTGACAACAACTACTATTATTACTAATTGGCAGAATTATACAATGTGCAATATTTAAAAAAAAAACATGACAAAAGTGATTGTTTAACATAGATCAGCTGACTTTTCTTTTTTTTTATTAAAAAAATTATCTTATCAATTGGTTAATTGTTCTATCCCTCCCCGCCCCCCCACACACACACACTAACTCCCTTAAATATTCATGTGCAATCATACCTAATATTAAATTTTGTTGTTGTTGCTTTTTTCTCTTTCTCTTTTTATGTTTCATTAATGTAAAATCAAACGTCTTGTCTAATTCCTAGTCAATCTTTCACTTATATATACATTCTATACTTTTTATGAATGGATTCAATCAAATTTATATTTTCTTTTTGTTTTAATTCTATTCCTCTTTTTTTTTATAAAAAAAAACGTATACTCTATTCATTATCTCTATAAATGATCCAAATTTTTTTTTTAAAAAAAAAAGAAAGTACATTTATTTCATTTCAATATATAGTAAAATGGTATAACTAGTGAATGTTTTTCTTTTCTTTTTGTTGACGGGGTTACATCTTCTAATTCTTAGAATAATCAATATTGTAATTTATTCTTGTAATCAATATATTACAAGTTATTGTAGTTCATGATGTGTTTTCTTTTTCTTTTCTTTTTAATTGCTATCGTAGTATTTCTTACATCAGTGTATGTGTGTGTATTGATGATGTGTAATGAATTTCTTTTAGTCTTTCCTTATTTCCCCCTCCCCTTCCATTTCTTTTGCGTTTGTGTGTTTATATACGTAGACTCTTACGTGATGGTGTGTGTATACCTCATCGTATTCATATGTTTATTTGTTTGTATGTCTATCCTACTTACTCGTCTATTATATCTGGCATTTATACCTTGGTTTTTCATTTATGTTTATTTACTGTTCTACCGTTGTTTTGTTTGTTTGTTTGTGTGTTTCTCATCTCAAAAATATTTTTCTTCATTATTATCGATCTTGTGTTGTCCAAGTAAAGAAAAAAAATCACGATTTTTTTCCTATTTCTTTTTTCTTTGCCTCTAAAATTTCTTTTCTTCTGTGGAATTATATCCTGGTTCTTTATTTTTTTTCCTTTTTGGTCTGAATGTTGTTGTGTTTTTTTGTGATTATAAATATTAAAAGTATGATATTGTATGTATGTATGTGTGTGTGTATGTAATTCAAAATAACTCTCTATATGTCTGTCTATCTATCTCTCTATGTGTGTTTATGAAGTTCTATGTATCCATGCCTCAATGCATGGACTTGTATTTGGTTACTATACTCAATATTCTTATTATTACTAAATGATAATATTAAATTATCTTCAGGTTTTATTTATTTTTTTTGTTCAACTATTATTTATCTTATCCCAATTATCTGTATTGATTAATAATGATAATAATATGAACTTTAAATTCAATTCGTATTGTTTGTTTGAATCTTCCCATCGATGCAGGTACATCCAGCTGACGAGTCCCAAATAGGACGAAACGCGCGTAAAACTGGATTCCACTGCTAGCTACTATCCGTCTCTGCTTACCAATATCAACTTTATATTACATATTTATGTTTTCTTAACACATGAAGATTGACTACTGACTCCGTTTTTTATAATCAGAAAATTTGCCTAAATTGAATGTATTGTTTGGTAAATTATATAACTTAAGCCTATTATTCGTCTTGATTCGTATGGCCGCTGACAAAGGATTTCCGAGTAACTATGTCCTTTCTAGGCGTTGCCTTGTACTATTGATTATCTTGATGTCCTTTTGTTTGTCTCTTTTCACCTTACCATGAGGATTCCGAGTTAGGTTTTGTTTGATCAGCCCTGATGAGTTGGTGCCTAACGAAATCTGAGTACGGATTTATAAAGCTCATTTAGCTTTTGCCAATTTTTGTCACTTATAGTGAAGTTGAGATATCCGTCCATGAATTAAGGAACGAGTATACTGCACAGCAGTTCGCTCTGTTCTACTTTACGGCTGCGAAACGTGGCCATTAAGAGTAGAAGATACTCGTAAGTTACTAGTATTTGACCACATATGCCTTAGAGATATTTCTCACATCTGCTGGGATCACCAGGTAAGTAATATTGAGCTTAGACGTTAGGTATTTGGGAATAATGGTAAATCAGTTGATGAGTTTGTAAATCTTCACCAACTTCGATGGTTGGGCCATGTGTTACGTATGCCTAAACATTGATTACCACGACCCTCAATGGTGACTAGTGTTGGAAATGGTTGGAAGAAAGTTAGGGCGGCCAAACCGAAACGTGACATCAGTGTTGGAAGTTAATAACTGATGGTCTGAGCCATGTTGGTAGGTGCGGATTACTTGGTTGGGGTCCGCGTGACTATCGTAACCAATGGTTAGAGACTGACTGACATGGCAGAGAATTGATCGCAATGATGTAGGTGTATACACTCTCTGTCGTCCATTAAAATTGCCTCATATCTGTCTTTCTTCTTATACTATATCACTATACACAATCTTTCTTTCATATATTACTACCATTGAAGTAACTACTTCTATAAATTCGGTGTTCATCTTGTTGTGCTAATGAGGTATCTCAACTTGGACCGATGCATATATATGTGCTTGGTTTTACGTTGTAGCTGACCTAATGACTTGTCTTATGATGCAGCTTTACGGTCTCCTTAAAGTGTCTCATCCACCTTAATGTCTTTTCTTGACTACCTCAATGATCAGCTCGTCTTCCCTTCCATAGTAGATCGTTGCTGATAGTTTTTAACATGTTGCGTAGGCATTTGTTTCTAAATCCCGGTACGTTTTTGGTGATATTGATTGTAAGGATGACTCGTTGGCAAACTCAAGAAGCCCATAAACATCCGAAGACATTCCATTCAATCACCGCTAGAGGAACATTTTAGAATGTCAACGTGCAGCTTCCCTATTGGATGAATAAGGATCCCCTATGTGCCTATTGGCTATCCGAAATGATGATTTACTTTCAGCCAAAAACTATAGATACATGAGATTTTTTGTACTGCATTTGACATTGTGTTGGAAATAGCATTCCTACTTACTAGTTTTCTGTCTTCACTTGCGAAGTTGCGGGTTCGATCGTTCAAGTAGTCTAGTAGTACGCCGCATAACAAAAATCTAAGCTCTAGATATAACATTGATGGTAGTTTTTAAAGTTTCGGCCTGGTAGTTTTTTTAATGTTAGTGTTGAAAATCCTAACTTTGGTATTTGCTGACAGTTGTTTTTAGTTCTAGGTGTGGGAATCCTGCCCTCACTTCCTCAATTCATGCCTTAAGTTCATCAGATCCTCCTCATTTTTCAATGATACTTCCCAATTGCGTGATATCGAGATCAAGTGTGGTTCGGTTGGTGATGACTCCATTGTACTCCAGAATTTTGCTTTTCCTCTTGTGAATGTTAAGGCATAGTCTTGAGGAAGCCGCCTCTACACTCACTTTATCCGCACCTATCGAGTATACAGTAGGTCCGTGTCATCTAAAAATGTCCACTGCAGCCCGTGCTTCTGTTATGTGGAAGTCTTCATAATCCAGTCAACCACTGGAAGAAAAGAAGAAGTTGAGAGCAGTCACCTTTGTCTAGCACCAATCTTCATCTGAAATTGATCTGTGGGATTCGTCATACACACAACCTCGCAACTCAGTCCGTCGTAGCAACTGCGTACGATTACGATTTTCTCGGATACTCATAATGTCAAAGAGTGTTCTGTAGCTGCCCTTTATCTATCTCCAGTTAGATCATATGATAATCGTTGTCGTGGTATACATGCAATCGACCCTCGTATATCGTTATCAATTTCATTCGCGTTAGAGAATAACGGAATAAAATAAGACAAATACGAGAACAGAGTTTCGATTCCTATATTTCGTACACTCATTGATCCAGATAGACAATCAAAGAAACGAAATGGAGAATGTCGTTATGAAAATGTAAAACGAACCAACGGAGACGGAGAGTGAACCAATTTGATTTAATCAAGCGTAAATCAATATCTATAGTCGGACCAAAATTAAGTTACAGACACGTAATAAATAGGGCAAGCAATTAACATACATACGATCATATAAAAAGTTGGAGTTAATCAACGAGGTCAAAATTCGGCTTAAGAATGAATTAATTGGCCTGTCTAGAAGCTAGAACGACCTATATGGGCTTAACATATTACCAACCATTACAGTTTCTCAAAGTGGCTCTCGCTGTCACATGCCTTCTCATAATCAAGTAAGTTGACATATGTTGGTGAATTTTATTCCACGGGTTGTTCAACCATGATTCACAGTGTCGTTATGTAGTCGGTACACTAACTACCCTTACGATAGCTGGTCTAGAAGTTGGACGTCTACTGAATATTTCATTTGGTGTAGCAGCACTGTTAAAAACAGTCTGGTACTGACAGTAGTGTGATCCTTCTCTACTTCTCTCAGCTAAGATTTCCTTGTGATATCCTGATTAGGTTTCCTTCTTTAAAGTCTGTTAGAACTTGATCTTTATCCCAAATTTTTATGAAGAGGACGGAGCGTCTTTGAAGTTGCCTCTATTTGGTTTCAGTGCTTCAGCTGGCCTGCTTTATTATCATGATAACTTGTTATTTTTGGTTTGTCTAATGGACTTTCGATTAACAATGTAAAAGGAAATTGGAACCGGATCGCCACTGACTTTTTCCCAAGCCATGTCTGATAACTTTTCAAGGCAATGAGCTTCAATATGTTCAAGACCATGATGAGGGAGTCACTATGAACTGACATGTACCAGTCGCATACAGTTTTCTTTCATACCAAAGCGCCATGCTATAAATTCCTCTCAAACTTCATGGCATTCTGGAAGGTAAGGAGAGTGTTATGTCGTGTGCCCTGTCGACTGCCACGTGACTAAATCGCCAATTAGAACGCCGACCTGCATGACCTTGGGGCTGTGTTAAACCAATAGTGCGTTAATCGGTACGAGTAGCCTAGAGTCAACTTTTAGTCCTTATTGGTTCTTCTTACCCTGCCTGTTAAGTCCAGAACACAATATCAGCTTCCACTGTATGAATAATTTATTTCAGACATACGTAGTTGATATACATGTAAGTCAGACTACATCATACCATAAAATAGAAATCAACAATTATACAAGTTCAAGCCAAAAGTGGCTGCGAGTGTGAGGGACTGTAACTAATAAATCGGAAGTTAAGAATGCTTAGTCGTATAATAGTAGTCAGTACGTCAAATAGAATCTTATAATAAAGCGAATATAAATATGCATGTAATATAGTTATTTATTAGTTATCCAATAAGAATATAACTAAAAACAATCCATAAATAACTCCTAATAGTTACCATTTATTTATTCTTAGTTAGGATACAACAGAGAGTTCGTTTCTCCTCTGAAAATATTCCCATATGACCTAGTATTTGAAGCCTCTGACTTATTAACTTCAGGTGATAAATGCGGTTTGCATAAATGGGCCGATGTAAAGCGAATGCGCGGAGCTTAAACCGAGTTGATGGATACTGAGAATACACCAGAGGGAGCTGGAAAAACCTTATTTCAAAACGATAGTGCACATGGTCTGTAGGATCCTTAGGGAACGAAAAGCGTCCGAAACATCGGGCATCTTGAGACCCGCTTTAGTTTTGCCAATCGGATAGTATTATAACCCTTCGTAGACTAAGACATACTTCGAAAATGAACTACAATATCATTTTATTTTAAATCTTTGTCAGAATTCTTAGTAGCCCTAGTGGATAAATTTGCAAGATGTTTATAAACTGAATCTTTATATCACCTTTAGTTGCCTACTATGGATACTAGTGATTTGACAATGAGTTCAATTTCATAAAAAGTTCAGTTTTATGGTTTAAAACTTAAAAAATTATAGAAACTAGAATAGTTTATAATGTTGTTTTTTTAGCTATGACTATTATTTACTTGGTAATTTTTGTTTGAATCTTCCCATCGATGTGTTAGAACTGCAACTGGTCAGTCTCTTATTGACATATGTGCATACTGTGCGCATTGCATCGATATAGCCTTAATTCACAAGGATTATAAGCAGAGATGGATAGTGGCTAGTAGTGGAATCCAGTTTTACGCGCGTTTCGTCTTATTTGGGACTCGTCAGCTGGATGTACGCAATACGCACAGTATGCACATATGCCAATTAGAGACTGACTGGTTGCAATCCTAACACATTGATGGGAAGATTCAAACAAACAATATTAAAATGAATTTAAACTTTACCCCATTGCACAAGCAAGTGGCTATCAGTACTCAGTGGCCGAGTGGATAACGAGATGACGTTTGAGGCGAAGGTACTCGGTTCAAATCCCAGAGTGAACATCAACTCTGAGATGCAGGTACATTCAGCCGACGAGTCCCAAATAAGACGAAACGCGCTTTATCCTGGATTTCACTGCTAGCCACTAACCATCTTTGCTTATTAATAATTCTATTTCCTATTAAGATATTCAATATCCCTTTAATAATTGATGAAGTAACTGTTCAAAACAAAAAAAATATTTTTTTTTATTTTTGATAATAAAAAAAATATAAAAAAATTCAAGGTATATACACATTTGAGTTTGTTTGTTTTTTAATTCTAAAAAGAAAAAAAAATTATAAAAAAAAACTGAAGCATTTAGTTACTAAGTAAGTTTTTCTTTATTTTTTTCAGCTTTTAAATGTAAAATTTCTTGTTTTAATAAATCAATTTCTTCAATTAATTTTAAATTCACTTTTTCTAAATTATCAGCATATTTTTTTAAACTTAATTCTTTAGTTTTTCTAGCTCTACGTGAACGTCTTGCTGCTTCATTATTTTTAACTCTTTTCTCCCAGTAAGCTTTATCTTTTACTTCAGATGGTGTCATTTCTGGAAAACGTCTCATACGTGGATTACAATCAGTTTGTATAATATTTGTTGAATCATTATTATTATTAGCAGTACTATTATTATTATTATTATTGGCATCGATTAACTCGGAGTAACTAGAATAACAACTAGGTGTTGATGAAATAGATCTGATTGATTGTGCCGTTGTCGTCGTCGTCGTTGTTGTTGTTGTTGTTGTTGTTGGGAGTAAAACAACAGATTTGTCGTGTTTGCAAAGAGTTTCCAAAGATTTTGTCTTGTCAACTGTTGTCGTTTTATTATTGTCATTAATATTTTCAATTTGATTTAATGGTGAAGCACTTTGTGATCTACGTGATTTTATTTTAACAAATGGTTTACGTCTGGAATTATTCCCATTTGTTGTAGGAATAGAAATCATTGGTGTTGGTGAATGAGGCGGTGTAATTGATATAGTTTTCTGTTCAGTATGTTCTATAGATTTGGAATCATTATCCTTTTCTGATTTATCAATAGTATTCACCAGTAATAAAGGATCAATAAGTTTGGATGATTTCAATAAAATTTCTGTAGAAATTGATGGAACTGTATTACCAAATGCTTTAAATGGTCTGCGACTAGATGTTGATCTTGGACGTTTCTGATCAGATTCATTTGTTTGTATTAAATCTTGAATATCTCCAATCCAGTTATTCTGACATAATTCTACCCCATTTATAGTATTTATAGACGAGGATGTGATACTTTCTGACTGTTGAATAATTTCAATTTGACGATTCGTCTGAGTGTCTTGATTTGATTGATTGAGTTTTTCTGATTTTTTTGTTGTTTTCGTATTTATGGACGATGTTGTCTTTGTTTGTGTATGTGTTCTACTTGATTTCCGTCTACAAGGAATTTTAGAATTTTCATTATCCAACTTCTTTTCAGTCAATTCACTAGATTTTACTGTTGTGAATGATTTCAAAGTTAAATCTAACGGTTTATCATCATCTTGATCATGATTGATCAAATTGTCAGCATTTATATTTGTCTGTAGGTAAGTAGGGGATAACAATGATACATTGTCTGAATGACGTCCAAGTGGGAAACATGATGAAGCTCTTACTTTTGTCGCTATTTGTGGAAAACAAGACATTAATAATGATGATGGTGATGATGATGAAGTTCCTATTTGTGAAGATGATATTGAATGTGATAAATCTGAGGTTAAATTTAAAATGGATGGACTTGCCGACATAGATAAAGCAGTGATAATTGGTGATACCCAGTTTAGATTTAAATTGTAAGGTATTGTCATTACTGAAGATGTAACCGGTGCGTATGATTCATTGTCCAATACGTTGACATCATCGGGTATCTGTAATAATACGTATATACAACCAAAATCGAGGTTAATCGTTTGTAAGCAAATAATTATTTGGAACAACTGTTGATTGATACAATGATTCATCTACCATCTATACTTTCATACTCTAACTGATCTTACTTACTTACGACTGTTACCCCTCGTCGAGGAGCATAGGCCGCTCACCAACATTCTCCATCCAACTCTGTCTAACTGGCCTTAATTCATACAATTTCTTTTTGTTAGCTATTGATGTTATATAGCTGCAAACGCTTTTGTAGGGTGAAACGGAAATCAAACCTTCTACCAATCACTAAGATATTGCGATACATACTAATAATTAATTGTACCTAATTATGACTTATGGAAAAGGTACACAGTTGCTTTAACCATCTAAACTCATAATCTGAAACATTTTCCTTTACATTGATGGCAAGTGAATTTTATAGACTACTCGATCACTGAATAATTATGAAGATAAACTACTTAATCCACGTTATTCAGTAGTACTCTTAGGTAAAGTATCAATGTTCATTAATAAAATAACAAAGATATTATTACTTGTTCAAATGACTCGAGGCAACATTTCTGTCTTCATTTAACCGATAACATAAAAACAGTATCCATTTTTTCAATTATAATGTTATGTTTATAATTAAATCATTGAAACGTAACAATCATGTTGAACATGTTACTAACAATTTTTAAAACATGATTGATTGCATAACGTATAAAAAGCGTTATTGAAATGCCCCGGTGCCGACGAAGGTGAAGAGAGCTCACTCTCCCTCTCGAAATGCTCTCACATGGCCACGCGAATACAGTCACTTCCACAGAAGTCTTACTCACTGCGATCTCGTGGCGGGGGTGTTGTTTACGAAATTGAGAGCGAATGTCGGGCCCTTTAACCGGGTTGGTGGACACGGACGGTTCGCCTAGGGGAGTTGGAAAACCCTGATTCCAAATCAATGGTGCATATGGACTCCAGCATCCTAAAGGAACAAGTGGCATATGAACCTATTGTTGGTGATTGGCTACCATGGGACTGCATCTTCCAGCGTTTATGTCTTTGAAAAATCGTTCACATATAGTGAGACAACAGAGCGATTATTCCTTAGATTAAATTTAAGATACTGTATACAGATGGCATATCGATTCATAAAACTGTGAGTTATGCTGTCTGGTTAGAATTAGATTAGGGGAAAGCTATAGGTGGCCAAACTAGAATGTGGCCTAAGTTCATGAAGTTACTGACTATTAGTCTGGTAGATTCAGACTACCTGGTTGGGATCTGTTATGTAGTAGCGAAGACATAAGTACGGGTAACTTGCAGGACCTACTATTGGACTATCATTCTTATTGCATAACTATTCGGTAACTAGATTATCTATATATATTTTCATTTTATTGTAAACTTCATTTTGACCTATTGATTATTATTGTATGATTTACTGTTCCTAAGTTATACTCAGTTTTATTGATTATTGTCTCCCACGCTTACAGCCTCATTTGGCCTGGTTTTGTACAAATATTATTTTCTATTTTATGGTGTGGTGTGGTCTGCCTGTCTGGTATATAGATAAAGTATGTATGAAATAAACGATTCGCATTACAGCAGCTGCTATTGGTGTTTTTGGACTCAAGTGGACGGGTTAGGCGGATAAGGACCAATAAGGGCGCTAGATTACTCATATTAATCGAACGTCATTGTCCCAGTGTGAAGGTCGTAGAAGGCGTATTCTATTGGTGGATAATTTACGTGGATTTTCGCCCCTTGTACAATTCGTAAGGTCATAACGAATCAGCGACGACCTTGACCAAGTCATAACAATTGGCTATAGCCTAGGTCAAAAACATAACAGGATCTAAACAATAATCTCGCTCAGTAGTTGGAGACGTTTGGTGTCATTATTCAGAATTGGTCAGTATGAGATAGATGCATTCACTCTTTATCCTCCACATCTTAGACTACAATGTGTTAGCCTTTTACGATTTATCAGAACTATGTATTCTAACTTGCAGGAGAAAACGACTAGTGTAGCAACAGCCTCAGCAGCAGTAGGTCTCAATATAAACAAAGGGAAAAGCAAGACTCTCCGATACAATACAACATGCACCAATCAAATTATACTTGACGGAGAAGCTTTGGAGAATGTGGAAACCTTTACATATCTGGACAGCATCATTGATGAACACGATGGATCAGATGCAGATGTGAGGGCAAGGATCGGCAAAGCAAGAGCAGCATATTAACAACTAAAAAACATCTGGAACTCAAAACAATTGTCAACCAACACCAAGGTTAGAATTTTCAATACAAATGTGAAGACAGTACTACTGTATGGGGTGGAGACGTGGAAAACTACGAAAGCCATCATCCAGAAGATACAGGTGTTTATTAACAGTTGTCTACTCAAGATACTTCGCATTCGATGGCCAGACACTATCAGTAGCAACCTACTGTGGGAGAGAACAAAGCAGATTCCAGCGGAGGAAGAAATCAGGAAGAAGCGCTGGAAGTGAATAGGACAAATTGAAGAAATCACCCAACTGCGTCACACGACAAGCCCTCACATGAAGTCCTGAAGGCCAAAGGAAAAGAGGAAGACCAAAAAACACATTTCACAGAGAAATAGAGACATACATGAGGAGAATGAACAAAAGTTGGATAGAACTAGAAAGGAAGGCCCAGGACAGAGCGAGTTGGAGAATGCTGGTCAGCGGTCTATGCTCTATTGGGAGTAACAGGCGTAAGTAAGTAAGTATGTATGTATGTATTCTAACTCTCAATAAAGCTGTTACTTCAAGATTCAAAAATAGCCCAGTAAATTCTAAGAATATTACCAATTACAAATGACACTCCATAAAACTATGTCAATTTAATTAATCTATCATGAGTTTAGTAGTATGTTGTAATTGACTTAAATGATACTGCTTATTTATTAATAAATAATATAGAAATAATACAAATGCTTTGAAAGTTTTTAGCATTATATAACCATAAACTTATCGTTCTTCATTTAAACTTTGAACATTCTTAGAACATCGACATTGTGAAGTTGATATGATAACTCAGTAAACTGATAGGAGTTCTGAAGAACTCCAGAAAACTACTAACCAATAATTATAATATTTCTAATATTAGATTGTTCAGTCGATTATAGTTAATATACGTAAGCAGTGAATAAATTGAAGTCATTCCAATCGATCCTGAATCATGTTACCAAACGTCTCCAACAACTGATCAGACCTTAACCACGTAGTCTGGATTCACCAACATAGCTTAAATTAACAATCAATGACCTCATGAACATGAGTTACATGATGGTTTGAGCATACTTAATTTTTTTCCAACAAACTTCTACTTTGATCATTATTACACTTTGAATTAAGCGGTGATTTGGTATAAGTTGTACATATTCCAGTCACAGTGATCAACAAACATTCAGTTCTATAAATCGATTTTCCATTTTCTTCTAGTTCTCTATCTAACCAGCATAATTGACCTGATGATATGTGAAGTTGTGATCAGTTAAGACCTGATATAAATACTTGCCAACATATTCTGAAACACTGAAATAACAACTAGCTACTTACATTATAAAAACCCGGGTTTCGTGCTACTTGGCACTCGTCAGCAAGGTGTATCTGTAATCTTTGAGGGAACTGATGCTCCCTGACGGATTTAATCCCGTGTCACTCAGATTCACAGTCAGAAACTTTACATCTGAGCTATTCGGGCCACCTCCAACCACCACCTTACCTCAATATATATACATATAGTGCAAGCAGTGTCGAGCCACCTAGACTGGTAGCCACACTGCAACTTGATCCATAGCATTCGATCAGCACTAAGAAGGACTTGACACGCATGACATTGATCACCACCCAGTGACCAATCAATTGTGACCATAGAGAAGTACCTATGGAGAAGTGTTACCTTATACTATGTAACTGATTTCTATTTGTGAATAAAATCACATTGAACTTATGGAGTTTTCTTAAAACTTCATCAGTTGATGAGGTTATTAATGGAAGTTCAAAGAAAATTGTGTCCTTTACTCAAAATGAGTCATTTGTTAATAAATTATTGCTATCATTATTATTATCCCATGTGTGAATAAAACTCATCAATTAAGACCTATGAAGTTGTTACAACTAGACAGGACTCAGTAGCTGAGTGAATAACGCAATGGCGTATGAAGCGAAAAGTATTGGGTAAGAGTCCCAGAGTAAACATCAACTCTAAAATGCAGGTACATCCAGCTGACGAGTCCTTAATAAGACGAAAAGCGCGTCAAACTGGATTCCACTACTAGCCACCATCCATCATTGCTTATAATGCTTGTAAATTAAGGCAATATCGAGACAATATTCATGGTATACACATATGTCAATAAGAGACTGATCAATTGCAGTCTTAAACATCAATGGGAAGATTCAAACAAACAATACTAAATGAATTTAAAATTCATTTTTGTTTTTTTTAAAACGATTCAAAAATACTCACTACTGATTGATTATGAATTTGTGTTGTTGGTTAGTAACTGATTAAGCTGATGATAGATGAGATAACCCGATATATGTACATGAGCATATATACACTACTAACTTGGGTCAGAGAAATAACCAATTCGATGTTACAACACATTAACTGACATGTCAGTTATGCATAGTAGACATACAAACATAATCGCAATGATAAGGAGTAAAATAACAGTTATGTCCCTAGTTAATCAATACTCGATACGTATACGTGTGTATGACAACAACTCATTGGATCTGAATATCAATATATACTGGTATCGATCTAAATATAAATATTTGTTATAATATTCATTTTGTTCACTATTCAATTTGGCAATCATAAATTAGACTTTAATAGTTGAATTAATGAGTGCTAGACCACCATGGAAAACCTGGAAGCACTGGATAACTGTTTCGTCCTAGTATGGAACTCCTCATCAGTGCGCATCCATGATTTCACCTCATGAGATCCCAACCCATGACCTATAGGTTAAGTGTTAGCGTGAGTGATCGGTAGGTCCTGGGTTCGAATCTCAAGGGGTGGAATCATGGATGCTCACTGATGAGCAGTTCCATACTAGGACGAAATGGCCGTCCAGTACTCGCTTACATAAAATAGTGTTAAGTTAGTGAA